TAATAGTTTTTTTTATGTTTACTTTGTGTAGTATGTTGGTGCTGTATGTTGGTGCTGTATGGTGTGGGTAAATGGAGAGGATTTATAAAGGCTATGATGTATACTTTTCTTAAATCTTTCACTGTGTTTAGATGTATCCCCTTTGGGAGAGGGGTTTGAAGGGAGGGTGAGGACGAGAATTAAATAGGGAGGGGAATAGGGAGGAAATGGATCGGGAAATCGAGAATACGATAAAAAGATAGAAATACAAAGGAGGACGCATAGAACAAGGGAGAGAAGGTAGAGCTCAAACAGAAACATCCAATATGTAGCGATGAAAGTACTAGCGCACTAACCATTGTACTCTTGAATATTTATCGCCTTTACCAGACTGGTTTTCTTGTCGTCTGTCTGGACTGCTCACTACAGTGCTATACTTTGAGGGCTTTTTTGGTATGATTGGAGTTTGAGGTAGGTGGGTAGAGACTTTTTGGATGTGATATTTGAGATGCGGGATGCGGGATGTGGGATATAAAATTGGCTCGGATTCATCTCAAATCTGCGCAGTGTAGAATTGAATGACTTTCCAATAGTCATGTTGATGGTGGATATCAACCGCAAATGGTCTGCTTGTGATGAAAGTTGGGGGTTTTTATTATTTATATGTTTGGAGTGATGGTGACGCCTGTGATTTATGTAGATTTTTTGGATTATATCTTTTTCGTGATACTACTGTGTTTATTAACTTGGGGCTTGGTTTGGAGTATTGCATTATGCTAGGTTGGATTTATGTATGTGTGTGTATTCTTGTGAGATTGTGGCTGTAAGACTTCTTTCCTCGAGTCTTTGTTATACGGATTGTACAATAAGGGCAACGTTGGAAGGGTTTGGCTTACGACAAGATGAATGATAGAAAGGGGAACCGAGGAATGAGGGGGGTAAGTGGAGCTCACTTCAGATCATCATTTTGGTTCCAAAGAAAGAAATGAGAAGTTTGTAAAATATGTGCTCTATTTTATATATGCTAACTGTGTAAATCTATGTATGTATTTTTGTTCCATTTGCATGGTATTGCTTATGTAGGATGTGTGTAATAACTATCTATGCATCATATATCTTCAACTCATCTCGACTCATATCATAAATGCTCCTCGCCAGTGCTAAATTCAAAATGCCACGAAATACCCAAGAAAGATTCGCTCTGTATATACCAACTTAAGCCAAGTAAAATGGAATAAATGAAAAAAAATCCCTCGATATTTACCATCCAAATTTCTCAATCGTAACCTCTAGATCTCTACCTTCTCGTATCAAATCCGCACATTTGTTGTTTACTGTTCGATTCAATCCATCCGGTCCACTAACCACTACACCTATCTTCTGTCTCTTCTCCATCTCTTTACTTGAATCGCAAACAACCCCCTCCATCAACCCATCTAAATCCGGTCTCCCAACCTCCGTCGTAGCACCCGGAATAATAATCTCCACCCCCTTCCTTATCAAATCTTCCCTCTCCTTCTCATCAATCCATTCAAGATGCGCACTCTTGTGAATAATCCAGATCATTACAATTCTCTGTCTCCTCTTCGTCGTCAGTGCTCCAGTCTCGGAATCTCCACTTTCGCTTGAAACATTCAGGAGATGATGTATGATCGGCCACGTAACGGCGATTCCACTGCCCCCAGCAACTAATATTGCGAGATCCAAATCTTCAAGAAGAGACCGAGCGTGACTACTTCCGTATGGGCCGTCGAGACGACATTTTAGTGTGTTTTTGAGTTGGGCGGCACGAAGGAGATCGGCGGAGAATCCGGAGCGGGCTCGGATTAGGAGGGTGAGATTGGAGATTTTTGAGGAGGGAAGGGGGGCTGGAGAGGCGATTGTAAAGGGGTGGGCTTGGAAGGCGTGGGAACGACCAAGAGAGGGGATGGTGAGAAAAACGTGGTCAGTTGCGTTCCAGCCGGAGGAGATCGAGTGGCCGAGTGTTTGGGAGAAAATTGTGGTGGGTGATTTAGGGAGGTTGAAGGCTAGGAGGACAGTTTCGTTGTCAGGGTAGATACTGACTTTGGCCTAGGTAGGGTTAGTTAACTGTGTGAGAAGTGAAGGTGAGGAGGAAAACCTACTTCAGCCATAATACTTTTCGCGCAAAGGCGATATATCAAGCGATCCACGAGGAATATTGCAAGAGCCCATCCAACATAAGTTCTCGTTCCCCTGTGATGGAAATACAAAATGACCAAAGCACCAGCTTGCAACACAACGTGCAATCCCAAAAACACCTCGTACCATCGCTGACGGAATGACGCCAACGACGTCACATATAATGACTTATATGTAAATAAAGCCGATAGTCCCAAATAGATACACGGGTGAGTCAGAAAATCCCAAATTGTCCAACCACTAAATGGTACCAAAATCACATACCACATTACGAACATGGCGCCAGCATGAATGAGCGCAGCAATCATAATTAGCTCTCCAAGCCGCCGATGAATAATATTTAGAGATTCATAGGAGACACCTGTGAGAACTTTAAGTGGTTGATTCTTTGCGCCGAGGATGTATAGCAGTGGGAGATTAACACCGAATATCAGGCCTGCTCGGTCTCCAAGCACGGAGGCTTCGAACAATGTGAACGAGATATTGTAGAAGGTATAGAAGATATTGAGAGCAAGAAACGACATGATGAATATTGAAGAGCCGTTTGAAGGGAGAACTTTGTTGAAATAGGGGATTGGTCGAGGTTGGTATACGAGGAACGCTTTGATGCGGGAGATGATGGTGATTCGGCTCGACGCAGTGCTATTGGCAAAACGGCTTCCGGATATTAGAGGCATACGTTCTCCCCCGTCGCCGTGTTCATCAGAAGGAGTATTTGATCCAAATGTACTGCTCCCAGACGAACTAGCACCGCCATAGTCTATCTCCTCTCGAATTGTCTTTGATGGCCCATCGTCCAGTAAATCGTATGGATACCTCTCCCCTCTTTTCCACAAAGCCCTTCTTCTCCATCGTAAAACCTTCTCCGTCCAGTGTATACCCGAAAGAACCAATACAAACCCTAAAATAACCCAAGGATAAGTATTGATCAGTTTCTCATTATACAGCGCTCCATCAATCAATTTCTGGAATTTATTCTCATCCGGCTTCTCCTCAGAATCGTCCGTCGTCGATAGTTGTGAAGTTGTATGAACAACAAGATTTCGAGCAGTGCTGTGTATCCATTCTGTGAGAAGATAATGTGATAGAGTGGTGGTATTCATGTGGAAGTTTAACAAGATGCATATGGTGGTGTAACGAAAGGATCCTGAGGATCAGATTAGATCTGAGAAATGATCTGATAAGATTTCAAGAGTTGACTAACTTATGTGGAGAATTCTATCCTAGCGAATCATAACGCATCAGATTTAACATCAAAAGTGGAGTGTGATGCGAAACGAGCTCTTATTCACTCAAAGAGCACACCCAAAGAGCCCAACGGTGGGAGGGGAGGAGGACGTCTATAACATGGGAAGGGAAGGTTTAATCAAAGAGTCGATTGGGGAATGAGAGGTCATATTAGGTCATGTCAGAACATGAAGGAGCATGGACAAACCTCGCTGAGAGCAGGCAACCCCTCCCGTTCAACCTCAACTAAGTAGTAGAGTGTGTCAGAAGTGTGTCTGTATTTCCTAAGAATCAGTTCTTAATTACTTATATGCGATGGCCTATGTTCCGACACACCAAGAGTTTTGGAAACTTGTTCCATTGGAATACCTGACCCCCTCGGCAGATTACCATGCAGACATTTCCTCGAAGAATCTTGTCTCTTACTTACTCAAATTGACTCGCACCATATCATGAATACATTCTGTGTTCTATTACAAGTTCCTTCAATGGAGAGTCCGAGCAATCATGAAAGTTTCAGATACGAAAAGGGAAGCAAAGGTCATGTGCTAGTGTTGTGGGAAAGTTGACAAGCGCACACTTTCAGGTATCTTGTATTTTAATCTCATGAAGCAGCCACGCTTAGCTGTACAGAACTCGAAAGATCTATCTAGGCCAAGTTGCTTGGACGCCACCAGCGATATTGTTATTGCATTTTAACTCCCTTCTCTGTGTATATCTTTTGCTAGCTGCATGATAAAACAAAAGAACCATAGTCGAACTATGTGGCATTTTAAGATTGTTGAACAAGAAGCTACCACTGGTATTGATTATGCATTTGCGCCCCCAAAGAGATCCGGGAGATTAAAATATTGAATTTGGAAAGAAACAAGATGTGCAATTCGAGACGCTGAAGTTCCTCTAGTGGAACGTAATAAGTGAAGCTCAACCATTTCATAGGTAGACTCGTCGTCGTTCGCACCCAGAAAAATTTAACCCATACCGGTCAGTATCTCGAGAGGATATCATACAAACCGGTGGACATATGAATTCACAACGCCAAATTCAAACCTCAAAAGTAATTGAGTTATTTGCACCCAAAATCTCAGCCTTGTACACTAGTGACGAGCTTTGTATGTATCTCATATTCCCAAGCAATACATCTATCCCCCACCTACAAACTATATATGCTTATCAAAATAATTGACACGCGACAACGAGACTCATAGCTCAATTTCCACTTTAAATTCACTCTTGCGCTCCCTCAGCATCCAAACCCAAAAAGTTTACAGGTGAACAAAAGTGCAAAAACCAGACCTTGCTGGCTACCTTTCGATAGACAGGACCTGGAAAATCCCCGAGTTGGCAGGAATTTTTTTTATATAATTTAGATCATGAACCAATCGGGGGTCATGATCATCGAATGCTGGTTCTTTAACACTCACCCACCTCGCGGTGGTTAAAGTGCAGTGGACAGTCGTATTAACCGCTGCACCAGGTCGTACGATGAATTGTTGAGAGAAGCGAGATTGTTTTGGTATATATTTGAAGGGGAATATGGTGAATAATGGTGGCTGAAGATGTTACGGATGATAGCGAAAGCGGTGAAATATGACTGAAGTTCTGAAGTTGGAACATGGAATTAGGGAAGCAAGCGGGGGGCTTCATTCAGGTAGGAATACAGAAGGTGCAGGAATTTTGGGAGTCTACATTAGATATCTCATCATGCTCAAGCATCATTTGCATGGTGTAATAGCTGTAACGTCAGAGTGGTTCATGATTTTTGGAATCGATAACTACAATATCCCTAAGTTTGAAATGATTCCCTTCATCTAACCGACATCCAGCTTTCATGATCCAATCGCCAATCATATAATGCCACTATTCCTCAAACCTACCACCTACTAGTCCTTTCTCAACTCAGATACGCGAGACCCATGAATCTGACTGTGCATAATTCCACACCACCTCTCCTCCAATCCGAGAAATCGCGTGGAACTTCTCAATAATCTCAATCGGTGAGATATCGAGTTCCCTGCAGTTATCATAGAAAGCCTGCATAGCCTGATCGCCGACGAATAATCCACTTCATCTTCCACCCGATCATCTAGTAACCTGTACAAGCCGACCCACTTCTAATCTGAAGTCCTTCAACCCGGGGAGGATCTGCATGGTGCTGGGAGCTGATCTTTGAGTATCATTGGGTGCGCAGGTAATATTTAAGATTTTCCAGACTCGTTGCATTACCATCTCGAAATCGTGGTCATCGAGACAAGGGACCAAAGAGTGCGTGAGTTTCTCAGAGAACACCGCGAGCGTGAGAAGGTGTTGACTTCTAGCGATTTTGTGTTTGATATGGTGGCGGTGTGAATCTACCAAGCATCTAGGAGGTGCACCATCGACCATAACTAGCCCAATATTTGAAAAAGTGCGGGCGGGAATCTGAACCTACAGGGAACCTCGGGTGCTTGCATTAGCTTCAACCTGCGGCTTTAAATTATCCTGTATTATTGGTATCTCATCTGCATAGAGCCGCCGCTACATTGTCCATGATGAACAACATCAAGCTGCCCGTCACTTTTCTTTCATGGTCAGCATGTTGTTTTATTCACAAGATCGAATTATACTCAGGCTTGCGGATATCTCCATAAGATGAAGGCGTTGGTCTCAGATATCTTTGTGAAGAGCAAGGACTATCATAAAGAATTATTGCTGCTATAGGTGGGAGAGCCTATACTCTGTCTCAGTCTGTAATCACACGCAGATCAATGCTATTCTTGGAGGAAGTATCAAATGCAAGTTTCAGAACACCACACAATCAATGCATGTGTGGTCATTCATATAGACCATTCATTTCCTCACTTGAAGTAGGCGGATGAATTTAGAGGTATGATACCAACTACTGTGCCCTCGCTTGCTTGTGACACCTATCCTTTCTTATCTAAGTATCCAACAGTTCTTATGGTGATGAAGGACCCTACCTAAAATATGATAAGATTCCTTTCGCGGAACGCACATTTAGAATTTCGATTCTCGAGACATTGCATCACTAGCATAAACGTGATCAGATCATCAAAAATTTAATGGAAGGATTAAAATTACAATTGGATTTTTTCCTGTGTCGGCATAATTTTGATAATGGATCTTTGTCGATTGGTAAATCGCTGTTCCCAAATGTTGAACTCGGCACTTTCTTCCCCCAGAGCACGCCCATCGTCGTATCAGTGTGCCTATCGTGAATTATCCAGTCAACGCCTCTCGAATACTATTTTACAATGCCCTCATACCCACCACCTCCACAGTTGGCGGTACCCAATCTGGGTCGTCCTTTTGCATGTGTGCAAAGATCTGTTTCAATGTAGGAAGTATCTGACTTTCTTCTAAGGAAATATTCCTAGACTCCGAAAGCTCTTTGCACATACACAAGCGTCTTCCTTTAGGAACATAACCTGTGTTGTAACGATGCGGTTCGACACCATCCGGATCTTCAACCACAATATACAAATGATCGAGCTTCTTGAAGATATCGAATTCTCGGAGCAAAGCCTGACATGACCAATAACATAAATTGACCGCAAGCTTTGTGATACCTTGATTGACGGCATTGAGGACAATATATGGTGCATCAAGAACGTTTTGCGTGAAGTCGCGGGAGCGATTGGTTACAGACTTGTATTGGAGATAAATGACATCAAAGCACCGAGAGTAGACAGGTATAGATGGAGCTAGGAGGTCTTTGTATCCGTATCGCAAAAAAATAGTATTAAATTCTTCGAGGGCCACTTCACGTGAGGCTCGGCAGGTGAAAAAGAGGGGAGAAGGTTGTCTGTTTGGAACGAATCGAGGATTTGGTTGTGCCGTATTTGAATCTGAAACGTAGAACACTTCGGTAACATGGCAGAGATCATCTTGGAGAATTACTTCTTTCCATATTTGGAGCTGTACCTCCTTAGGGAAGGAAGAGAAAATAGTGAAAACGCGTTCCGTCTCTGTCCTGTGTTCGAGTGTGACCGGCGCAAGCTCTTTTTCCATCTTTGTATTAGTTGGCACAATCCTCAATTGTTGCAGGGACTCTTGGATGGTGTTTGCACTGTCAACAGGGCCTGGCTGAACATCCTGTACGGCATTTGTAGCGGGAGAGTGGTTGAAAACCTGGACAGAGCTATGGCAAAGGTCGGAAGTGAGATTTTGCATAGGTTTGCTGCATTGAGAAATGGTTTGGTTGCTCGTCATTTCATCACCCACAACGATTTGAGAATCTACCAATTTCGTATTAGTATAGAATTGAAGATAAGGATAGGGTATAATTGATAGAAGATGCGACTGAAATACGATTCACATAAAAAATGAAAACAAGTAAGTGAAGCATAATTATCTCATGATGCTTGCCTCCATGGTTTGAATTGACAGTATTGCTGCTATCCCACTTGCATTTGTTCTCCATCTTTTGTTATCAAATATATTGGCATTATTTGGGCATGAGAGTGCTTTGAGAAGAGTGGGAATCCATCTTGACGACGAAGAAGTGCTTACAATCATTTTCAAACCCAAATTGTTGGGGAGCCGAAAGATATATGCTTATAAAGAGAGAATCCTTATATTGGGGATCCCGATAGAGAGGTCTTACTATAGCAACAAGAAATTACACGCGAGAGTGGGCTACTGTATCAATGGCACAACTCTGGCAAAAGGTGAAACAAGCTTCCACGGAATCGATTCTGATTGGTGTCTTTTGGTAAGGGTGCCTACTAGAAAGCTACCATCTCAGAAGGAACGAATTGACACAAAGAAGAAAAGAAAGCAAAGCGCGCTGAGCAACAAGCTTTTAAAGCTGTATATTGAACGAATTATCAAACCATCTTGGTTGTGTGCGTTATTGTGGTGCATCAAACTATGCTTGCGACACAGAATTCAATCCAAGAGTCCGTATGGAAGTGTTTAAAATAAAACCGTCGAAGCATTCCAAAGCTCTGATGGAAATCAAGCATATCTCCGCTAGATATTGTGTACTTTGGATTGGACCTTACCTTGATAAAAGTTATTCTGATTTCTCAAGAGATGGCCGTGAATGGCAGGTTGAGTAAATCGATGTTGCTGATTCGTATGTGATGACCTTGGTAGTCGCCGTTGAAGTAATTGAGTCCTGGCCGTGGGTACTACATATGTAGGTGGTTCGCCTGAAAGTGTAAAGACCAAGCGAACGGTGGCACGTGATAAATCGGCAAAAACTACTGGGAATTTTTTGAGCCTAGCGCATTTCACGGGCATCCCACGACGAAAAAAATAATCCTAGGAGCTTCTGAAAATTTGTGGAAGCTTAACTTTCAACCCAACAAGTCAACCACCAACAACGACAACATTATATCGACAAGATGTCTGCCGTTGATTATCTTCTCCATGAGTCGGCCACTGGTTTCGCAATCTTCCAGGTTGTGCACCAAGCCGACACGATTGGCAATCGATTAAAGGAAGTTCAAGATGCAGGTCAAGATCTTGCGAAATTTGGCAAAATGGTCAAGCTTGTCAATTTCGCGCCATACAGGTTAGCTATTTAATGCTTTGCAGAGTGGAGCGTCTGAATTGACAATTACTCTAGAAATGCTGCTGAGGCGCTCGAGAATATTAACATGATCTCCGAGGGTGTACTTTCCGATTACTTGAAGTCGAACTTGGAATTGAACATGCCAAAGCCATCGAAGAAGAAGAAGACCATTCTCGGTGTTTCCGACAAGACTTTGGCTGGTAGCATCAAGGAGGAATTCCCAGGTGTCTCTTGCGAGACCGGTGAAACTTCCGAGGTTGTCGCAGACTTACTCAGAGGATTGCGATTGCACGCACCAAAGTTGTTGAAGGGTTTACAAGAGGGTGATGTCGAGAGAGCTCAATTGGGTCTTGGACACGCATATTCGCGCGCTAAGGTTAAGTTCTCGGTCCAGAAGAACGATAACCACATTATTCAAGCTATCGCTACTTTGGATCATCTCGACAAGGCCGTCAACACTTTCTCCATGCGTGTCCGTGAATGGTACGGATGGCACTTCCCAGAACTTGTCCGACTCGTCTCGGATAACCACACATATGCCAAACTTGCTTTGGCAATTGGTAACAAGAAGAACTTGACCGACGAAGATTTACACGATATTGCCGCCCTTGTTGACGATGATGGAGATAAGGCGCAATCGATCATTGATGCTGCAAAGGTTTCTATGGGTCAAGATATCTCAGTCAACGATATGGAGAATGTTTCCGCATTCGCAAACCGTGTCGTCAAGCTCGCCGAATACAGAAGGTCCCTTTTCCAATACTTGACCGACAAAATGGCAATTGTTGCACCTAACTTGGCTGCTTTGATCGGTGAAGTTGTTGCTGCCAGACTTATCTCTCACGCCGGTTCCCTTACCAATCTTTCCAAATACCCAGCCTCCACAGTCCAAATTCTCGGTGCTGAGAAGGCCTTGTTCAGAGCACTCAAGACCAAGGGTAACACACCTAAATATGGATTGATCTACCACTCCAGCTTCATTGGTCGTGCAGGCGCAAAGAACAAGGGACGTATCTCCAGATTTTTGGCAAACAAGTGCAGTATTGCAAGCAGAATCGATAACTTTTCTGAGGCACCAACCAACAAATTCGGTGAGGCTTTGAGAGCCCAAGTTGAAGAAAGATTAGATTTCTATGCTACTGGTACCGCACCAACAAAGAATCAAGATGCTATGGTAAGGACTCTGAGAAATTTTCAATTTTGATCTATTGACTAACATATTTTGACAGAAAAAAGCAATGGATGCTGTTCTCGGTGACATCAACGTTGAAGACCCAACCGCCGAAGATACCGAAATGGCTGACATCGCCCCAACATCCGTCGCCAAGCAAGAGAAGAAATCCAAAGACAAGAAAGAGAAGAAGGAAAAGAAAGACAAGAGCGAAAAGAGTGAGAAGAAGGACAAGAAGCGTAGACACAGCGAAGCCAACGGAGAAGAAGAGGGCGAGAAGAAGAAGAAGAAGAAGAGCAAGGCGGAATAAATGTCGCCTTCATCATTTTAACCATGGTCTAGACGTCTTTCTCCTTTTCTTTCTTTCTCCTATCATCTCATCTTGTAAATTTCGGGCAGCTGGGTCATCAATGGCGGAGTATAGCTGTGTTATTATGGGCGTTGAGGACTACTTTTTTGTTAACAATCTTACCGTAGAAGCTCTGGCTTGTGGTGGTATTTTATATGGCTTGGCTAGACACTATGAGGTGCATAAAATTGGAAAAAAGCATATAACTCATTACTTCTACGGATGACCTCTCTTTTTTCATGTGACCTGGATTTGATCTTGAATTATCAACCTGTGAGACTTGCTTGACATTATTGACATGTATGTAATTTTATTCTTGTAGCTCTTTGCCTTTCTTAACTCGTAGCATTCATTTAAATCGACTTGTGCCGGACGTTCATTTAAGTTTAGAACGCTTTCCGTTTATAAACGCCTTCTTCGCCAGCATGCCCAGTCCCATACTCCTCTCCCCCAACCACTCCTTGCAGCTATGCTTTCTTTTTTCTTGCTATTAATAAGTATCAAGGCAAAACATATTCAAGCACCTTCACTACCAAACTCATTGGTCCAATCCGTGCTCCTTTGAATATCTTCTTGGGAAACAGTAGGTCTAGCCCCCTTGATAGCTTTGATAAAATCTTTTACTTGAAGAGGTGGCTCGAGAAGCTTATCCGAATCGACTTCTGTCCAGGACATTTCCATGGCTCCCGCGTCACCGGGTGAGCAGGGAGTTAGTTTCTCTATTCCATCGGACATGACCTTTTGTGAAGTTAGTCACATCTTCATCTAATGAAATCGAAGAGGAGATTTTCAGGTGATATTGGAGGCCCTTACCTTTTTATAATGTGTAGCAGTTTGGATTTTCCGTACAGGTTGCATCAAAGCGTCTTGAACCGCAATACTGATATCACTTCCCGAGTAGCCCTCACTCAATTCTCCCAACTTTCTATAATCAGAGGCCACCAATTCACAAGGAGTAGTTCCGACACTGATCTCGAACATCTTAGTTCGTGCAGGTAAATCCGGAAGGGAAATATGGACACGGCGTTGAAAACGACGTCGAATGGCAGCATCTAGTTGCCAGGGGATATTGGTAGCACCTAGGACCAATACGCCTCGGCTGTCTCTTCCTACACCGTCCATTTGGACAAGCATTTCGGTTTTGATACGTCTCGAGGCTTCTGACTCTCCTTCTCCTCTGGGTCCGCAAAGAGCGTCTACTTCGTCGATGAAGATGATAGAGGGTTTGTTTTCGCGGGCCATGGTAAATAGTTGTTTGACTAATCTATTGAATTGTCAGACATGCATATCACTCCATGATAGGAATTCGGAAAACGTACCTTTCACTCTCTCCCATCCACTTACTGACCAAATCCGAACTGCTCACACTGAAGAACGTACTGTTTGCTTCCGTAGCTACTGCCTTGGCCAAATAACTCTTTCCTGTTCCCGGTGGTCCATAAAGCAGAATACCCTTCCACGGTTGTCTTTTCCCCGTGAACAAATGCGGAAACTTAATTGGCAAAATGACAGCCTCCTTGAGCGCCTCCTTTGCGGCCTCCAGACCCGCTACATCCTCCCACTTGATATTTGGTTTATCCTGTAGAATGGCTCCTTGCAATGCATTTCTCAACTTTTTACTCTCTGGATCCCCTTCCTCTTCATTGCCCTTTCCTCCGGCCGAACTCCCATTCGCTCCCATCATACTGGGTTTCTTTCGTTTGCCTTCCGCATCTGCAAGATGTGTTTTTAATTTTTCGGCTCGCTCCATGTATTCGCCGGCTTTGGCGCGGATCATTTCCTTGGATTTGGCATTTTTCTCCCATTTGAGAGCGAGCATGAAGAGTTCAAGAGACTGGTAGTAAAGTTGATATGCTTTATCATATTCCGCTGCGGTATCGGCTTCGATAGCCTTCTTAACCACATCTATGGCCCGCCCAAGGAAATCGGTGTTCGACATCTTGAGGGTGGGGTTTGCGAGTGTTGATGTTGATGTCTAGATAGAGAAGCTTGCCTCGATGTTAACGGAACTCCAGGCGATTATTTACAAGGCGCGTCTTTTTCTCGTCGAAGGACACCGAGATTGACGTTTGGTTTAATCGCCGTTGTACTTGACTTGAACAAGTCTCGAATTTGGTAGAATGACGACGATAACCTTGGTCAACAAAGAGGGTACGAATTAAACTCCGTAGGACTGTAAGAACGACTATTAATGGACCAGGACAGTATATTACTTCTCTATGCGCCCGGTATTCTCGTCCTATGTATCTTGGGGTATGGACCTGTGGAGGATATTGAGAATTCGAAAGTCTAGGTTGTCGCTTGAGCTTGTGAGCTTGGCGGTGTTTTGGTTGCCCCGCGATTGCGCTAGACATCGTCTCAATAATTTGATACTGGATAAGAGAAACTTACGAAATTTCGATATTGAAATATTATTCAGACAAATTATTTTAATTCTCTACGACTGCATTATAAGACGGTTGATTCGTGGCGCTCATAACTACAATCTATTGGTATAATTTGCAGCTTTCCTCGCACAGAGAAAGTAATCTACGCAGAGTATAATCAGCCTATTCAACTCAAAGCTCCAGACCAGAAACCAAATACCCTCACATCCTCACCATGGCAGAACAGCAGCAGCGACTCCAAGCTCTCACCGAGGAATATCAAAACCTTCAAACAGGTCATCTTCACCTCTCATCTCCTTCACATCTTCTCGCTATATATTAACCTCCCCCAGATCTCCAAAGCTCCATTTCTTCCCGCCAAAAGCTCGAATCCCAACAACAAGAAAACAAGAGCGTCCAAAAGGTACATCTCCCCTTCCTCCCCTTCTTATCGTTCCCATTCAAGTCCCACACCTTTCCACCTCCCGATGTTCTCCCAATTCCAATCCCAGAATCGCACTAACCCCGCTACCCTAGGAATTCTCCGCCCTCTCCTCCGACTCCAACATCTACAAGCTCGTCGGCCCTGTCCTCCTAAAGCAAGATAAAACCGAAGCTGTCATGGCCGTTGACGGAAGATTAGAATTTATCGAGAAGGAAATGTGCGTACCTTATCTCCTCTTTCTACACTTTACATCCCATCCTTTCTTCTGCAACACTCTCGGATGTTTTACTTATGGGACTTTCGGAATGGAGTTTCGAAGCAATCTTTCCAGATGAAATTTGAGAACACATGAATCTCTAATACTTTTTTTCCCTCGCCTATTTAGAAAACGAGTCGAACAAGCTATCAAAGACGTACAAGACAAAAGTGACGGCTTGAAGATGGAGGTATGTTCCCCCCTTCCACTCTTCCCAAGAAACTAAATTAACACCTCCTCAGATAATAAAACTCCAATCCGAGACCCAAGGGGCTCAACCCCAAGTCGCAGCCTAAATCCACACCAGCTAGAAAACATACATCAAAAGTACTTCAAAGAAATCAAGCAAAAGTAAGGCAGGCGGGCGTTAATATCATCAGGAATGTATAAAACATATACACAAAAGTATGTATGTACCGGAGCATTTGCATGGCCAAGGGCGTTAGATATCCATTTACTACATTTCCTACGTACTAGATATGCGTATGACGTATTCATAGTAGAGCGAGCAAGAAGTGACTTTGACCATACAAAATCTCGTTTTCTTCCCGCGTATTCATAATTAGCACAAACATCTTCTGATTTCGATTTTGATACAAAATACCGAGCTAGTCACATGTGAAGATGTAGACTTAAGAGCTTGTTAGAATCGATGTTTGAATCTCAATCTTGTAAATAATGCTCTCTATAGAAGGCTCTTTAAAGCCATCTAGGTATTACACAGCAGTCACACAAGCACAAGCACACCTCAACCACCAAAACACCATATAATAACAATACAAATATCGATATAATTTCCCTAGCAGTTCCATTCCAAAATACGTGCTCCTACCCGCCAGCCAGCTCCGCAGATCTAACCATCTAACTCTCCGTTCACATTTCCCAATCGAGGCCCAATCAAAGTGTCCATCAGTCCACACACACTCCTCTTCTAGAGTTCTCCTCAAGTCTCAAGTCTCGACTCTTGAATCTTGAAACCCCCCTCCTCGGTAAAACACTAAACCCCATCTGATCCCTCCCCCTCTAGAATACAAATTTGACTTATTCGCGCATCCCCATTCCAACTGATAGCTTCGCATAACTTCGCATCGCATCGTCTATCATGATTCTTGAATATAGATATGAACATAAATATCATCCGCACATGCTTTTCTCTTTTCCCTCTCCATTCCTCTTCTGCTGCATATCCCTAACCAATGGAATCCAATTCAATCCACCAAACAACATCCCACCTACTACCTAGCATGCAACCAAAAAGCCCCATTTACACATCCCATATTCATAATCATACCCATACTCATGAATCATTCCCTCATTCCCTCATCCAGAAAGAAAGAAAAGGTCTCAAATATACACATCCCATCCCATCCATCCCATCCCACCCTATTCCCCTTCCACCCTATTCCCCATCCACACACGAACACCACACTTCCAAACCCAAACAAACGAATATAAATAACCAACAAGAAAGAACTTTAATCATCCCCATCTACTCATATTCTCTCTTTGTTGTTTACCGAAAAATGAATATCAAATATCACACCCGTCCGAACGAAAACTCTTTATTCCCTTCCCAACCCTCCCTAACTGCCTATCCTCGCAGGCCCAAGCGATTCTACCCCCTACCCTACCAAACCAAACCCAACACAACCCTACCCATCAAACTCAAACTCAATGCCAAGACACAAAACACAAAACACAAGAAGCAAGACACAGAAAGCCCACGGCAACAAAAAAGACACACCATGCAATGATAAAAAAAAAGGGATAAATCTTAATACATATAACACGAACTAATTAACTGAATTGATCTGCTCGAGTTGCTCGGCGCGCTCTCTTAAAATTCATGGTGATATCAAAGTTTCCCACCCCTACCCTATCCTATCCGATCCTACCCAGATGATCATCTCCTGTGTGGAGGCCAGCTGGTACCGTTGGAAAACGACCGCCCATCCGCCCATCCATCCCTTTCCCATATGTACTAGTATGCTGACTTCTATCTTTCTGCTATCATGCCGTCCGTCCGTTCCTACCCATGATGCTAAATGCTTGATGCTCGGGTTGTTTTTCTGTGAGTGGGTTCAACCAGCGAGCACACTTCACATTTCACTCTTGTCTTTCCCGTATTCCTCTGCTTTCCTCGATCTGATTCTGAGGAAGATATAGGATCGTGAATGTGTACATCCCATCATATCCATCCCATCCAGCTCTACTCTCCCCCTCCCAGAGATAGCCACCCAACAACACCACCGTCATGCATACGCAAAGCCCAGCACAACCAACCAACCACCCAAAACTTTTATATAGCCCATCCTTCTCCCCACACAACCTCATTACCTCTCCCCAATACTCTCCGGGCTCATGGGAATCGTCGCCCCATCATCTTTTTCCACCGGACTATTCCCATCCATACTCTCCTCCACGCTCCCTGCATTTCCATTCGGCAATCCTGACTTGCCCTTCTCACCCTTACCCTTCTGTGGACTTCCACTCCCACCCGTCTTAATCGACAACTGTGAATCGACTGCCGATCCATTATCCAATTTCTTTTTCTTCTTCGCATTACCACTCTGTTCTTTAAGAGGTCTCTTTCTCGGACTTGTAATTTTACCCGTTGGACCCAGACGTGGTCGAGTGGGTTTTTGTTTCCCAGTCAGTTCCTCGTCTTCTAGTAGCGGTTCATCATCATTCGCATGTAACTTAGCGAGGAAGAAATTCTTGACCAGGCCGATCTGACTGGTGATGCTTTCCTTTGTAATAGGTGGTAAAGGTTCGAGTTGTGCGAATATTTCGGCTTGGGGCGCTGCAGCTGTGGGTCCCTGGTAGGCGCTACGAACTCTCGTATGAAGGAGATGGAGTGGTACGCCAAGACTTGTCATTGAGAATTCACTATCCAAACCAAGGGCCTTGAAACCAAAGTAATCTTCGCCGAGTTCTGCTGCAAAGTCACCACCGACAAATTGTTCACTGCCTTCGTTGAATGCACCAGATCCATCTTGACTATTATCTTGCAGAGCGGGTCTGAGTAGATCTGTAAGATGAGCCTTCATGCGTTCATGCATTACCGAAAGTTTGGTTCCGAGACGCTCAACATCATCCTTAACGTAGCTTTCCAAGGCTTCTATATCAATACCGTTTTCACCCAAACTATGCAGGACGACTTCTTCGTTGGTATAACGTTCTTGCCATTTGCTTCCAGTGCCAGGTGCAGCAGGGACTTTATGCGCTTCTCGATAAACACCAAAGGTTTTGACAATTTTGCCAAAGAAATCTCCGGCAATATCAGTTATAACATCTAAAGCAGACGGTTGCAATTCTTCAAACCCGGCATGATAGCAAAGCTTGGCGACAGAGCGTTGCATTGCAGCTCTACAAACCCAAGAAGACATGATAGGACCATCATCTGAAGTGACATGTGGTTCGATATCAGTTTCTACGAAGGGTTCAGGCTCATACTTGGGAAACTGATTGTTGTACATCTGCATGGAAAATCAGTAAAAGTCAATCTTTTGCCATAATCATCTCAATCTTACCTGCGCCTGCAATTGCATTTGCTTTATAACACCAATCTTTGAACACAACTTTCTCGTTTCTTGCATTTGCTTCATATTCGCCTCCACTTTGCCAGTCAAGAAACTTTTCGGTGCGGTAAAATGTCCAGCGGGTACCATTCGAAGAAATTCTCCCGACTGTTCGACCAGATTACCATCCGCATCTTCCACCCATTGTAATTTCGGGTTGATATCTGGAATGGCTGATAGCGGATCATAATAATCAGGCAAAAACTGTTCTTCTTCGCCCTCCATACCTTCGGCAAGAGTCTCTGCGCCCTGTTTCGCTTTTTTATCTTCAATGGCGCCTTCGACATTCGAGCTATTGGGATCATCCAGTTTCCGTTGGCGCAGCCACCTTCTCATTCCGGCTTTGCTTCGTAAAAGAGCAGGTTCATCTGGATTCAACTTATCACCTTTGAATAACCGATTTCGATCTTTAGCGACCATGGCACGATTTTTCTTGGTGACCTGCTTCCAGATTTTATACTCTTCATCTTCATAGATATTTTCTGCCGCAAATCCTTGCATACCCATGCCGTTGATTGAAGGGACATCAATATCCATACCATCACCCTGACTAGCGACACCATTCATGCCGCCAGGTGTTACTGAACCACCTGGGATCGGAGTAGAAAAGCCATTCTGACTGCCATCCACTTCCGAGCCATCCTGATTGAGGTTCCCAAGAACGCCATTGAGTTGAATAGCAGGTTTTTGATCGATGCCCGGGGTGCTTTCTTCACGCCTGGAAGTATTCTTCCGTGCCTTGCCATGCCCCTTTACACCTCGACCGCCTTCACCGCGACCTCTAGAAGACATGATAGGTTCGTCATCACTTTCATCAGCATCATCCCCTCCGTTTTGTTTGCGACGTTCCTCTGCTTCTACTTCTGCTCGAGGTCGAATAACAAGATCTGGAATCAAGGGTATAAGTTTTGCTGCCTCTTTCCTCATACTTTCCGCATTTCTTCGCAAAGGATGTTTATCTGCGCCATTATAATTCAAGCAATTCTCCCATATCAAATCGAGATCGGCAACAAATTCACTCTTCGATCTGTACTGGTGTGTCTTCAACTTCTTAGTCATTGTGCCGAGGTCCATAGGGTGCTTGATAACTATTTCATGTCAGCGGCAAAATTCACTTATGGATGAGCCATGGAAATTACCATTGTAATAATCAGGAGCCTCGCGCTTGTTCACTCTGACGAGAAAAGGTGCCGAGTATTCTGTCATAGCCTTGAGCTCACTCAAAACCTTATCCGCAGCCTCGTATAATTCTTCCTGGTTGACATTGTCCTCACTGGCCCATTTACTTCTATTCTTACGAACCTCATTGATCAAGGCTCTCAACTCTAGATCCGTAGCTTGGACCCTGTCACGCTTGGCGTCGATGCGAGCAAAGAGATTCTTCAACGTCAAACTCGATGCGCCCATCTCGGCACTGGCCAGGGAACTATGCTGTTCGGCTTGTCGATTATTAGCAGGTCCAGCATTGCCGTTATTGTCCATTTCCGCGTCTGTTTGCCTTTCGGATTCCTCCAGCCGCTGCTGTTCCAGCATGGCGATCCGATCATTCTCCAATGTATAGAATATGGTATTGAAACTGCGCTTGGCAGCATCCTCGACCGCCTTCTTCTCCTCTTCCAATTTCTTGCGCGCATCTTCAGAGGTTTTAGGTTGGTCGCTCGGCGCGTCATCTTTATTTTGTTCCGCGTGCTTTGAGGGGGATAAGTCAGATTGGATGGGGGAACTCCCTGACTTCGAAGGCGACAACAAAGCATTCACGCTTCTTGTCTTTGAGGGGGAATCTTGTTGTTCATCCTCGTCATCCTCGTCATCATCATCATAATTGTCCTCGTCTATAGCGCGCGCCGATTTCTTTGGTGGTTGTGCTTGCTTAGCCGGTTCAATGGCGGTTGCATCCTCGACCAATTGTGTATTTTGTGTCGAGACATCATGCTCTTCATTGGCATCTGCAGGAGAATCTCCACCTTCAAACAATCCCACCAACTTTGCCTCGGTGCGGCGATATAATTCTTTAAATATTGTCCTTTGACTTTCCTCCTCCTGTACGTTGGCCGAGTCAGCCATTGTGGCATCGAATATACTTGGAGTATGCGATCGCGGAGGAGTATTGTTTTTATTTTGGTAAGTCTTTTGGGAATGAATTATATTCGATGAGGAAGGTGACCATGATGTGCCATTTGTGATGGAAGAGTTGTGTCCGGATACCCCAGAGCGAGACAAAAGTCCCCTCTCTCCGCCGCCCATAACGTCAAATCTCTAGGTCGCGACAAACCGTCTTAAAGTTGTCGCCTTTTCGTGATTTAAATTGGCTTCGATATTGTGCGCATCTTTGTATCAGATTTGCGCAAAATATTGATTAATTTATGGCGTTGATGTTGATGGTTTGATGAAGTTCTTGAGATGAGGTTAGATTTGGTGGTTGTAGGACGTTGTCTGTGATTCCCTTACCTAGAAATCTAGCACTCGTAGTGTATTGAAAAGACAATGAATTGAGCAACTTCTGAAGCATCATTTCCTCATGGATTCCATGTTCTCACTCCTGGAATATCTTCAAAATTCGCATATAGTTACAATACATCACAATTTACAAACATAAAGATATACATTTCAATTATCTATCTATTTTCCCATGTACAGGTCGAATTAAAGATCACCTCGTACTGAATCTCCATATTCAACATTGAAGATATTGGTCCGTGCAAAAATTTTGATAGGTGCACGAAGTAGACTGACTAACCATTGGAAAGAAATTGAACCTCAGGTGTGATTTCGAGCTGTAGCCAACCCACATGGGAGATGGAGAAGGAATCTGCAAGTTGCCAGGTTTAACCAGAAGCTCTGAACTCTTTTTGAACACAAGAAGAGAGAGCTTGTCTCAACATAATACAGAAGGAAATCAACTATCTCCAGACTTCCAACACCCATACAAGTTAGTTAAAGACTAGCAGTGATGCTTTTTTAAACTCAAGGAAATCCAATTTACTACATAAGAAAAGAAAAGGGCTCGAGGAATTTCAAGAGAATGCGCATAAGGCTACCCTTTGCAGGTAAATCATACTTTAGCTCCCCCTCCTAGTTCCATGTCCTCCCCTCCTTCTCCACACCATACCAACCTATCCATAATCCCTTCCCCCATGTCCCCAGAGATCTCCAAAACTAATACAGTCTTGTCACCATAGGAGCATTCCTGTTCCTTCTCCTACTCGCTGGTTATGCAGGTTTAACATCCATCCAAGTCGACGCAGTCATCAATGACAAAGTCCTACACACCATAACCTTCTTCATCCTCACCGTCGTCTTCTATTGGATACTCGATACCAGTCGTCGAAGAAACCTCAACTTTACCTTGATAATCTGCACCGGTATTCTTGGAGTCGGTTCCGAATTCCTCCAGGGTTTCTTGCCCAATGGTAGAACCTTTGATTTCTACGATATCGTCGCCAATATCGTAGGTTCGCTCGCCGGCGTCGCATTGTGTAGTTGGTATCATTTACGGATGTTGGAGCGTAAGCGATTGGCAAAGACATATCATGTTGTACCTGGGGATGAAGAGCAAGATTTGGAATTGGGAGAGGGAGTGGGAGCACAGGAGAGTGGTGTGGCCGCGGCATCAAGGACACTAGATGAAGAAGTGGACAATTGGGATGAGAATATGGAAGATGCGTGGGATGAGGATGAGCAAGCAGACGTTGTGGACAGTGTCGAGGGCGAAGGGTTGAAGACGCCAAGTGCCAGCAGCACTGGTGAAGTCGACGGAGACCCAAAGAAAAGGGCAGTCTAAGTTACAATATAACTTGCTATGATGTTACTGATATGATTGGCTACAACGTAGTTTTGTGAAGGATCGAAACTAAATCTTCCTTAACGACGAAATATGTTAGGTAATAGGATGTATATTAGATGATATTTCATGCAAAAAAGGAAAACACAATGGAAGAGACATAAGCAACTGATACAATTTTTTTTACCAAGGTTTTTGGTTCAAACACTGTAATATACCATCCACAAATTAATGAGTGTGGGGGAGTCTATCAACCGAAAACCCCCAGTACAGACGCATGATATTGTCCACACGCAGCACATCATACCCTTCTCCCATCACAAATTCTAACAACCCCATAATACTTGACAACCTCCATTAGAGTATATCACCCGTGAATGCACATGCCGCTCCTACATCATGAACATGAAAAATACACTTTGAAGGTGCTACAGGTTTAGGAGATGAAAAAGGAACGGACGGAGGCACGAAGCTCCCTTTTCTAATAACATCCATCCAATTTGATACATCCTTCCACAATTCCGGATGACCAGATTTCATCATCCAGGCCTGTTTCTTTGAAAAATCTCTCATAACCAAAAGGCTATTTGCCAATGAGTGTGATACGAATGAACGAAGTTTGGACCCATCATCCGTATCCACATAAATCAGATGGGCGTACTTTTCGTCGAACGTCAATTCATCATGCATTGCACAATTTGTGATGAGAACGGTCATGGTATAATCCATAAGTTCTTGGAGTTCGTATTCAATTCCTAGACCATACAGGATGATGCGACTTCGAAAGGGAATAGGTCCCTCTTCGATATCCAAAGGTGCGTACACCCCGAGCTGAATCCAGTCGAGAAACAAAGCAAAGGAAGTTGGTTCTTTCTTGGGAAGATTCATATGGCTGAGCTCGGGATTCCGCGTGAAAATCTCATCGAAGTATTTGGCTTTGGCACGAAGAAGGGCTTTCGGGGCGTGAAAGGTCCGACGATTGTATGTGACATTGCCGACGTATAGTCTGATGAAGTCATTACGGTCACCAAAACGCGCCCGTGTATTCCCCTGTTTACCCAAATATTGCCGACCCTTCTCATGTATGTTCTTCGAAGATTCTGCAGTGGCATGCTTTTCTTCTGGGTCATTTCCTTCCTCCAGTGGCAACGTAGTATTGGTATCATTAAAGGGTGCCATTCCCTCCTGCGTTGTCTTACCACTCTCTCCATCGATCACCGAGCCAGCCCTCATCTTATGTTTCCACCTCTTTGTCGATTTCTTCCTCTCCAGCCCCGCATATTTTATATCCTCGCCTTCCTTTCCGATCGCCATTGGTCGGGGTTGTGTGTGTGTGGTGGTTTCATGAACTTCAAAGCTATTGCGATGGAGTTCGAATCTTAATACTAGGTAACTGAACCAGACTAGATAATCAAAAGATACTTGTTATACCAACGTCCAGAGATATCCTAAAACGATCTACCGACTTCCAGTCAAAACGAAATGATGCTCAGCAAATAACAATGAACACGATTTCAAACGATACAATATTGATCTGCAAAACGAGATGATCTAGCCTTCAGTGAAGGATACGAGAAGAGACAAATCAGAAACCAAAACCAAAATCGAGAAGAGCATTGAAGAATTAATGGGTGTACTTAGGACTGAAAAGTTTGATAGAAGAGAAAACAGGAATTTAGGGCAGAAGACTTGAGAGATTGAAGAAACATATGAAATTAAGAAAGAGGTGTGAAATTCCCCTACTGCTAAAATCGGAAAGCGCGACTGCTTGACATGGCAATTTATGACATGAAATCTTACTAGCGAGGCTCTTGCTGAGAGCCGACCTTGTGGTAGTAATTTACAATTGACGGTATGAAATGGAGTGAGGCAATAGAACTTTTTGATCCAAAAGCTTAAAAATAGCACAAATTTGCTTTAACTTACTTGTAGATTTTCAAAACCATGGTTTTTGGGCTTTCTATTTCTTAGCCTATTCGCTCTCCCGGAATTTGGCTATGCATCGACAGTTCTACTCAGACTTGAATATCGTACCATAAGATTCTTTTCTGGATTGATAGAGTTTGTATACACGTTTGTGGGCGTTTGACTGCGAAATGATGTTTTTGCAAATAATTGGCAGATAGGTCTAACACAATCACCTTGATTGCAGATCGTCATCATGTCATGATTTAAAAACTCATGCTGATTTCCAAGGATCTTTTGTACACATAATAAACATTAGGCCCAAAATCATTTCTCATAACTCGTCAATCAGCTTTCCAAATATGACCACCACCTTTCTGCCAAAGCCATAAAGCTTCTATCGCGTAGGCTTTGCTGCCTTGGTGTCCCCCTTCAGTATTAGCAGCTTCCTCGAGCGTCTGAATAACTTTGCCCTCTTCCACGATTCTCCATAGACCCTTTGGCATCTCAGTACCCGGATCTCCCCACTCGCCTCTGCCGAGCCTGTATAGGAATCTCCCCAGAGTTTGGAATGCAATACATCTTTGGGCTGGAAATGCTGAGCGAGCCAATCTTGCTAATTCCGGAATTGTATACCCAGCGGCTTCAGGAGCCTCACCATGATGATGTAGCCCTTTGGTGATTGGCATGGCCCTTGCAATTCTAGGCGGCAACAAACCTCCTCTAAAATCAAATCGAAGAGCTGAAGCAGCCAAAGCTTCCGCTGCTGGATAATAGGGAGATTCTTGGTCTGCTACCGAACCATGTGTGGGTATTGGTGCCATCCAGGCGAGCTTTGAAGGATCAGCGGGAAGAGACGGATAATATTTCTGATGTAAGTTCTCGAGGAACGAAGGGTCGTTCGGGTCTAAGTCTGGAACAGCGGAAGCGGTCGGGAAGTGTATAGATGGTTGAGGAAGTTCAGGGACGCTCGAAGCAGGCTCTGATGCTGGTTTTAGATCTATGGGTTTTGCCGGCTCTTCATCTTCTTCAAATCTCACAGACTTTTGAGGCATGACTGGCTTTCCTTCTGGTTTGGGTGCAGGGGTGGCTTGATCTTTGTTTTCTGGAGGTATTGTTTTGGTTTCATCGCTCTTTAGAGATTGAGTCAAAGATGGGGGGTCAATTCCCGTATCTCCACGTCCATCATCAAAATTGGCTCTCTTCAAAAGTCGCTGGATCAACGAAGGATCTAAAGTAGCGAGTAAGTCTTCTTGTTCTTGCTCAATCTCTTCCTTTGACATGGAAGCTATTCTCATTTTGTTCTCCTCGTCTATTCTTTTCCTTTCTTTTTCGATACTGAAATCGTCCTCCTGCGCAGCTGCTTTCTCTGCGCCCGTTGGACGTCCCTGAGAAGGTGGAACTCCGAAAGCATTGGGAGAATCTGCTACCGCTGCATTTGGAGTGTCTGCCACCGAATCATTTGCGTTACCCGCCCTTTGTTTTTTGAATGCTGATACTCGTATTCTTTTTTTATGTTCGGGAAAGCCTGTTGTTGAAGTTTTTAATTGAGGAGCTGTTGGTGGTTTTGTCGAACGTTCTTTGATATCTGCGACGAAGGGAGAGGTAAATGAAGGGACATTGTTCGATGGAATAGTTGAATTTGATTCGATTTCATCCTCATCATCGGAAAGATTCACAGTAAATCTCTCACCACGAAACTCCATGATTTAGTAGATTTTTTGCACAGAGTACCTAGGTCGTGGTTTTGTAGTCTTTTTGTTTAGGTTGTGGAGAAATTAAGATCCGTATGCAAGGCTGCTAGGATATCAAAAACGTGAGCCTCTAAGATAAAAATAAGGTTATGCGCTAACTCATATCTGACTAGCTGCATTTCACCAACATTTATTTCGGGAAGCCATCAGACGTCGAGCAACGATTGACAACATCTCGATGGAAAACAATATCAATTGTATTGTTACATTTTGGCTCGAGGTTTATGCATGTGAATGATCTGCCGACGTAAGTGTCAATATTAGGTCAATACCTTGGTCGTTATCATATATATGTATCCTCAGATGAATCAAAATATGTACCAACTATGATACGAACATTTAAAGGGGAAGCTTGAATTGAAGTAGGTTCTGGGACTGTATTTGCCGAAAATGGAGAGATTTCTTTTAAATGCGGAACTTCACATACGGCTGCACACACGGAGATGTAATCTGATGATTCCGTTGGATATAACTGGGTATAAAATCACATGCATTATTAGCTTTCAATATCATTCCCCCTTGTCAATTTATAGAAGTAGAGAGACTGGGGTGGTGAGAGTCAGTCGACTGAGTCCTATTGTTGGAAAAACGGATAATTATTACCTACCTAGTAGTGTTAACTACGATACTAGTATTCTTCAAGCTAAAAATAAGGGAGAATTGATTTATCGAATACTACCTAGGTTATGGATAGCTAAGTGCTTCTTTCTTTCTTTCTTGGCCTCTTTCCCTCTCTCTCTCTCTCTCTCTCTCTCTTTTATATTTGTATTCTTAATTTACCGGTACTTTATATCTATCTAGTAATTGCCTAGGTACCTCTAGCTAGGTACCTACTAAATTGACTATGTTGCCTTATGTAAGCCGTTGTACCCTTTTGACCCTTTGCCCCCTTTAGCCCTGGTCTTGTTTCGTCTATCGTCTATTCTCATCGGACAATCAATGGTAGCTTGGAGCAGGTGCTGATGCTCTTCTACATTGTACGCTTCTCTTTTCCCTGGTCCGACCAATCAGGTTGCCGAGGGACCTACAGCTCAGAGGACTATTTTAATTGCTTCGATGATCCGCAATGGAACACACCCACACCCACACCATCCACCATCCACCATCCACCACCGCACTTAAACTCCGAACACATACCCCCATGTCCAACACCCAAATCTCAAGCAAAGCCCCATCTGCCCAGACCAAGTCGTACCAATTGATTGAAGTGAAGGTGGGTAGGAAAAAGCAAAGAAATCGAAACAGAAAGGCTGACTTATTGCTCGTACTACGGCACTTTGGACGAACTAGCGTGGACAATCTCTCTCGCTCTCTTTGCTCTCTTTGCTCTCTCTTGCTTGCTCTCTCTCATCTCAAGTCATCAGTCAGTAGTCAGTAGTCAGTAGTCAGTAGTCAGTAGTCAGTAGTCAGTAGTCAGTTACTCAGTCAGTCAGTCAGTCAGTCAGTCAGTCAGTCAGTCAACTTAATCAAATCAATCAATCAGTCCATGTTCCGGCAACCGTTCTTTCCCAATCCAATTCCCACTTCCCTTTTGCTTCCTTCCCTTCTCTTCCCTTCCCTTGCCCTTCCCTCTCTTTACCCTTCCTTTCCCTTTCCCTTTCCCTTTCCCTTTCCCTTTCCCTTTCCCTTTGCCCTTGACCACCACCACCACCACCACCACCACCACCTACCTACCTACCTACCTTACCTACCTTGCCTTTCTTTCCCATCCGTTCCATACGGTAAAAAAAGAGTTTCTTATTAAATGGCGTCTGTGAATAATTGGAAATGTCGCTTGTATTGAATTAAATCCAAAACGTAGTAATGATCAAAGTACAAGAAGTCTAAAATCCCCCTCTCTTCAATCTCTATATCTAAACACCTTTTCAACACTTTTCTTCAACCCAAACCCTTCTTCTCATTTACACTTAACAATTTATACCAAGTTCAAATAATCATTCGATCCATTTCATCAATCATTTTTGACTTTCTATCCATCACCACCTCAAAATAATACTGAGAGATACCGATAAGTCCCAGCTATTTGTTCATCTATCCATCACATTAACCTCAACTCGCTTCTGATCAACAACAACGATTTTTTCATTTTTCTCATCCTCGTGTCAAAATTGAAGCTATTCAGAAGTTCCGCAACGCTTTCGTACGACGAACGTTACCGCCAACAACAATCACGGGTTACATGCAAATCACGCCAAAAATCAACAATTCATAATTGAAATACGTACACTTCTCCAGAGATTAATAGATGGTGTTGATTACACATTTAATTTCCCCAAATCATATAATTTGAGTTTATTTGTCAAAAATGTCAAATTCTCATGATGTTCGCGGGGTTTCACCACCAATGGGTTCCAACAACAGCAATTCCGATTTATCATCCCCACCAAGATCCAGTCCCGAGTTAGATGACATACAAATTCGTAATGATGCAAATAGCATTACCGTCAACCAATCTAATGGTGCTGCTTCAACATCAGAAAAGCCAACCCGCAAGAAGGCGGTTAGAAAACCTAGAATAAAGGCCGGTGATGCTAGTTCGGCCACCAATACCGACGCTCCAAAAACCAAAAGAGTACGCAAACCAAGAGACCCTAATGCTCCTCCTTCGGCACGATCACGAAAGTCAAAGGCTGCACCTTCCGAAAATACCAATATGGGAGAATCATCACGACAAACAAAGATTACTGATGCTCCTGGAATGCATTTAAGTGATGTTAGTTTCAGTGCTCCTGCAACCCCACCAGTACAGAACGCTATGATTGCCAATTCGGGTCAAAGTGAGGTTATTCCCAAATCCTTCTTCAATTCCGCCCCACCTCAACCAAAACCTCAAGTTCCTCCGCCACAACAAGTACAGCAACAAATCAGTCAACCCCAGTCACATGTACCAATACAACAACCACAACCACAAAGTGCGGTCCGTACTAGCGGTCAAAATTATGATCCTATTAGATCGAATTATGATCCCGTTCGAGAAACCCTCGTCAGTCACCACTCGTACAATAATTCTCAAGGATCACCCATTCCGCCTCAAGTTACCAATCGCGCAAGTGCATCACCGTCCATCGCCAGTCTTGTCGACCCTCCTAATCAGCCATTGACTTCGCCATCGGCTCATTCGTTTTTAATGCATCAACAACGTCAACAAGACGGACATACTTCCTTACCTGCATCCCCAATTGTCAACAGGTTAGGATTGTCAGCAATTTCTGAGACAAATAGTCCTCGGCCCTTTGCACCTACCCCAACATTAACGTCACAACCAATGCCCGCCCCAACACCACCTACTGCTCCAATTGTTTTAGCGCAAAAGGAACCTCAAGTTTCCAACGGTAATTCGAATAAGAAAACCGCAATCAACGGAGTTTCAGGAACATCAACGCCCAAGCCACCGGCAAAGGGCAAAGAGAAAGAAAAAGAAAAAGAAATTCTTCTTACCCCACCGCCACTTCCTGGTTCAGGCCTGATGGGACTCGGAGGTAATGACGGTACGGAGACGCGTGCCCCTACAATTGTTCTTGACATTCCCTTGAATGGCGATGTAAATGTCTATGTCAATTTCGCTCGCACGGCCGAGGAGAAATATGGTTGGGATGCCTTACACCCCCGACTGGCAGCTCAACGTGATCGGCTCGCAAGGGTTGCAGCGGCAGGTGCAGCCTTGGAGAGAAATGGCTCCAACAAGGAGAGTGGCGATGAAATGTCACTGGATTCTGAAGGAGAGGGTAGTAATGTTGAGATGGGCGGAATGAGCGATGGGCGAGTTGGTACTGATAGCGGTGCAAGGAAAACTAAAGCTGCTCCCAAAAGAAAGACCAAGGAGGATGAATACGACAAGGACGACGGTTTTGTTGACGATTCGGAGATGATTTGGGAGGAGCAAGCTGCCGCTGTAAATGATGGCTTCTTCGTATATTCTGGTCCTCTCGTTCGAGAGGGTGAGAAACCAACACTCGAGAGGTATGTACCACAGATCATTGATGAAACCCAATATAGAGCTAATTCGTTACACAGAGGTGAGGGTCCAGCAAAGAAGCCTCGAGTTCGAAAGCCAAAAGCCGCCACAGGCGAGAAAGCCACCACAAGCCGTGTTAGCACGGGTGGTAAAGCTGCTGCCGCTACATCAAGCGGAGCCGGTTCTCGTGGTGGAAACACAGCAGCACGTAAAGCTCGTATCACGAAAGCTGATCGTGCACGCATGGAGCAAGAGAAACTCGAGCGAGAGCAGATGGGTTCAATGGCTGGTATGCCCGGAGGATACAATACCATACAGCTTGCACCAAGTTTGGGTGGAACACCCATGGTTTTTAATCAGTAAGATCAATGAATGGAGTGGGTGGCATTTGGCTGGGATCAATGGACGAGCGTTTCATCTTGTAGAGTTTTTTATTCTTGAAAACATTACCTCCGTGTATGGGTGGAAATGGTAAACTTACCAAGGCGTTGGGGAGGGCGGATCGAAATGCGTATGGAGTATTGGGTTGGGGTTTCAATCCACGCGCATACAATCCTGGTTGTACATTAGACTGCCTATATTTGCATGAGTGAACAGTTCTATACCTTTTAACTGTACGAGTATACTGCGGAACAAAAATTTCAGATGTTATAATATTCATTTTGCTGGGCACTTGAGATCTGACGGGATGTTGATTTGATTTTGGTAACCTAGAGAGTTTCGGCGGGCAAGCTAAAGCGGCAAGCAGGCAATATGTTTGTATGTACTCGTACGAAGAATGTGAAGCCCAAGATACAAGTCAACGTCATGGAATATATGAAGATGAGTATATCTCTGAAGATGGGGATGAACCTCAGCATCGAGTTTACTTGTACATTCAAGTGTCAGATCAGTATCCATCCATAGCACTATTGCTAGGTACTACTAGATGAACCAAGCAGACCCAATTATCAGTCAATTTATCAATCGATAACAAAAATACCCCTCGCTAAAAGCGGCCAGCACCGAGCGTCGGTTTCAACGATATGATTGCATCACAATCCCCAAGCCATAAACACAGGCACGAAAAAGTATTTCCCGCCCGCATGAATCCCTGTTGATAGCTCTTTTTGTTCCCTTCGAACAGAGTCCAACTTTCTATTCCGCAATTTCCATTCGCCATTGTCATTGCCACCGTCACTGTCACTGCTATATACATCTAACTCCACGCACGCAGTTCTCCTGCGACACACACCTCCTTCACGATGGCCTCAACCACGGCTGCCGCCCGGGAAAAACCCAAACAGAGACCCTCTGCGCTGCGCAGCATCATCGCAGGCAGCACGGCCGGCGCCGTCGAGATCGCCATCACGTACCCGTTTGAATTTGCAAAGACGCGGACGCAGCTGAATAGAAGATTGCCCGAGAGCGGGAAACTTCCGTGGCCAAAATTTGGGAGCGCCTGGTATGCGGGGTGTACGACGCTCATTATTGGGAATTCGTTGAAGGCGGGGATTAGTATGTTTTTTTTTTGGTTTCTCCGGCTGTCTTGGGGATTTTGGAATTGGGATTGGGATTTACCTTGGATGGTTGGAAAATGAGGGGAAGGAGAAGCGATAATGTGGGAGAGGTACGGATGTGAATGAATGAATGCTAATCTCAATCGCAAATAGGATTCGTCGCATTCGATCAATATAAAGCACTACTCCAGGACGCCGATGGGAAGATTTCCGGGCCCAGAACTGTCATTGCTGGATTTGGAGCTGGTGTGACGGAGAGTTTATTAGCAGTCACGCCTTTCGAGAGTATCAAAACTACTTTGTAATCCCCTCTCTCCTCTCCTCTCCTCTACTCTCCAAACAAAGATAAAAATCTAACACAACCCCAGAATCGACGACCGCAAATCCACCAAACCCCGTCTTCGAGGCTTTCTCCACGCCGTCCCCATCATCGCCCGTGAAAGAGGCCTGCGCGGTTTCTTCCAAGGCTTCGTCCCCACCACCGCCCGTCAATCTGCCAATTCCGCTGTTCGCTTCGGCTCCTACACTTCGCTGCGTCAGCTCGCACAATCCTATACCGCGCCGGGGGAAAAATTGGGCGCTTTGTCTACCTTTGGAATCGGAGGATTGGCAGGTATCATCACGGTTTATGTGACGCAACCGCTTGATACGGTGAAGACGCGCATGCAGAGTATAGAGGCGAGAACGCTGTATAAGAATAGCTTCCACTGCGCGAGCTTGATTGCGAAGAATGAGGGCCTGTTTACGTTTTGGAGTGGGGCTTTGCCGAGATTGGGCAGATTGATATTGAGTGGTGGGATTGTGTTTACGATGTATGAACAGAGTATTGAGTTGATGGGGAGAGTGGATCCAAATGGTAGGTTCATCTAGGGGAAGGCAATGTGAAGGGGAGGGAAAGGGAAGATACATGTACAGGCAAAACAGTGAAGACTCGACACGCCTCGTAGAATTCCGTGATATACCTCGAGGGTACCAGCTTTGCAGTGGAAGAATAGCTTGCGGGTTTGGATATCTGGGGTTGTAGTCTCGGTAGGAGGAATGGAGTGATGAGCTGTGCGCTTTGTATGTGTGCTGTACAGAGCAGGCGTTGCTATTGCTCTGCCCTTGCTCTTGGGCACGTAGAAATAAAGATGGCAAAGAGAACAAGAAAGAAAGAGCTTGGTATCTAGCTAGAGATTCAGAGTTCAAGGCTCGAGTAACTACCTATCCTTCAACGAATGTATTATGATTCCCCAATGAATATATGACCCTCTATTTACTGAGTGATACAGGTACTTATGCAATCATCTCTTCGTCCTTTGATTTCCAGACATCTTTCATTCGTCAAACTCTTTAATCAACCACACTTACTAAACTCCTAGTATTTACAGAATTCTATTCCATTCCCTAACTATTTATATATACATCCCAATTCTACCCTTTTTTCTTTCTCCCTTTCATCATTGTCATCATTTTAATGTAAGTAAAGCTCTCACTGAAATCGTAAAGCTCCCTTCCATCTGTTCACTTGCTGTTGGAACCAACTCCTGTTAGGAGCCTCCTCGAGCTCTTTTACTAGATCTTCGTAGTATGTTGGGTTGCTGGCGGGTTTGAGGGTTTTGCTTGTGAGGGGGTACTAGATTGAGAGGGGTGTTAGTTGAATTTTTATGTTACTCTTCTTCCTCCTTTTCTTTATTTCTTCCACACTCCGAGAGAGAATTTAAGTATTCTCTGCTATGCCTCTCCTTGAATCCGGATAGTAGAATAGAATGGGATAAATCAAATGAAACGAAATAAAATGAAACATACCTTGCCCGAATAGCGATTCTCAAGCAAACTATACAGTGCGTTTACCTGACCGAGCTCTCTCTTTTCGTTGAAGTTTCCCGCGGCAGATATGCGCTCGAGGCGGCGACGGATGGCGTCTTGGAATTGGGCTTCGGGACGGAGGGCATCTTTGGGCCAGCGGGAGAGGGCGCAGAGGTAGTGGCGGGTGGCGGGCTGGAGGAGGGGAGGGGTGTTAGTTGGGTTGTTTGGGTTAGGTTGGGGAGGGGCAGAGGGGAGGAGGTAAGAGGGGAAACAAGACAGGGAGGCGTTGAGTATAATGAGGATATATATAGCTTATGCAGACTCAGAGGTTCCAAAAGTCCTCATAGCACAATTACTCTATCCCATTCCATTCAATTCATCCCATGATATAACATGAAGATCTAGACTTCTAGGCCAAGCGAGCAACATCTCATCGCATCTCGCCCCCCAAACCAGTTCCAGCATTTGAATCCCCAAACACCACGATCATCAACATTCAAGAGCAAAACAAAAGATAAAGAAAGTCCACACTTACCGATTGCGACATGATGTTTTCAATAAATTAAAAGCTCTCGTACAAAGTATTCACAATGGAGAAATGGACAGGGAATCTTTTGGATCTCGTTGAATTGGAGGGGGAGAAATAAAATGGATTTTCAATGCAGATTATATTATGGGTGTGATGTGATGTGATGGATAGATTACTAGGGATGTGGGTGGTAGGTACAGGATGCGGTCATGACTTTGGGAGAATGGTGAGTGGAATGAATGATGCTTCTAGGGCGCGCTAGAGCCTAGAGAGGAATGAGAGTTAGTGAGTTTTAGTGGGTGGTGGGTGGTGGTGCATGTTTTGTTATGCGCGAGATGGATGCGGTGCGAGATTAGATTTTGCTCACTAACCGGTGGTGCGGTGGTGCGGTGGTGCGGTGGTGCGGTGGTGCTGCTATATTTGGATGTTAGAGATTGGGTAGGTGGGTGTGTGGATAGTTGGGATGGGGGAATGGGATGGGTGTGTGATTAGTAGATAGGAGATAGATATGGGAGAATTGATGCGAGAATTGAGTGTAGGTGTGCAGGTGTGCAGGTGATTTGGGGGGGCATGATTTGTAAGAGATCATGTTTAGGCGTTTAGGCACGGGGTTAGAGAGGTCTACAGTACAGTATGTGATTTTGAGTTTGGGAATCTCATCTTGGAATGAATGGATGAGGGAATGAATTATTGAGGTATGAAGTAGTTGGTGGTAATATTACTTATATAACATATAACTAGACAATCGTGTGTATATATATATATATATATATTTACTATATATTTCTATATCTTTCCATTTTAAACTTATCATCATAATATAATAACTCCCATTGTCTCTCCCCTTATTAATCCGAAAAGCCGTTCACCTGTCCTTGTTCCTTACTGCGCCTTTTCCATCCAACTAATAAGAGTGAGTACCCGTGGACCACCTAACAATATTGTAACCCATCTCATATCTCAAACAAAGCCGAAAGGACCATCCTTCTCCACGACCTTCTACTTCAACTCTACTCTACTTCTTCTTCCTTTAAATCTCCTGACGCTTCACATAAACAACCAACCTTTTTCTTTTCTTCCTTTCACCTACTTCACGACCGACGCCTTTTTTTCCCAACCCTTTACATTCATTCGCTCACAACTTGAGTTTGGTTCCTTGGTCTTTTTTCTTTTCTGTCTTATTCGAATACCCAAAATCAATTTTAAGATGAGTTCGCAACGATATGAGAGGGTGCGTAATCCCCACCTAATCCGCGCCACGATTTGTGTAGTGGATGCTATGGTTATAATTCAAAAAGAGAATACATACTAATACATTTTACCATAGGTATCTGCGAACGATGAAGATACCCCTCCGACACCTACATCCCCTCCACCATCCTTCCGATCGCGAGGCTCCTCTCCTTCTTCACGACACCACGTAGCGCCCGTCGACCAAAATCTAGCGGATACTTTTGATGATGGATCTGATGATGAGGATAACGATGGCGATGACAGACAACGATTGATGCGTGGAAATCCTTCTTCGTCAACGGAGAGATTGAATGAAACGACGAGCGATGATCGACCAACTACTCAGAGAACAGTAACCGTCGTGCCGACATTTGTACCGCCAACAGGTGGAAGGGTTTATGGCGGTGGTTCGGGATCTGACGGTGTTTTTGCGAATCTAAGTGCTAAGCCTGAGAGAGGCGAGAAGCAAGAAGAACATCCTCCTGTATGTATATGTGTGATTGTGTTGTGAACTTGTTTTAATGAAATATAGACGTACGAACAAGCAGCCGCAGATGCCGCACCACCATACTGGGAAACCACCATTCTCGCTCCCGGACTTGGGGGACTAGATGAAGTATACGTCGAGGGTCTTCCAGTTGGCTCTTTATTTTCTTTTATCTGGAACGCCATGATATCCATGTCTTTCCAACTTGTTGGTTTTCTCCTCACATATCTATTACATACCACTCACGCCGCCAAAAATGGATCTCGTGCCGGTCTCGGAATTACACTCATTCAATATGGTTTCTACATGAAAGGAACAAATAATGTCGTCACGCCACCTTCAGGGGGAAATGATGCATCATATGCTCAACCTCCCGATCCAAATTCTCATGATTTCGACCCCGATAAGGTTAATGCGGCTGCTACTGCAGGAATGGATTCAGGAAGTGGAGGAATCGGTGATATCGCTAGCAATGAATGGTTTGCGTATGCATTGATGATTGTCGGATGGTTCATCCTGATCAGAGCGTTTAGCGATTTCATTAGAGCGAGGAGACATGAGCAATTGGTGTTACAAAGTCCGGATCGTGGACTGCCAGTTCCTATTATTGCGACTGGAGAGGAGAGCGAGACTATTGTTTAAGGATGGAAAATGGATAGGGCTGGATGGGGACAAGGACAATTGGAATGATAGGGAAGATATTCTTCACACGTAAAGTAAAGCGTAGAAGCTTACCCGGAGTTTATATGGACAGGCTAGGCTAGGATGGATTCAAGAGATTATGGATGGGAGATAGGGAAGGGATTACTTTAAAAAAGAATTCCTGATAAGGTTACTATAACTTTTTTTTTAACTTTTTAAATATCATCTGGTTGGACAAGCGGGCGTTAGACAATCTCATTCTCCCTTTTTTTTTGTCTTGTATTGTGGTATGGGGGGGGGGGGGTTTGCTACTGCTTGCTTGTATTGATCGATACACTGATGTAGGCTGGCTTGCTGAGGAGTGAAGAAGATTGAGGAGTAGATGATGTATTAAGTAAGTTGAGATATATAATGAATATGTGGGATTTGTATACAATTACAATTGCAATTACTCGAGTACAATTACATATGATTTAGTTATATGTGAGATTTTGTTCTTTGACTTGGTGATCATTTGGATGGATGAATTGATGATATACATATAGATAGGCAGGTAGGTAGGTAGGGAGGGAGGAAGCTAGGTATTCTTTGAGTGTTTATTGCACTGTTACTAGTGTCTACTATTCTATGATTCTACTATCTAGACATTATCTCCCATCCTATCTATCATTCATCGCCACAACCATAACCACAATCACAACCACCATATCAAGCCAACTAAGATCCAAACAGTCAACCAGCCATTCAGCCAGACTCAAATTTTCAAATTTTCACATTTTCACATTTTCACATTTTCACATTTTCACATTTTCACATTTTCACATTTTCACATTTTCACATTTTCAAAATTCCAAATCAAAGCTGTACTTACGTATCAATCGTGTGTGTAGATATATGTATATAATGTACTATATCATATAACATATACTATATACCTATAATAACACATAGTATATATTATACTCAGTATATATACACCTTGAAACTTCAAGATTGAAACTCGAAATTTCAAAATTGATAATCGAAAGTTGGGAGTCAAGTTCCAGTTCAAGTTTAACCCCATAATCAAATCCAAATCCAAATCCAAACCCAAATCTATAAATCTAATTTAAATTCCAAGCCCTTATTCCAAATTCTCTCTTCGAGACCAAATTACCAAACTACCTAATAAAGTATCAATGTACCAATATGGTTCACCGGGTACTGACTAGGTAATATTTATCTGACTTATCTGACCTCACTCACTGGACAACTACACAACTAATCACCTGCATCTCATAATGATAATTTTCGCCGAATCGAGGAACCATAGACATCAGGATACAATATCTACAAAGCTCACCGGAGATTTAGATTTTGCGGGTTTTCACTCACTACCTAGGTAGATATTCCTGGAACTAACCTGGACTTGAGCCAAAGAAACAAAAAAAATCCGGTGACAGTATAACATACTCTTCCCTATCATCGTGACTTCACAGTGCGATTTCAAATGCATATCTAAATCAAGCATAAACATATCATTCCGAATTATCGTTTCTCATTCCAATCCTAGTCAATACTAATCCTAACCATAACTAATAGCCTTATTCGAGGCTCAAAAAAAAAAGAGGAACAGGATATCATTTTTGCCTTCATCTATTTTCCTATCTCTCTCTTCTCACTTGTAATGAGAAACACGCAATGAATCTTTCTCCCGACTTTCTATTACTCCCAACACCAAACACTCTTTTGTTATCCCTCCCATGCCACAATTTCGGAATTTATCCTTCGCTCCAAACTCCATAATATAGTAAATCTAACAGTAACAATTGATCCAATAATGTATGTTCTTCTGCTGCTTGTAGTATGCGTGTCGATCAAGTCTTCGGTATTTTTACTCGTAGCATTGTTGATGTGTTCATATCTTCTCGTGTTATAGGGTCGTAGTACTATTCATCATATCCGCGTGGGTCTCTTCAGCATCCTTAACCAGCATATACAAATCGTCCCAAATGGAGGCCGAAACTCTTACTTTGTCCCTCTTCGATAGGTGATAATGGCTCATCCTCTCCCTCGCTGTCTGGTATGATCATGTCTTCACTACCCTTTGAATTCAAAGCAGCCTCCTCAATCGCATCAGCTGGGGGTAATGGAATGGATTGCGGTTCAACCTCTGCCAGTTTTGATTTGCTAATTTTGTTGTTTTCGGGGGAAGAGAGACCGGTTGTCCCACGAAGAAAGGCAATGGGACCAGCAGCAAGCATAGGAGTCGTTGGTGGGGTTGGTGGTAAGTTGAAGCGGTTGTGTGCGGCAGCACCTAATCGCTGAAGAGGCGTAAGAACAGATCTAGTAGCGGTGGCAAGGGGTTTCTTTGCAGCTGCAGTGGTTAACTTGGTTGAAACAGGGATCTTCGATTGGAACTGAGCCGATGAGGAAGGTGGAGTTGGAAGACCTTGGTTGAAAATTGTCTTTGGCGTTCTCAGAGTCGAAGCATCAAAAGAATACCTGCTTCTCAGACTTGAAAATGGGGTGGACGATTCGGGGATCGGAGATGGAGGTTGATCAGATGAATTCCTACTGGAGGTCGAAGATTCCAGGCTAGGGACTGTATCCCGGGAGTCTGCAGTCTGATCGTGCCCGGTTGACGTACTTGTGCTTTGCTGTGAGCCAAGAGTAGATTTGAATGAAGGCTCTCTGAAAATTTTGATTTTTGGCTGCTTATTGGTCAAGTAATTATCGACATCTGGAATGCTCATCATTGCTTCCTCAATGGAATCATCCGAGAAGATGGTAATATCTTCCTTCTGTTTATTCTTTCTCTTGGAGACCTTGTTAACACTCGGACTATCATCCTCAAATCCATCTACAAAGAAGCGGCTTCGACCAACTTCCACTTTTTGGTCAGTTCCCGGTGTTTGAAGAAAGGAATCATCTTCACACAGACGAGCACGCTTTTGTGGGCGAGACTCTGTGGGCGAAGTCACTCTTCTTCCAGTCGAAGCGGATCCCTGAGAAGTGGGGTGAGGAGGTAACTGGGGCTCAAGATCGGTGGTAGCTCGTTGCAGATGAGGGCGGACTGGTTCAGCAACCCATGAGCCAGAGTTGCGAGAAAGAACCTCCTGTTGGCTACGAGACTGTGTAAAGGAATTGATATCCAGTTCCGCAAGAGGAGTCCGCTTGGCTTTGAAATATGTCTCGATTGAAACACCCTTCTTGAGATCGCTTGTGGATACAGATCTCTTCGAAGCCATGAAAGGATTTGCCATCTTACTTCTGCGCCCAGTGACAATAGGTTGCTTGGTGATGGGATTCAAGTCGCCTTTCGCAACTCGTTGGGCGATTTCTGGCAAAACGTCGTGCCCAATAAATTTGGTTTGATCTTCCGTAAGTGGAAGATCAGGCGGGGTATGGAGCACTAAGGTGAGAGACTGGGGACAGAAAACTCTTTGATGTAAAAAGGTGAATTCGGCTTGATAAAAAGATTCCAAGTAATTTTTCGGCACGTGAAATTTTCCGTCAAATTGAATCATACGCAGGACTTTTTCAATCGTCTTATACTTCCGAACCAACCGATAGGCTGTCTTTAGTCCCATATTGCTCATACTGGGCAAATAATCGCAGCCACTTAAAATCGCCATTCTTCGAAACTCGGCATCAGACCAGCCCGTCAAGTTAACATCTTTGCAAGCGCAGAAATCGGCCTTGTTGACCTCGATACAATTTCCATACTGATCCAACTTGGTGAGAAGACATTTAGCACCGAATACTAGAAGATCAGAATCCTCAGATAATATTCCATCAATTATGCCTTTTCGCTCCAGGTAGACCATTTGGGCATCGGCTTCGTATGGAGCTACAATATATTGTACCCCCATCTCTTTCAACTCATCAATAACATGGCGGGCCATCTCAGGAGTCACATCAACTGCCTTTTGGAATTCCAGGTACGCTTGGGAAGTCTTTCCGGCATTCAATAATTCTTGCCCAAGTCGCTTACTATCTTTCCGACGATTTTCTCTGTCCTTCTCTGTCGCAGCTTTACTTGGCAAGTAATCTCCATCGAATATCAAGTAAGGAGTGACGCCGAAATGGAGCAACATTCGTACCCGGTGCATACAATACTCAACATATCTGCTTTTTGGGTTAGCGATTTCTTCCTAGATTTGTCTCAGTCTCCATACTTTCTTGTTGGCTTTCCCATAGCAAGATCCATAGCACATGATACGGTTCCACGATGGAGCCAGCCATAAGCGTCCACCCCGAGGGTTTTGCCATCGAACTTCTTCAGATTACATGGCTTTTGTATGGATTTGAGCAAAGGGAGAAGACCTATAGGTGGTTAACATAAGAAAACTTGTAGGAGTTACCAATGGATTATAAACATACCATTGATCCCCATATTGACGATAACGTTAGTAACACAAAACAAACGAATCAATAGAGAGAGATTCGAGGGATCATTAGGCCATTAACCATGAATTAGATGTCGTAGGGTGGCGAGCAAAGAATGAAACGAATGTATGAGTCAAGACATGAATAAGGGGAAGAGGATACTATTACTTATAAGTGTTCAATGGTCGTTGAAGTTGTCGTAGGTTGTTGTGAAGATGTCGATAAGACGTTGATACCAAAGTTCGAAGTCTAAAATGTCCATCCACTTAAACCTGCATGATAGAAAGAACGCGTGTGGAAGGCGCGTCGAACACCAAGGAACTTCCTTTGGCTTCACTACGGCAACCATGAAATTGATTGGCGGCGCACCCTTTTTTTTGCAAGCTCGCAGGTAAGTCCGTGACCTCATATCCCTGCTAGCTCAAAAATTATCGAGCGGGGAATTTTTGCGATAAAGATTCCGATATGGAAAAAAAGTTCAAGAACCGAGTATCTACATCTATACCTGCATGCCATCAACAAGTCCAATTCAATATACTTCGATCAATCAATCACAACCTTCACGATGCCAAAAAGTCTTAAGAAAACATCGAAGCATATCTCGAAGAAGAGAGGAGGAGAGGTTACAGCTTTACACGAAGGATCTCGGGATTCTCTGAGTTTAAGAAGAGCAGGAGGAAGAGATGATAAATTAGAAAGAATGGCTGCTGAGAGAAAGAGACATAACCGTCCCATACGTATGTTCACCCTATGTGTGCAAGCTTCAATTCAATTAACATAATATCATAGTGGAGCGAGCTCTTTATTTCCAAAATGCCATAAAAGAAAATGGAGTGAAGCCACTCGAGCTTGATGCGATTCACAGTCTCATAAAAACGTAATGCGGCCCCCTGAACAACCATACTTCCAACGCTTTTCGTCTAACCACATTATATCCAGTTTCGTGCATCAAAACGATGAAGAGCTTAATGCTATAAAGAAACAGCGTCGTCCTGGGAGACCTGCGAGTACAAGAGAGGACCTCTTGAAAATCAAAATCGCAGCGGACGAGAAAGAATACGAAAATGGATTCTGTTCGTCAATACTGTACCCTAGAGACTTTGAAGTCAACGACTAACAATGTACAGATCTACCAGACCTCACTGATTCGGATAATGTAATGGCTTTTGCGCTTTGGGAAAAATCCACCTGGTCATATCTTAACACCTTGAAATGGGTGCGCTTGTCGAGCAGTGGACATATTCAAGAGACTAAATTCCCACCCAAAGGATCATCATGATTGAGTTAAGCAGAACTGGCGGCGTTAGTGGAGTTTATATCAATACCCAAAATTGCGGGAGCAAATTGCGGATGATATGGTTCGGACGATATTGTTGTTATTTGTGCTATGGGGTTTGTATGTTTGCATGTTTGAAACTTTGAATAGAGTTGAGACATTCAACAAATCTACAAATAACGAACTTAAAATAATAAAACACATTTCTATCACATACGGAGTAGTAGCTAATACCTAAAAAGCCAATCAAATTAATTCTCAGTCTGAAAATACCTTTGTGAAAACAGCCTATGAAATCATCTCAAATTTACAAGATCCACCTTTTTTTCTGTGCTCAAAAAAAGTTCCCTCAGAGGCGAGCTCAAGAGATCAAATTGTAAAATCTTCCATACCCCAAATTTATATCACACCAACCCCAAAACTCAATTCTAAACCAAAGCATAAACAAATTCATCATGCTTTCCCTCCGTACTTTCACCCGCTCAGCACCACGAGTTGCCCGCGGTCTCACCAATGCCGCCATCAAAACCGCAACCCGACCCTCCATCCTCCAAACCGCTTTCCCCGCTTCAAGACTCCAATGCGCATCTGCATTTTCCACTTCCAGCATCAGAGCCAAGTCTGCTGCTCCAGAGAGCGATGCCGAGCTGGTCGAGAAGCTCGCTAGCGAGATCCAAATGGAGGAGGAGATGAAAGAGCATGAGGAACTTCCTACGAGCGTAAAGGATTATATGGAGAATGGTCCTTTTGAGATTCTTGATACACCTGGGCAGGAAGAGGTCGTTTTGACTAGAAGCTTTGGTGATGAGAAGTACGTTATTTCTTTGCTGTTTCTTCTGAGTTAATCTCTTCTATCTACCTATTTTCCTTTAACTCTTCTTCCCATTCTTTACACCCCTCAAAAAGTAAGGAAGCCCCAAACTAACCTCCACCTCACCCACAGAATCCGCGTCTCTTTCTCCATCGCCGACCTGAACGCCTACGACCCCGACTCCGACGAATTCCAAGACCGCGCCATGTCCGACGAAGACCCCAATATCGACCCTGCCGACCCCTCGGAGCTAGACCCTGAAAACCCCTCCGACGCCGAAGGCGAGTCCCACGGCTTCCCTGCCCGCGTAAACATCATCGTCGAGAAGAAGGGCAAAGGTGCGCTCGCCATTGAAACCGTCGCCGAGGATGGCATGATCGTCATCGATAACGTATACTACTATGCGGACGCTGCGCACGCCTATGCGAAGACTACCGAGGCTGTCCACCAACGTCAAGATATGTATGTCGGCCCTCCTTACGGAAACTTGGACGAGGATTTACAGGTGTTGATGGAGAGATATTTGGATGAGCGGGGAATCAACCAGGCATTGGCGATTTTCGTACCCGATTATATCGATATGAAGGAACAGAAGGAGTACTTGAGATGGTTGAAGAATGTTAAGGGATTCGTCGAGGCTTAAGTATTATTCATTGGCACTCAGAATCACTAACCCTTAACTATTCCCTTTCCCCTCCGTGCGAAAAAAAGCGTTTCTATTTTGGCTTTCCCTTCAATGTTGATTTCATACCCTTTCCACTCTGCTGGCACCATCATACCTATAAGTTAGGTACACCTGTATATTATCAGATAGCAAGACTGTCTACCCTACGTACGATATGACAGATACGAATGCTATTTAATGAATTTCAAGAGAGATGCTTGATGATTATGCCTTTTTTTTTCGCTCAGTTGGTGAATTGTGATTGTGCTGTTTGAATTTCATTGCTTCGCTATACGCACCAGTCTTGTGCTTTTCATAGACCCAATATGCTCTATTCCACGTGCTACTTTAAGTTAGGAAAACTTTCTCAAGCTTCAAATGGGTGAAGCATACGAGTAGTAGGACAAGTATCAGCATCAGCAAGCACCAGGCATAGACGTCATGAATCATACTTCGCAGCAGAAAGATACAATTTTTTATGCTTTTTATTTCGAAATACAAATTAACATCGCCAATTATCAGTTCACTGTTCGCTGATTCACCAAATATCCATTTGATTCCGTCCTTAAAATCAGACTTTATTTCTCAATCTTGTGGATTTTGTTTTTATCTGCTAGATAGTGACCTAGCTCAGTCACCTACGCCCTGCCCTATCCGATCATACACCACCCACCCCTATGTACTCCCCGAATCCATTGCAAGCAAGTAAGCGACCAGCAACCAACCAAACCAAATTCCTACCAGTGCAAACCAATTCCTTTCCATTCGATACCCACCAAAACATAGATAGATGGACCGGCCGGCTTGCGGAAAGACAAGGCAAGCAAGAGGAGCAAAGAACAAATATGATAACCTCATCACGCCATGATCGATAAATTGGATGAAGACAGATAGCTAAAGTGGAAGAAAAATTATGCACCGTGTTCTTGTACCTATTCTTTCCGCGTCGTAAAAAGGTGTTCAGGTCGAGGAAATTGCAATAGGTGCTTAGAAAATAAAGGAAACATCCAGTGTCAAGGAGACTAAGATAAGCCAGCACAAACGCCCAAGGATGCAGTGAGAAACTTTGATCACTGTACAAAAGACATTCAAGGTCTAGAAACTGGTAGAGGGAACCTTGAAGACCATCACTCAAAGATGGTGGGTATAACAAAATCTTCTGGCATACTTGAAAATGGTTGCTGCTCTCGCTCCTTGGTCTTTGGAATTGATTGGCTATCTACCAAGACTGAGTCAAAGTTAGCGAAGAAGCGACCAAAAACTGAACAATGTGCGATCTAGAAGTTTGTGCTCCAAGACCACGAACCATTGGCAAGATTTTCGGCCGTATCTGCAAGCAGAATGACCCGACGTTTATTGCAATAGGATGTCTTGTCCATAATTTCAACCTTCAACTTTTGAACTGCAAGTTCCTGAACCGGTTTCTCAAACATTTCTGACAAATTTTCGACGGCCATCTCGAGATCTCTTTGGTTGTTTTCGAACAGCTCCGTAAGATTGTTGCGCTGAAGATAGAAAGCAAAAGCGTAGGTCCATTTAAGAGTTTGACGGCAGGTTTGTAAGGCTTGACTGGCCGAGTTAAGGTACTGAACTTCGATCCAGGATAATCCCGAAGCAGATTGAAGTTGAATCATTTTCTTTTCAGTCTTATGGTAAATATCCTTGTCCAACTTTGCCGACTGTTCATGATTTGCATATCGATTGTAGTAATGCAAATAACGTTCTAGAGACTTTCGAGAGTTGGCCTGAGCATCTCTAGCTTCGGAGCCACTCTTCTCTTCAAACCTATTGCAATTGTACCAGCTTGTACCGTGCTCCGACCATAGTCCCATGCACATCCAACAAAACTCGTGTTTGCACTTCCGACATGTCATATGGTTGCAACCTCCGTTCTTCTCGATAGTGGAATTACATTCTGGACATTCTTTGGTGTTGGCAGAAATCCAGTTGGCAGTTTCTGAATCATCCGCGCACTTCTTTAACCATTTCTTGACCAGTGTACAAGGTGCAGGTTGATGGTCTGCTAAGATACAACCAAAACAGAAACGATGCTTGCAATCACATACGACTGTTGGGACAACCTTATCGAGATCTTTCTTCTTGATGCCGCATTCGATAGCATTTTGACAATCTGGAGCGGGACACCATTTCAAGAATTCTTTATCCTCAACGTATGTTCTGGTAAGGAGTTCGTGATATCGTGATTTCAAATCTGCAGCGACAAGGAGATCTAGAGAGTGGCTGTCCATAATCCTTCGGCATCCATCATGTGGACACTGAATACGAGCTGCCTCTCCCTCCTCCTTAATCTTTTGAATCAAGTATTGATTGTAGCAGTTGACGCAGTATCTGTGCCCACATTTCATAGCAAATGATTGTAGGCCGAGTTCGTCCTCACAGCAGATATCGCAAACAAAATCCGGTATAACCTCAAGTTTTGGTGGCCCTGATTTACTCGACACCAAACCAGCGTCATCAAGAACTTTTTTCGGGCGATCCATGTAATCTTCAATCAAACGTTCCTTGTTCCACCTGAAATGCCTCAAGAGAATAGCCGCGTCCTCTTTTCTAATGTCGAGTATCATGTTTACTTCGTTGATAAGTTCGTCCTGCTGACCTTGGACATCTTCGGGATGATGAACCTTGTAGTTAATATCGAACGTTGCCTTCTTCTTCTGGGAGTTATCATCTTTGAAACTGATGTCTGGTGCTGATTCTTCGAAACCGAACTCTAGATAGCATTAAAGATATCAGCAACTGTATCAGGGTGGGGAAAGTGATTATGAGGGGTTCAAGAAAATATACCGTTACCATCTTCAGACTCCTCCTCGTTCTCACTCTCATCCATGAGAACGTCATCGTCACTTGATGCTGCAGACATGAAGTCGTCCTCGGAATCCATACTGATACTGTTGCTGTTGGTTCGTGGCGAGGGAGGTGTTATAGGTTTTGCAGAAGATGCTAAAGTTGCTGCTGCTGAGGCGATCCGTTTGTTGGTTCGAGTCTCGTCCTTGTCGTCGTATGATATCGCCTCAGCCGCCTTTCTCTTTTTAGATTGGGAAGAAATGGTGACTGTGAATGGGTCCTTGGCTCGTCAAAGGCGACGAGGTCCTAGGCACACGAGGCTACCGAAGAAAAGTGATCTCGGTGTGAATGACGCTCAAAAGCAAGCAACGAGTCAGGAGTGGCGTGTGACTGTTGATGTATGTAACCTGATGATTAAAGAGAGAAATGTTGAAGGATTCGGTGAGACCTTCTCAGGTTGTTTGGTGGAAGAAGGAAGAGGTGTTGTAAGTAAAAGTAGAGATGACCTGAACAAGTGAGAGAATTAGGTTGGTAAGAGAGTGTCTAAAAGTGTAGGTTGCAATAAACTTTTAGACTTAATAAACCTTGGATGATCGGGAACAAAGTAAATAGTATGTAATAAGTTTGATTTGGGGTCGTAGTGGCTCTGCTTTATTGTTTGTCTGACTAAGTTTTATAAATCCATGTTACAAGTACTGCGCGTACTACCACTGTTACTGTCTCTTGAAATGGATCTTGGATTTGAAGTTCAGTTGTTGGCCGTTATCTAATCAATACTTATTAGTACCAGGTAGCTAGCGGAAGGCAAGGCAAGGCACGACAAGGCAACTACGGCGAGGCGCTTACCCTATTTAATGCTAGCGTACTTTGAGAGCGGACTCGGCGCCCGATATTAACCGATCGATTTATATGTCGACTCATCTCGTACGAACTAACCTTACAGTCCCTTTCGAATCCTTCTATAGGTAACCTTGGAAGTGAATATTGCTTCTTAGGTAGTCAAAGAGCCATTTCAATATCCCTTAGAAGCACGATGGATATGGTGAAAGGAATAGCCTGCAATGTAGTAGTTATGAAAGTCCATACCTCTCAAGGTATAGCCAATAATCATGAGCCAAGCAATTCTCTGTCGGGTCCTCACATCTTAGAGGTATCCATCGTTTAATCCGCCATACCTAAGCTTTCGTTCAAATGTTATGGTGAACCATATTATATCCTCAGTTTTCTATACACATACCTGGTTTGAACAATGGGGAAATCGGGCATCGGGTTTCAAATTGCCATTGTAGGTCGGAAGCCTCAAAAATCCTACTGGTTTGGCCAATCAATGCCACTCAGCGTACGTCATCTCATTCAATCTATACCAAAACAGTTCAACTTCAGCATAAGTATACGTACAGTTATAAGTATAAAGAATCAAAGTTGAAGCCGTTTTTACCATCTCTCTCTCTCTCCTTTTTTTCTTGATATAGTTCTCTTCTTCGACATTATTATACAACTCGTTACTATGGCTGCCGAGCACCAAATCCCCATCCTGATCATAGGCGGCGGTATTGTAGGCCTCTCGGCTTCTCTCTTTCTCTCTCAACATGGAATACAGTCTATCCTCATTGAGCGTCACTCGGGAACATCCATACACCCACGAGCTCGATCCGTCAATGCTCGAACCATGGAACTATTCCGCGGTCTCGGGATGGACGATCTTGTTCGAGAAGCCGGTGCCTCAATGAAAGCAACAATGGGTATTCATAAAGGGAAAACGCTCAAGGAAGTGATAGAAGCTAAGAAACCAGCCGATGGTCCTAGGAAGTTTCCTTTGGCTGGTTTGATGAATTCGATTAGTCCGGTTCAAGGAACGTTTGTAACGCAGGATATGCTTGAACCAGTTTTGGTGGATGTGGCAAGGGAGCGAGGGGGTGATTTGAGATTCTATACGGAATGTATTAGTATTCAACAAGACAGTGATAGTGTTACGGCCACACTCAAAGACCGGGAAACTGGCGCTGTCTCCTCAGTTCGTGCAGAGTACCTTATCGCCGCCGATGGAGCAGGAAGCCCTATCCGAAATCGACTTAACGTCCTAACCTCTGGACAAGGTACGATGGGGCATTTAATCAACATACTATTCCAAGCCGATCTCAAACCCCTGGTACACAAACGAGAATTTTCCATCTGTGTGATCGAAAGTCCAGAGATTTATGGAGCATTCACATCCATCAATAATGACGACCGTTGGGTGTTCCATCTCGCTTATGACCCCTCCAAAGGCGAGCAAGCTTCAGACTTCACTCCCGAGAAATGTATAGAGTTGTTGCGCATTGCAATAGGAATACCCGATCTCGAAATAGATGTCAAAAGCATACTGCCTTGGGAACCATCTGTACGAGTAGCAGATCAACTACAACATGGACGTATCTTTCTCGCAGGTGATGCTGCTCATCAGATGCCTCCGTGGGGAGGTCAGGGTGCAAACTCTGGTATTACAGACGTTCATAATCTTGCTTGGAAACTCGCACTGGTACTTCAAAAACAAGCAAGCAAGAGATTGTTAGAAACATACAATGCAGAACGTCAACCCGTCGGTAAAACAGCAGCAGTGGTATCAGCAAGTGGTAGCGACAAACGGGGAATGGTCTCGCTAAACCTCCGGGATCCAGCTGTTATAGTGGGATTTTACAAGAGAATAGGGTTAATCTCTGGACACGGATATACTTATGCTAGTAACTCAATATGTCCAGAGAATACATCTCCTCTCAGTGGTTTGACGTGGAAACCGTGGACATTAGCTAGTTTATTCTTTTTACTCGATAGTAGACCTGGTAGTAGACTTCCACATCTATGGACCACGCACGAAGGAAAACGCATTTCGACTCTTGATCTATGTGGGCAAAAATTCACCTTGCTAACTGGAGCAAAAGGAGAAGCATGGATCGAAGCTGCGAAATTAATATCGAAAACTCTAGCTATTGACATATCCACATACACTACAGGACCAAACGGCGATCTCGTCACAGAAAACAACGTATTCGAAACCACAACGGGTATATCATCTCAAGGTGCGATATTGGTACGACCAGATGGATTCGTAGCATGGAGAGCCAGGAGACAAGAATCTGGTGTAGAGACGCCACAAATTCAACTTGAGCTGGCGATGAGGCGGATTCTTTGTTTGTTGTGATTTATATGCGGGTTTTGAAGATGGGGGTTTAATGATCTAGACATTGTGGAGTTTAGTGATGGGTTTGCTAAATGGGAGAGTGAGTAGATGTAGAACACATGGTTGGGATTTATAAAGCTCCTCTTAATCTTTATTGAAATATATACATACATACTTATTTATCTTAAACATGTATCTTCGATTTTACTCTTATCATAGACATCTAGTATAGAGTCTCAAACTCCCAAATTTCTTATAATTTACGATGGTCTCTTTCTCTTACACAAGGTGAGTAACACTCTTCATGAAAGAATTCCTTTGAATATAAATGTGAAAGCTAGCAGGTTCAGTAAGCTAGGAGATTTATGTACATATCTCCTCAAAGATTCTATATACTTCCATAGTAACTTAATTGCCTAGTATCAACCAGTGGTATATTAAGATCGGTTTCATTCGCAATCAAAGCTAGTATTATATTAGATTCTCTTATATACTTCATACCCATCCGGAGAGCTATCCGGAAAGCTACCATGAAAGCAGTCCACACGTGTATAGTATATACAAATAAATTATACATTTCATATTCCATATTTCATGTCTCATACATCATATACCCCAACCAACTCCACCCATTCCATCGCTGACTAAAACTACGACTCGGCAGCCAAGCCCTTTTTGATATCAATCACACTAACGGTAACCTTATTTGTCGTACTAGGTGGCAAGATTCCACCTCCAGCAATCAAAAGATGATTTTTGTTACTATCCAACACTCTCACATGTCTGGTGTAACTTGTTCCCTCTGGGGTTGCCACTGTCTTCCATGCATCTGCAGCTCCAAGTGCTCTGTTGACGAAAACTTCCGAACGGCCTCCAGAACTGACAATGATAGTACCGTTTGCACCACCGATTGGTGACCACACGTTATATGGGGAGCCGGTGGGTTGAATGCCGTTGTTTGTGATAAGAGGTGTACCAGGGGCAGAGAGGAAAGTGAGAGGAGAGGAGGAGATGCGGTAGTAAACGGGGAAGAGATAGGTGGAGGTGTTGTTTACAGTTGGGCCACCACCGTATTCGTAGGTCATGATGTATTTACCGTTGGGAAGTTTGGAGATGGTTGTCATTCCTGGACGGGCGGTATAGGTTGAATAGTGAACATCATCTACAATTGCTCCCCAGTTAAGGAGATCGGAGGAAACAGTGTGGACGAGCTTTTGGCCGTATAATGGATCACGTTGGTCGGAGTAGTAGACTTTTGTTGGGTTAGTATTTAAGGGATGATATAGATCATGGGGAGTACTTACGAACGATCTGTCCCTTGTATGTGAGAAGGAACGGTTCCCAGACAGCAGGAACACCATTATCAGGAACAGCTGCACCACCGTTTGCGACAGTCGATACAAATTCCCAAGTATATCCCTGATCCAAGCTAGCATAAACATCAATTTGAGTCTTGCTCAAATCTGTCGGGATAGAATTTCCAGTCGCAAGAATAGTACCAGCTGGGTATTTCCCGACTTTCTCCGTCATATAGTATAAGAATGGTTGATATCTCAATCCCCATCCATTAACTTGATCTGTAATATTCGAGATATGTTTCCATGATTCTCCACCATCTGTACTCTTGAAGATGGGGAAATAGACAAGAGGAGGTTCGGGACTGTAGTTTTCCCATGTAGCTAAGAGTACACCACCTGGTAACTCGACAGTCCGGGCATAGAGAACACCAGGATCGGTCCAATTAGCTCCAGGAGTGAAAATAGTGACATCAGAAAATGTGCTAAAAGGAGCAAGTGCAGGAGCCGCAAGAACCGTCTCGCACACTGCAGCAAGCAGCGCAAAAGAGAAGAACTTCATCTTGAGTAATAGAGGAGGATCTAGTATGAGAACACAAGGAGAAACTATACAAACAATAAGAGAAAATTCATGACTTTTATACTCTTCTCTATACCCTTGCATTCCCCAAGTTTGATTCACTTGATCACGACCAGGTACTCCGGAAAAATACCCCGCATGAGAATAGTAACCACTGGGAACATAGCTCTGCATCGTACTCTCCAACATGCGGTCGGTATGGGGATATTCCCATGTTGATCCTCGTAAAAATTATAGTTGAGCGCGCTGGCCATCAACACGGGACTGGTTCGCAAGAAAGGTTTCTCCAGTGCAAATGGATGCGCACCAATCGGAGAAGAGCGCTAAGTGACTACATCACCCCATCGCCGGTAAAGAAAAACACGTACTTGGCGTTGAGGTGTACCTTGTGAGGGGAAACTTGGGGATGCTATAGATTGCATGCAGATTTACTGGCGGTGAAATTGTTTGTCCGAGGTTTGAAGTTCTTGGTTTCTCTTGGAGAAGGTTGGGATGGATGAAGCTTGGTACCAAATTGTCATACGAGAAAGCTAGCGTCGATGATATCAATCCTTAGGTTGTTGTCGATATCAATTGAGTCGTGGTATTATTACTCAATTGGAGTCAGTGTGAATAACTATCATGTAAACCAATTGTCGAGTATCATGTTGTGAAATTCGAGAGTTCCAATGGCAATGGCAATGATGTTTTTGCCCGCCTCATCCCATCTCAAAAGAGGCAAGAAGTGACGATCCTTAGCACGTCACCATCACTTGCAACTTCCCTTCCAACTTTTCCCAACCCCATGCTATCAACATCTGAATGCCTTCAGGATTTCAACTCAACAACTCAATCTCATTGACCCCAAGAGACAATTCCTAAATACCAATCCATCTCTCAGTCAACAATCAAAACACCTATACAATGGCTACCAGATTCGCGATTCGCCGTCTTGCGACGCCTCAAATCTTCCGCACTTTCTCCACCACCCGCCCAGCATTCATCAAAGTCGGCGATAAGATCCCCAATCTTGACACCTTGGTTGAAAATTCACCCGCTAACAAGGTTAACTTGAGTGAGCTTACTACTGGTAAAGCTTTGATTATTGGTGTTCCAGCTGCGTTCAGTATGTTTTTCCCCTTTTCTTGCTTTCACTTTCGTTCTCTAGTGAGAATTCCGAATCAGTATTTCTACTCGAAATAGATTTGGAGACTTTTGATATATAAATCACAAGAATAGAAGAAACAAAGAAAGATGAACAACGAACTCACATAGAAGCAGGTCCCTCATGCTCCAATTCTCACATTCCGGGCTACATCAATCATCCCAAGCTCAAGGAGGCAGGTGATGTATTTGTAGTTGCTGTTAACGATCCTTTTGTGTAAGTGAGCTACTATATGAAATTCTGTTACCCATGCTCTGTCATATCTCTCGCATTTGAGAGCTTTGGTCGATATGTCACGAGGATATCATATAGATGGATTAAATCATTAGACCGTACTAATACAAAATTCCAGTACCAAAGCATGGGGCTCAACTCTTGATCCTACCGGTGAATCGGGTGTATGTGTTTCATACCCTCTCTCCCCAAGCCATCCACTCACCCTTCCCCTCAATCATTCCCAGTCCCTAGACCATTGACTCTCGCCTCCAACAGATCCGTTTCCTCGGCGACCCAACCGCCTCCTTCACCTCCGCCCTTGATCTAACCTTCGACGGCACCGCCATCTTCGGTGGACCCCGCAGTAAACGTTACGCGCTCCAAATTGAAGATGGGAAGGTTAAGGCTCTTCATGTTGAGCCTGATAACACTGGTTTAGATGGTATGCTTTTCCATTTTCCATTTCTTTCTACAATCTATTGCTTTTACCTTCTTCGCTCTCGATATTATCCATTCAGTCCCGTGGTATCTCCGCACATTACTCTCAGCCCAGTTTAATCATCGCAGCTCGAGAGAAGAGCAGAGAAAAGCAATGCAGGAGAAAAAAGCTAACACAACCCCCTCTCATAGTCAGCGCCGCCGAAAAAGTCCTCGGCTAAATACCTGAAGTAAAATCAATTCACGACCCCTAGTCACCCAAGTCCTAGATGTTTTTCACTTGGATCAATGGCGTATTCACCCATTACTTCAACTGCTTCATATCCACATGTCAAATAGCTTGCCCACGAACAGATACATCGAAGAGAATGATCAAAATACTCTTTCTGCTTCTGCCCATCCATCATTTCCCAAACTATGAAACACCTACCTAGTAGCCAATGAATATGATAATGACAGTAACCCCTCAATCTTAAAGCAACAATCCCAGCATCCCCAATACCTAAGGAAAAACCCCACAGTGAAATACACCATACAGCTAAACGCACCAAGACTAGCTTTGTTGATACTATTCTCTGTATTTTAGATTTTGTAATTGTCAAGGTCCCTTTTCTCTACACACTATTATTGAGAGCCTATTATTTTTAGGACCTAGCAGTCTATTTTTATAGTGCCTCGGCCAAATATTATGCCGATCTGAACCCCGAGAGCGATATGTTTAAGCTGCTCATACCCCAATTCAAAACTTAGCTACATCTGTCCGAAAACCACAAGATTAAAGTGATATCTCGTGCTTACTTTCAAACCATCAGGGCCAAGTTTTGGGGGCCAGTTGTTATCATTTGCTCAAGTGTGTCGCATATTTAGAACTCCGTCTTGGTCCTGTCAAATTATGCCTAACCAGTTGGTCGCTGATCTTGGATTGGATTCTGGCAGTGCAGAATACCGCTCGAATGGCCATAATCGCGTCCGAAAGCGACATTGATCTATACTATATATATTCTCTTATATTACATTGCATATATTGATGATCCTATATGCTGTACGACGCGATGTTCTACCTCCCCCTGCATCTTTCTTACACTGGCACCTTGCAATGTCAGCTCTAGAGCGTTTTACATCCATCTTTCCTTTCTTTATGTGTGTGGCTATTCCTTCAAGCATAAAGCATAGTTCACGAGATGAAGTTTACTCAAAAATCTACACATGATCTGGTTTCTTTTCTTCGTCTTGCTAATAGGCAGCGCGGGTGCAGCGGGCACCTCTAATAATTTCATATTCCCCTCAAACCTCACAACTCTCAACGCTTCTCACGTCGTCGAAGGATCGTACGAAGTAGGCAGTACAGTCGACTTGCGATGGGATACAATCTGGGATATGGTCACCATTGTCATTTGGCAAAATGGAAAGCCACCTTATCAATACCTCCCTAATTCTGGTAATTCAGCCTTATTTTCCATCCCATCTGATGGTTTCTAATATCTCGAAATCCATTTGATATATTGAACTTGTTCAAGAAAGTTTACCTGCTCGAATCACTAGTTTTCATTGAGATATCTACGGTGATGGGATAATCGAAAGTTTCCTCATCTGTACTCAACTTGAATGAAGTACCTTGTTTCACCTTACTAACAGCGTTTCCCAATAGTCCAAATACCCAATCTGGTAACTTCATACACATGGATTATTGATATCAGTGGCACGAACGGTAATCCAGGATTCGACCTTAACAACGGATCGACATTTTACTTCATAATTACGCATACTGGAACCCCTGACTTATTCGCAAGTCAGTCGATTAATATTACAAATAAGGCTATCAGTTCGCCTGCTCCTTCTTCTTCTTTGGCAACCGAGACAACAAGTACTGCGAGTATTTCGACAACTGCTTCGAGCACATCTTCTCCAGCTACTTCTCCAGCCACAACATCAAGTGAATTGAGCACGGGTGCGAAAGTGGGTATAGGAGTGGGCGTGACCCTGGGTGCGGTGGCCATCATCGCAGCATTCGCGCTAGGATATTTTCTTCGACAACCTCCGAAATCTCCAAGTACTCATACCATGAATACGAAACCGGGAAATGAGTCGGCGGAGCCGAAACCATTTGTATGGCAACCTCCACAGGAATTGTCATCGAATGCCCCGCGCCCGAAGCCTCAGGGTCTGATTTTTGAGATTCAGGGGTAGGGAATGATGTATAAATTGGGTCGATACTTCGAGGGGGTTTGGAGCTCTTTTGGTTGGTCGTATGATTTTGTTTTGTTTTCGTCGAGGGATTTCCGAGCCGATCTTGTTCGTGTGGTTAAGGAACGTAATGTATGATTTTGCGTACTATTACGGTACACTTCCTGTAAATAGCTATCATAATGTACATTACTAGTACCCCTGATAGAAGATAAGATGCTAATAAGGGCACTCAGATGTTTGTTATTTTTATGTCTCGGCATAATAGCGAAAGTGCAACGAGCATCTTCAAGTGAAGGGACACGAGTATCGAGTATCAAGGAAGCCATCTAGTAACCGAGTTTCGATTTCCAGAGGTACATACTACAGAGTGATTGAATTTCTTCTATGCTATGTGGTAGCAATATTAAGCATACCAATTCACGTCGACTTCGCTTGCGGAGGAAAGAATCTCCCAAACCAGTATGTAGTATTTCTTTCGACCTTTTCAAATCCCAAATCCCAAATCCCAAATCCCAAATCCCAAATCTCAAAACAATTGATTAGCGACCTAATTTCACCACAGCATCTGGAACACAAACATTCCCTATATTATCAGAGCATTGAGATTCAAATGCTATATACAAATCGCTGAACGATATCTGAATCGTCAAATTGATCAAGGAGGCTCAATTCACTAAACCCCAATTAATAACGTTAAGTAACCTAATCCCTTATTTTCCATTCCATCATGCATGATTTAAATCATATCCCGTGATATCATCCCAAAAATAATTCATCTGTACCTGGTAATGCTCGCTCAAAATCAATATGGTATCTCCACCTTGCGCCAAACCAAACCAGAGATCCACACCCACACTTGTACAGCCAGCAATAATAGACTGCTCGTAATAACCTAAATCCCAACCAAGAATGACCTGAACCCAATATAACCCTTCCAAATCATGCCATAAAATGCTCGAGTCCGCAATATTCGCCAATCGAGATAAGATTCGACTCCAAATCTCATAAATGCTTACAATACTCAAAGTTCCACCTCCTCACTCTCCTCAAACGGAAACGGAGGGACGGATTTACTGGCCGCACTCCCCAACTGAACACTCTTATCACTAGCTTCCATCTCGTACTTTTCCTCCTCGGTCGCCACAGCCTTCGGATCAATAACTCTCACATACGCCAACATATCAATGCTATCATCATCATCTTCTTCTTCCGCGTCTTCAACATCCATAGCACCCTCATCAGATGAGACTTGTATATCGTTTTCTGACATCAGATCTTCGCCTTTCTCTAGAGGTTCATCTCTAAGATGAGAAATTCCCATGAAAGAAGAGGAGGTATCGGAATAGTCTCCTACGGTTTCAGTGCCGGAAAGCATGTCGAAATAAGAGGATGGTTCGGGTAGGGGTGATGGGTGCAGCATTATCAATTCCTCCGAAATATTTTCGGTCTTAATGGGTAAACTCTCATATGCGCGGTGCGGTGGCGGTCCATTGATAGGATCGGTCAAGTGAGTCAATTTACTGGTCATGCTACCCACCTTGTTCTGAGGCTCTGGATTGTGAAATGAATCTAGCGAAGACTGTGAAATCGTGTGTAGAATCTTCGAAGTTGAACGGGGAGCAGAGAATTTAGAAACCTTGAAAGGGACATGGTCGCTATTCGCCGTCAATCGTGTATGAACCTTGTAAAGTAAGTGGTCGGCTGGTTGAATGCCGGCGAGCCCACTGGCAACGAATTCTACAAGGGGCGGAGGAGATTGAGCGTCGCCACATGGCGTGTCTGTGGTAAATTCAAAGTCCGTGTCATCGGAGAGTACACTAGGGGTTTGTGGTCTGGTTTCTGGGGGCTGGAACAGATCTCCTCCTTTGGAATAGTCCTTGAAAGGCCTAAATGGCAGAAAAGAACCGGAAGGAGTCCTGTCCTTAAGGAGGTGTCTTGTAGGATGTGAGCAGCCGACAGCATCTTCAGTGTGATTGCTGTAGCCATCTTTGTCAACGCCAGTAATATGTAGCGGGGTTTCGAGGTCGCCACGATCACCAGAGAGATCACTAAAGAATTTTGTTCCATTATAGAATATCAATGGTCCATCATCACGTGGACTGTTGCCAAGTCTCTTGGTAGAGGATGCAAAGCCGTGAAGACTATAGTGATTTGGTGAGATATCGCTCTCATCACCAGATGCCTCGGATGGATAACGAACAAACATCGGCTCATAGAAGCATGCGTCTGTCGCTTTAGTGTTCTTTGAGCTCTGGTTTATCATTTTCAGGGGTGCTTGTCCCGTAGGAGTGAATTTGTTGGCATGAACCTTGCGTCTTTTGCGCGAAGCTTCGTCACTGCCATCACTATCGGGTGGGGATCGTTGATGAACACTGCTATTACCGCTGTCACTGTTTAAACTTGTTCCTTGCGTACCACCTCTCCATCGCAGCTTCTTTCCGTCTGGAGATATTTGAAGTTTCCTACTCAATTCGGTGACTGCAGATCTAATAAAGCCAGGCGTGACATTTATAATATGCAATTGCGCCATATTGATGAGAAGATTCAGGTAGACCCATCCCTCAGCATCAACGGCAGCATCTTGTGATTCCTCTGTTAACAGTTGGGGTGCCGAGATTCCGAGGTGGCGAATATACTCGACGTTATCGGAACCGACTTGGTCACGGTCTGGATCCAAATCCAAGGGTCTAGTCGGCCTTTGCTGTGGTGAAGGGGATCCACGAGACTTTGAGGAAGAATTTGACTGTTCTGCTGGCGATTGGCTATTCTTTGAATTGTTTACTAATCCCTGCTTGTCTAGTTCCATATTATGTGGCCCGATGTGAGCTTCGCGTACACCCTCTCTAGGGTGGAAATGAATTTGCGAAGCTTGATCTGCTCTCGCGGCCGACTTGGACACCTCTTGCTGTTGCAAAGATTGACTGTGCGCGCCGATGAGCGATCCTGTCTTTCCTGTAAATAATTGTTCCAGACGCCGAACAACCATCCTCTTTCGCTGATTTTCGGACATTTCTAGGGTTGATCTCGGTTGTAATCCCTGAGGAATGTCTTGCAAGAAATCCTGCATTTTCCGATCGTCTGTGACCTGCGATCGCGCTGGCCTATTCCCTTCCCCAGCCGAGGAGCTATGCGAGGGCCCGGATCTCGACATCGAGGCATATGCGGAGTCAGTCGGTTGGGAGTTGGACCCTGATGAAATAGATTTATGCTTTGCAGGTTTCTCGGAAAGCGAATAAGCTCTTGACTGTCGACTTGGTGGACCATTGATGCTTAGATCTTCTGACGAACCGTCAAAACTAGCAGAAAATTTGTGAAGAAGTTCTTCTAGCTCCCTTCGTTTACGTGCCGACAAGGCATGGATTTTAACTTCGAAAAGCTTCTCGTTCTCCAAGTGGGTATTCGATGAACGCCCATATTTTTTTAATTTCTCCTTCAACTTCTGATTTTCGATGGTCAGGTCGTCAATGATACTGCGATATTCTTCTGATGCACTGCCATCTCGAGATCTTGATATGGGGTTCAATGAATGTAGATTGTATCGGTTGCCTCGAAGTGGTAAGTCTTTGCTGGAATCAGTGTCTTCGTTAGAGCTGTGTTGAAGAAAGTATGGCGGGTCACCTGCAACTATGTCAGTTTACAGGAGCTGGTGAAGCTCCCTCACCAGAAACTTACTGGTGTCTCCAGAGTCCTGATTGACAGCAATCACAGGACGAGCATTTGAGCGATTAAACCATTCATTTACATTCGTGGCAACGGTATCCTCTGAATCGTCCGATATTTGTTTTCTGAAAGGCGAGGTGGAATTGCTTCTTGGCTTAGTCGCGGTGTCAGCTTCCTTTCCCACACCCAAGTCTGACTTTTCCTTCCCAATAGGATTAGGCGTGTCGTGCCTCAAGGAGACGGAGAGATGTGCTGGAGGTCTTCGAGGATGAGAAGCCGTCGCAACCATCTCTGAATCCGATTTCAAATTCATAGCCGACGATACAGTTCAAGATGATATGTGGTACTATAATTGTAAAGAACCCATTGCAATTGGCCGTGGGCAATATCACAGTCGACCTACGATTTGAATGAGGTTATATGCAAGTACAGAAGTAAGATACCCTTATGACACTACACTGGCGAACTTGTTGTTGGATGTATGAGATAGATTTGAGCCTGCGTAAAGTATTTTGTTTTTCCGATTGAATACCTATGTGGGATGTATCGTAACTCGAATATCCGTACGAGGGGATGCGATTGAAAGCTTTCACAATCTGGGAGATTAATACTTGGATCCTTTCTGGATTCTTAATAAAAGCGAAGACCAAGGTTGTATATAATTCGTTGAATGGAAAGATACTGGATATTGCATATGTGTGCGCAGTTGGAATAGATATCGAAAAAAGGACTTCTTCACGTCTTTACAGAGTGGGTAAAATTTTATAAAGGTAGTAATATTCTTTTTTTTATGATGAAAAGAAATAAATGATAAAGGAAAGATAATGTTCACCATATTGAGCATATCATACCTACCCCGTTCGTTGGTATTATTGAATGTTGAAAAAATTGACCTCATGTTTAGGTCCTTACCTCGCTGATGCTGTAAACAAGCCACGATCCATGGAGCAACTTCCAAATTTCTGAAGGGTCGTCAAGATCTGAAAATCAATGGGTGATCTGAACTTTGGGTGACATGATCTTGATCTGATTGGTTGGAAATCTTACTAATCCACAGCAATCGGGACTCCACCAATCGAGAATTTGCGATGATGAGTTTCCAAGATTGAATTATTTGGGTAGATAGAATTTGTATAATATTCAAGTCCTTTTTGTGTATATATGTGTTTATATGTGTTTATTTAAGAATATATATATACACATAGTATGTATATACATATATTTATCTATATTTAAAGACTATACAATCAATCTACCGATTGCCTGTATACCGTAATTCTGTGCAAGGTGCATACGATACACAATGAATGCACTCGAGTACCACTCATCAGTATGAGAAAAAGAACACTCATCACATCCTTCACGAACATGGGAGTCGGACTGTCGGAAGCTCTCTTGAAAGTCTGGATTCTATAGCCCTCCATTTCCTCGATAACTAGGGGTCATTCTCGATTCAGGGACCTTTATTAGCGTCGGAGTAGCCACTTCCACACTAGTTGACTGTCTACGAAGTACTCAGTGCTCACTTGCACTCCAAGCTTCCAAAGGTATTCTCCAATTAACGAACCACGACGGGAGCCATAGAACACGAGCCACAACCCACAACCCACCAGCCACAGCCCATGAGCCACTACTTAGGTAGGTAGGTAGGTATCCATGGATCCATCCATTCCCACCTAGCAGATTATCACTCAAACGCCCCTCACCTAGTAGGGCTCAGTCAGATCTTTGAGACACCAATCGTTACGAGTAGATGTCTGAAGATATAGACATCTAATCTCATCGAGTGTTACTCAGATATCCGGGTGTCCGACCTCATCTACGATCTAGAATCAAAAGATGTTCAGAGATCCATTCCAAATATCTCCTTCCAATCCGAGATCGAAAAGGGTGCTGCTAATCGTCATGAAGCATTGAATTTTACTTTTAGTATTCAATGTCAGAAATCACCAGACGATTGACAACGTTCCAATCCAATCTATTCTCGATTCTCGATTGGCTTTTGAAACGTCCCAAGCGGTCTTGTGTAATATAAGCTTGATAAGCACGTTTGACCCCTTCTTCGATTGATTCGGCATCCGGAACGTTGAATTCGATTTCATCGACGATGGATCTGAACAACGTTAACGTTCTGTATTACCCCAAAGAACTTTCTTCCCATGATCTTACTTCAGATGAGCAAAAATAGTCAGAATTTGTTTCACGTGTATCGAGTCACATTTTTTTGCATAAGCCCACCCAGATTGGACCACTAACCCTACTATGTCATTTCAATATGGGCGGCAACGATATACATATTGAAAGATCAACATGTCAAAATCTCCTTATGCCATTCAGTAGCCATTTTGTATATTGGTCTAGCACACCGGGCACGCACTAAAATCGCCTAAAGTCGATCTGTACATGGGATCAACAAAGATACGTCCTACCCGGTGTTCTCGGTACGGAAAATAGAGACAAATACCCTTTCTGGATACAAACCTTCCGGTTCGGTCAATTTGCATTTCAATATGTGTCCCGAAAAGAAGATGATAAGCTTACCTAGATGCGATCTTTCTGGGTCTCACAATTGGGCAGATATTCAGACATGGATCATGAATGAGCTTGACAAAGTTTACATCCTGACCTGATCAACCCAATTCCTCGCCTATGTCATCAGCAAAAAAGGAATTGAGATTCTTGAATCCTCATCACAACGGTTCGACCCCTCTCCAACATAATATGATCTACCGGCTCTTGAACGCCCATTCATGAGGTTACACCAGAATCGCTTCTCCTTAAATCCTACTCCGTATGACAATATCACCCCGCAAAAGATAAAGGCCCAGGAAGATATCAACCATTCACGCTCGTACTGAGTGTCTTATCACATCATACCAAGCTCTTGCCCATCTTTACGATCTCTAATACCAATCCATCATCTAGAGGCGCGTCGGATCTTCCCAATGCCTCGTACCCCATCTTTTCATAGAATGCAACTCCACTCAAGGTTGAGCCGATTTCAGCTTTCTTAAAGCCCGCTTCTATCGCAGCATTCTCACAAGCTCGAATTATCATACCAGCAATCCCTCTTCGTGTCCAATCAGGATGAACAAAGAAAGCACGAATTCTGGCACCATCTACATCAGGATTCAACAGTTTTGAATCTCGAGTTGCAAATTGATCCCCTCCATACAACGTGGACCTATAAGATATCCCACCACTTCCCACAATCGTATTTCCAGATGTCACTACGAAGTAATTTCCATCCTGGATGAGTTGGGTATCAACTCCGTATACTGACTTGAGAGCACCGGCTATTTGGGCTGGCGTATAGTGTTCGACTTGGAGACCTCGGACCGACGCATCAATTAGCGGATGAAGTTGCGGGATGTCATTGACGGTAGCTCGGCGAAGTTGGAGTTCCATGGCAAAATTGGTAAGTTATTCTTCCCCGAGTACGACAATTTGTATTTCCTCGTCTTGTCTTGGATCGAAATGCTTTGATCGAACCTCTGTGAATCTCTGAACCGTGAACATATATCTGCCCACTTTTGAAATCATTATCGGCCGGGAGATATTCGGAGGTGAAACTGCATAGAAGTGAATCCGGAAATAGATAAGAAACCTAGGTATTTCTGTCACCAATTCATGATTGATCTCACAATGAGGTTGCAGTGCAACTAGGCACCAGTCAAATGGTACCGAAATCGCAAGGCACCATGGTTTGATTATTTAGCTGCCACACTGCGGCGTGATAGGGATATAGATAGAGATGGGAGAATGGCAAATTATGCCGGTAGGTGATACGATCAATATAGCCGGAAGTTATCCCAAGATTTCTCTAAGCATGGAAAAAGCATTGGATGCGAGTATGCCCGTCAGAAGAATCCACGACGACCCTGCGTCTTACGACTTTCTTGTTTGAATGCTGATGAATGTAATTCGCAATGACTCGAGCAGGAGGATATCATGAATACCAGAGAATCAACCAATTGGATGTTTTATTCCTGTCTAGCTTTGATTGATTGATTTACATTGCTAACTAATAGTAAGGTTATATTGCAGTTAGTAGATAATATCATCAATGATTATGGTAAAATATAAAATGTATCAGAATAAATAATAAGTAATAAGTAATAAGTAATAAGTAATAATAAATAATAAATAATAAATATTAAATATTAAATAATAAATAATAAATACTGGTACATCTTTGACAATTGTTTAAATTGGATTACGTCGTGTATTCGTCCTTCATCAGCCTTCTTTACTGCGGGGTCGGGTCAAATTGATTGTATGGTAACCAGGATGATCTTCTCTTATCAGTTTTTATACCTACTAGGTAGTTTATTACAGGAACATTTCCAGCAGAGTACCAGGTAGGTAGATATCATATCAACAAATAAAAATGATGCTACAACCTGTCAACCATCTTCAGACAACGACACCGTATACATTCAAAGTAAGAGATGAAGTATATCTTCACATTCGGGATCCACTTCGAACTATCTAGTAATCTCTCGAATGCTTTCTCGGTGACTTTCAACATGGGGTGGAGGAAAACCTCCTAAAACTCTCCGCCGATGAGGTAATTGTTGTTAATTTGATCATTGATGCCCACCTACCACCCACCACCGGCGAGTATTCCATGTTCCTGTTGGCGGGGAACGAAAAATACTGGACAATGAAAGGCCAAAGAGATATATATCACAAAACTTTTATAAGACTAATATTCCTAGGTTGAAGAATCTTTTTTTTTTCTTCTTCTAGTCTTCTCTTCAATTACTTTCTGAGAAATTCACAGCTTTGAAAAGTTCATGTAATCGCTATTAAAGACATCTTTGTCCTTTGTTTTTTTCTGAAGCTACCTACCTATAGCTAGCATCTATTGACTGACTGACTGACTGACGGCTTCCAAGTTTATTTAACCTTGAAAACCATTCACTCCCAAGTTCAAGCTTGCCAACGAACGAAAACACCACTCACACCTTTTGGAAATTTATCCAACTCATACTACCTATTTAGCCTTACCGGAAACACCCGTTTATCGCTTGTGAAGCTCCCCATCATCTACTTCTTTGACAGCTTCCTCTAAAGATCTAGAGAGGATCCCAAGTAGATTTATCTCAACTTAAAATCCGACCTATTTGATCTAGCCCAGTTCTAGTTCTACTTGTGCCATCAGCCTCACATTGCATCACGGCCATAGAACGAAAATAACTACAACATGCCTTCCATAGCTGACGAGGAGCCCAAAGCTTCCAGCAGATTACTTCTGGTATCCAACAGATTACCCATCACAATCAAACGAACTGAGGATGGTCAATATGAATTCACTGGTTCTTCGGGTGGATTGGTAACAGGTTTGAGTGGATTGGCAAAGACGACCACATTCCAGTGGTATGGATGGCCAGGTTTGGAAGTGCCAGATGCTGAAGCAAAGCCTCTGGTTAAGAGATTGAAGGACGAACATGGTGCTCATCCAGTTTTTGTCGATGATGAATTGGCCGATAAACACTACAATGGATTCTCTAGTATGTATTTTCCGCCAACTCTGCCCAGTTACATCTGTCGTTAGATCTGCAAGTACTAACAGCAATCATAGATTCTATCCTTTGGCCTCTATTTCATTACCACCCAGGAGAGATTACATTCGACGAGTCACAATGGATGGCATACAAGGAGGTCAACAGATTATTCGCGAAAACGATTGCTAAGGATGTACAAGATGGTGATTTGATTTGGGTCCACGATTATCATCTTATGCTTCTTCCAGAAATGTTGCGCGATGAAATCGGCACGAGCAAGAAGAATGTCAAGATTGGGTTCTTCCTTCATACACCTTTCCCTTCCAGTGAGATCTACAGAATCTTACCTGTCAGAGAATCTTTGTTGTTGAGTGTCCTTCATTGCGATTTGATCGGTTTTCATACATATGATTATGCCAGACATTTCCTTAGCAGTTGCTCTAGAATTTTGTAAGTGTGAATCCTGCTCTTCATAAACTCCAACTAACAGTGCGCAGGGAAACACAAACAACACCTAATGGTGTCGAATTCCGTGGTAAATATGTCACAGTAGCTGCGTTCCCCATCGGTATCGACCCCGAAAAGTTCATCGAAACTCTTAAAAAGCCAAAAGTCGAAGAGCGTATTGCTCAGCTGGAGCGCAAATTCGAAGGTGTTAAACTCATCGTCGGAGTTGACAGGTTGGATTACATCAAAGGTGTCCCACAAAAGCTACACGCTCTTGAAGTCTTCCTCACAGAACATCCCGAATGGATCGGCAAGGTAGTCCTTGTCCAAGTCGCTGTCCCTTCTCGTCAAGATGTTGAAGAATATCAAAACCTCCGCGCCGTCGTCAACGAACTCGTCGGTCGTATCAACGGTCGCTTTGGTACCGTTGAATTCATGCCTATTCACTTCCTCCATCAATCTGTCAATTTCGATGAACTTACCGCTCTCTATGCCGTTTCAGATGCCTGTCTCGTATCCAGTACTCGTGATGGCATGAATCTGGTCTCTTACGAATACATCGCCACACAACGTAAACGTCATGGTGTAATGATCCTCTCTGAATTCACAGGTGCCGCTCAATCTCTCAATGGCGCTCTCATTGTTAATCCATGGAACACGGAAGAACTTGCAGATGCTATCCATGATGCCGTCACAATGTCTCCAGAACAAAGAGAAATCAATTTCAAGAAGTTGGAGAAATACGTATTCAAATATACGAGTTCATGGTGGGGAGAAAGTTTCGTAAGCGAGTTGCAGAGGATTAGTGAACACGCGGCGAAGAAATCAAGCAGTAAGGGGACAGTAGATAAGATGCCGGACTTAGTAGAGGGGGTTCAACAATTCAATCTTGGGGAACAGAGAGAGGAAGGGAGATTGGAACCGGGTGAATTCGATGATTAGATTTAGGGCTCGGGATAGAATGGAAAGGGAGTACTACAAGAGAGGAGAGAAGAGAAGAGAGGAGAAGAGAGGAGAAGAGAAGAAAATCTTTTGATGGGACCGGATATACTTCCCTTAATAGCATTGATGGATGGATGGATGGGCAGGTGGCGTTAATATACTTGTTCGTTTGCTTATGATTGATGACTTGATTCATATTTCAAATTGAGTTGAATGGGAACATACATGGATGGATGGGTGAATGGGTGTGCTGGGAATATAAGAAAATGGGAAATAAACAAATACATATACATACATATGTGCATACCTAGGTAGAAGAATGGAACAAAAAATGATGAAATGAAAACAGATCATATCATATCATATCATAATCACCGTTAGAATATCTATCTCAAAATCTACATCTCAAAATCATACACGAAGAGCAAAATAAAAGAATCGAAATATACAAACAATAAAAGAATTTTCATTTTTCTAATTTTTAATTTTAAAAATTGAAATGAATCATTTGATGGAAAAAGATATTCGATCCGTGTCTCGACCAAATCAACCCTCCTTGTATCTCTCACGGACGCAATCAGAAGGAAGGTAGATAGGTAGGTAGGTAGGTAGACAGAAGGAAAGAAAGAAAGTCTCTACGTATAAAATCAAGACTTTCACTCCATTCATGTATACATATCATTTGATTCCTCATACATTCATTCTCACTCCTTCACCATCATTTTTTCTCGCACCATTCTCTTTTCATTCATCCATTCATCCATCCATGCATCCCACCGCCCCGTCCTGAATCCCTTTTCTCCAACTCATCACCACCCCCACCACCCCGCAAACTCACAACCTAAGAACTGACCTTCTCCCTCATCATCCCCATCCACTGCTGAAAGCTCATTCCCTGATCCGCCCTATCCTCGACTAACAGCGTCTGCGCCCACAATTTCAACGACGGTTCGCCATCTTCTCGCACCACATACAAATGCGGCACGACAATACTGCCGACACCTCTACTCCTATAATCTCTTGCTTTCTGGAACACATTTCTAACTCTCTCACTAAAATCGTTATCCAATTCCGGTAGTGTCGCTTTCCCAACCTTAAGTTTCGAGCGATCCGAAATATCAAATACATCAGCTAACAACTGAGGAACGGCGTCGCGGCCGACCCAAAGGAATTGTGTTTGGCCGTCATCAATAAGATAGAGACCGAATGGGACGAGACGCTCCGATGAAAGGTTCATTGGTGGAGGAAGAACTATTTGATTTGTTTCCGGATCGGGAATACCAGCGTTATCGGGCATATCGTGTAATGAGTACAGACGTGGATAGATGTATTGCATCAAGAGTGGAAGAGGAAGTGTGGATAATTGGCAAAGAGCTGCAGATCTCAAATCCGAAGGAATTTGGGCCGATTTTCGAAGTCCAACATTCTTGATGAGACCAAGGAAAAGAACTGGTAATCCACGAAGGTTGGCAGGGAATTGAAGCCCACCACCACCCATATTTCCACCTGCAAGTTCTTTCTTGAAGGTTTGGAGAAGCTCAATCAATTTCGACTGGAGAGCTTCACGTGCAGGCTCAAGACCACCACTCAATGCACGCTCAACAGCCTTGTGACTGAAGTAAGTAGTGATTGCGCATTGATCAGCAGATGCATAAACATCTTGAAGGTTAGTTGTTGTAGGCAATGACAAAGTCATAACTCTAATACGACGTTCTCCGTTACTTGTAGTGTGCAAGACGGCCGTTTGCATGCAAACAAAGTTCTTGGTGAGAGACTCATCGATAGCAACTTCGACAACATAGCTTTGATCGCGAGGGAAGGCTGGGAAGGCGCATAGATCCGAACTTCGGTTGAAGAAATTACCATAGAAAGTGCTCATTCGGAGACCAGTAGTAGCACGAACACGTAACACTGCCTCGAGACCAATTTCAGCAGATAGGTAATCACTAAACTCGGTAGCGAATTTGATGGCGTCTTCGCTTCTTCCAGCATTCCATCCAGGGTAAAAATAGGTTTGTCCACCAGTATATCTTGGAAGGTTGCTAAGAGAAGCAACATCCTGATATTGTGATGAGAACAAAAACATATCGATGGAAACTTGATTCTTTGAACATTCGACCGCAAAACTCTTGTAGAAACTATTGGCTGTTTGTAATAGACCACTCTCCTTTGATGTACCCAGTAGCTTTTTATCCTCGCGCATCTCTAATTTGCCAAATCCAACATTGGGTAATGAAGCAGTGATTACAACAATCTTTCCACCAAGAGGAGAGATAAGTTTGTGACCAGCTCGGAGAGCTGAGCCCATACATGATCCATTGTTTGTATTGGTCTGGAACATTTGAGGAAGAGTCATGAGGAATTTCTCTACATTCAATCTGCATTCAGACAAGGGCACCAATAGCTCTTGAGGAACTGGAAGGAAAGGCTCCTCCAGATCACTAACGACAAGCATATTTGTCTCGCCATTCTCTTCCGTATCTTTTGGAACTTGGAAGTAATGTAAACTCGAGTCTACAGCCATAAATCCAACTCGCGTTCTTCGATCCGCATTTGGTATCCTGTTAAGACTGTCGAGAATAGTCCTGGCACTAGTAGCCAACAAGCCACAAGATACAGAAGCAAAACTGACATCGAACAAGAAGAGATAGACAAGTGGTTGTGGAGGTCTAACCATATACTCCTGTGGTGCGACGAATTCCACAACTGCGTGGTTAAGCTCCGGTCGTTGCCATCGGTCAACACTTTGTTGTGCAGCTGCATCCCAGTCAAAAGCTTGTGGGACATCGTTTGTGAGGTTACACATATTACACCTCCATCTGTGGCCATGGTCAAGGAATGAAACATATGGGTTGATGTATGAACGACATCTTCTACAGCGTGAAATGACTTGATCTTGAACAACTGGTACTGGATCGTCGACATCGTGCAACGAAGTGTATGGCTGTATAACTAATGCGAAAGGAAGTTTCGATTTCTTGAGGAGAGAATTGGTTGTAGGAACCGCATTCAAAGTGGATCTAACATATTTTGGTGGACAATTCGCATTTGGGGAAGGGGTAACACTTGACTATTTAAGCATTAGCATAGAATTCCATACAATTGATATTCACACTTACATTTGCAGGCAAAATGATCGGAGGAGGAGGTAAGTCCAACTCTGCGACATTGAAAGGTTGGTTGGTGAGATCTGTAGGATAAAGCTGATTCAACGCAACCTGAGCTGGAGCACCACCAGGACGAGCTTGAGCCGCAATAGGTTGTTGCGGTCCACCCATTCCCATCTGCCCCATTCCTTGAGTAATTCCCGCTACACCAGGAGTAACCGGTGTGCCTGGACCAGGATATCCAGCATCGGGAGGTTGATAACCCCCCACACCGCCGCCATATTGCGGTTGAGAGAAACCGCCCTGGGGAGCGCCGGCCATGCCAGCTTGTGGAGCTCCATATGCAGCAGCGGGATCTGGTTGAGCTTGATATCCACCATATGCAGCAGGTGCTTGTGCGGGTTGAAATTGAGCACCGCCATGTGTTTGTCCTCCTAAGGCTGAATTCGCACCTTGACCAAAATCATAAGCTTGTGTCGCATAACCCCTCTTCTTCTTCTTTCCGGCATCTGCTCCTGGTGGACCGGCTTGTTGTGTGGGAGAAGTCACTGGCTGTTCATAGCCTGGTTGCGCGGGACTTTGCTGTGCGTATGGGTCTTGAGGGGGATAAGCTTGGCCTGGATATCCATCTTGTGGTGCCGCCATATTTGCTATTGTTTTAATTCTCTGGAGCAGCGTTTCCGAGATTTAAAATGTGATGTAGTGGCGCAAGAAAATTGGTAGTCGCCCTTGGAAAGCTTGATGTTGTCCTGTTCGAGGGGTAGGTCGAGTATGGAAAGTGTCAAGTCAATACCCAAGCTTAGAATTCTTGGATAGATCTACGATAGTTGATAGTCTCAAGGAACACGTTGCTAAGAAAGAGCTTCCTAGGTAGATGAGATCCGAACAGATTGTCAAAAAAGTCCAGGGGTATTTCTAGACAATAAGAGAAGATTTGAAAATTACAATCGATTCATTCATGACATTGAATTGAACTTTGTATAGGATATGTATGATATGAAATCGGTTGAGATTCCTAATTTTTGGACTTGGACTGGTCACTCACTCTCTGAAAAGAATCCTGGCCTTTCGGCTTTCATCATTCACGGCCACCCTCCACCAAAACAGCCCTCACCCAAATGAATTTGTCCCACAGCATCACGTGTTAGAGTAGTGGGGAGGAGGTACCTAGCCTTACAGTGTCGAGAATGATTATCCGGGCTGTATATTGGGGTCCTATCCTACACTATGACCCCCTAAATTTGGAATCACTACCTAGTAATAAGCATCTATCTCCCTATCTAATTGATGACTGCACAATCCCTAAATCCCTAAAATCCCTCTGCGTATTCCGTATTCCGTATTCCATATTCCATATTACCAGGATAAACTTCCTAAATATCCTAAATTGATAATAACAATAGCAATATAACTTACAGCCCTTCAATCTGAAACTTATCATCTACCAGTACCTAGGTACATATACTACACATACTTCTCCAACATCCTATTTTGTGGTTCGAATCTATATTCTCCATTTGAAAGACACAAACAAAGATCGATACATTTTATACCCATAATAATTCCATTTATTCTATTTCAAACAACAAAACAATGGCTTGGGGATCTTCATCAAAGTCCCCTCCACCACCCCGCTCTGCTTTAAGGTATGTCCTGCTGTTACCAGATATTTCTTTGTCTCTGTACGAACTTGGGAACTTCGTCGCATACACCAGTAAATTTTGTCAACCCTATTTACTCTTCTCCATTCTCTACCGTCCATAAACAAATCATATCAAATCATGTAGAACGACAAACACCTCAAAACAATAGCTAACCATGCTCCCAACCAACAGCAAGTTGCTCCCTCTCCTCATCTTCCTCGTCATCGTCGGCGCATTCGCATTCGTCGGCTACCAAGTCTACCTCGTCACGCAACAAGTCTCGAAATCTGCCTCGGACAAAATGGCGTCCAAGAATGTTTCGTTTACCAAAGACGGCGTCAAAGTTGGAGTGAAAGAGTTGAAAAATGAAAATTATGTGGATAAAACCCAAGGCTTCTTGGTCAAGGCTTGGAATCTAAGTACATGGCCTGCGTATCAATCAAGATTGGGTTGGAATGGTCCCAAAGATAATGGAAATGGTGGGAAAGTAGAATCTAGGAAACCGTAAGTTTGCTCTTTCTCTTTGCATGCGCCCAAGAGAATGAGGGAAGAGCGGGTGGAATAATTATGGAATCTATGCTTCCAGGTCTCCTCTTGCTGTTCCCGTCCTCTTTGCAAGCAACATACTCTCAGAAAGTAACTAATTTCCCATTTCCCCCTTCAGGTATTCTCGCTCCTCGTCCAACAGATAAATCAAACCCTCTCTGGCGCAAATCTCGCTAATTCCTCAAATCTATTTCTTCACATTTTGTATTACTGTACTCTTTTTCAATTTACTCATTGCCAGATTCTCTCTGAATCAAGCCAGACGGTATCCTCTAAAGTGAGGACAATGCAGCCAATAGTCTTTTCGCTGCGGAAAGCATGAAGTCTTGGGCAAAGATCGATGAATGGGACATTCAACGATACTTTTATATTACAGATCTACCATACTCGCTCATCATCCAACCCCGATCGCCGGGCTGGATTGAAAAAGGAGAGGTCATCTGAAGCCCCAGACCACCATTACTTGTAATTGCGCAAGCATTGGATTTATGGAACAGATGGGCGTTGATCAGATATTTCCATTCTCATTTTCATAGAGCTTCTCAATACCTATCTGGCATTTCATTTCTTCCAGCCCTCTTCATCGGTTCATGAATACTGGTTTTACGACGACACATATATGAGCAACTCCTAAGTTACGTTATCTCAGATCTCTAACTTCATGGAGCCTCTTCATAGAAGAGTCATGATACTAGATATATAGCAAAGCTATACAAATCCCATACTCATTCTGACATCAAAATCTCACACCCTCCTCGTCTCCTCGTGTAAACTTTGAGAAGTGAATATGAATAGAGCTTCTTCAACGCAATATCATCCGTAAAGAGTACCCAAATTCCCCAAGAAAACCCAAACTACAAATCGGCAGTCAAAAGCCTACCTAGATATCGAATCAACAATCTTCTTCTCAAACCAGAATGAATGAATGAATGAATGGATTCAGAGAATTTGAAAGGATCACCTCTATTCTAACACATCATACACAAAATTATAATACATCCTTCATGATATCACATCATTACAGTCTTCCTTGTGCTAGTCTAACATACAGATCTATCTAACTACCCATCCTGATATCAATATCTATATCAATATCTATATCTATATCTATATCTATATCTATATCTATATCTATATCTATACATATACATATACATATATCCACATCCAATTATCCAATCTACCATTCATTCTAATCTGAGCACTATTAAGACACCCACACCCACACCTATACCTATACCTATACTTACCCATCTACCTTTCCTCCCTCTCTCCCAGCCTTCCCCACCTCATCAGCAAACTCCATCTATATTCTAATTCCGATTCCACATTGTGAAATCTCCATCCTTACTGAGCGTAGAATACCGTAGAATACGGTAAAGGATCATATCTCCTATACTATATTATATTATACCTCTCACATTCCAACATCTCCAACATCTCCTCACTCTACAAATCACACCACAAAATAGAATGGAATGAAGTACCTTGCCTTTAATTTACTTTTCTCTTTTCGCAATACTCTGTCTATTCATCCCTCTCGAGTCTTGAGTATATAAATATATGTACATATTTCACACATGTAAATATATATCAAACACCTCCCCTTCCCCTTCTCTACCCTACGCTGACCCATAAACTCCTTGAATGAATACCTTAGCACCAAAATTCATACAGCCCCGAGTTTTTGCTTACTAGCTGACCCACTGACTGACTGTCGTGTATATATAGAGTTAGAGACAGAAATGTACAGGATGTACAAAAGTAAAAAAAACTGTATACGCCTTCCCGGAGGACTTTTCCTCTCCTCTCCTTGCCTTTTCTTTCCGTGCCCAAAATCAAAATCAAAATCAAACTCAAATCAAATCAAATCAAATCAAATCCATACGCTTCATGCACCCCTTCCCTTCATTCCATTCCAATCCGAACCCCTTCCATTCCCATTTCCATTCCCACCCTAGCACCATCACAAAACACAGTACACAGTACCCAGCACTCAAAGAAACCCACCCCTATCCAAAACTTCGCTCGCTCTATCCAAACCCCACATCAAACCGTCGTCTCCCACCACCCCAACCCCTCCAACCACGCGTATTTCTTTCCCTGTTCATTACTAATTTTCCAACCCATCTCTCCCGCTCTCTGCATCCCATTTCCATTTCCTACCCCATTCCCACTCATACCCAACCCATATTTACTCTGTTGATATTGGAACATGACATTGCTATTCAACCCATTTCCATTCATAGCTCCGACCCCGTTGAATCCCCCTCCTCCTCCCCCTATATCCCCACTACTAGTCTCCAACACACTCCTTCCCAAATGTTGTTGTCGTTGCTGCTGTTCCTCCCTCACCTTCTCCATCGCAGCTTGTCGTTCCCTTTCCCACATTTCCCTCTTCATAGCTTCGCGTTGTTGAAAATTGAGTGCCGAAATGGAAGGGGGGAGCGTGGGCATAATTGCTGGTTTACCTGAAGGTCTAACGGAATTCGTCGCGTTCGGTGATGCGTAGCCCATGTTATCGCGACGGACGATCATAGATGGAAGACGGAGTTGGAGCTTTGGTGTGTTAGCATTAATTTTGTATGCTTGTGAGATGGCAGGTGAGAGGGCAAAGGGACAGAGGTAACTTACAGTGCTAACGACCTTTGCCTGATTTAAGCCCATGACTTCTGAAATGAATTTAAGCCGTCCTTTAATCCACAGCCTCTGTGAATCCGTCGTGAAATCACTACAACTAACTGATAACAGCGGCCAGATTGCATAAACCCCTCCCAACGCCTTAACACCCGTAGCATCGTTGCCACTCATAGGATCTCCCGGTTTCAATCTTCCCCCGGCATCTAGATGCCACCCAAACATAAATGGAATAGAAGCGATGATATCACAAATCATTTCCTGGCCCATCCTCGACATTTGCGCGTATTCCGGCGTGGTTCGGTAGTCGACGGGATAGCATGTCCAAGCTGCACAACGAATAACTATCGCAGCGATGAATATCCTTGATACACGGGAGAAATTCCATGCTGAGCAGGTGAATACATCAGGGTAAAGGTCAACTCGTCCAGGACACACATCGGCTTTTGTTATGTCACCACCGGGGATATTATCCACCCATGCTACTGTCTGTTTTGTTTGCGTTTCTTCCCATCTCTGATACTCTTGTTCGAGTTCTAGAGCACGATGCATAATCTCAGTGACTAGTTCGGTAGTTTCCGGTGACCGGGGATGTGACATTAGTATTCTATTCAGATCGCCACGCAATTCGGCTACTTGTAGGTTTAATTTGTTGACAAAGGCAGCTCCTTCATCTTTCTGAGAATCAGCGCACCACCAGTCGGCGCCTAGCATGGGAGTCTTGGATGAAGATAGACAGTTGACAAGCTAAATGTATATTAGTATCGAATCCACTACAAAGAGGAGCAACTAGCATACCATTTGTCCTCGAACACTTTGGAATAAAGCAACACCAACTTTCGTCCTTAACTGTTTCTTTCCTCTCATCTTCACTATTTGTACAGCTCCATCAATATGTGATCCCCAAGCCGTGATACTCGCTTTCTCTTGAGTGATAGTTTCGAAGAATCCCAGTAATATAATCGAAGCTAGTGTCTGATCGGATTTTTGTTGTACTGGATTTTGTAGCGCCAAGTTAACAACCTTCAACGCCTTGGCGTAATTCTCAATAGCTAAATGCATCAAATTGCTTCCTCTTGCATTTGGTTTATTTGCTAAAGAAGCCATGGCCACAGCTTGGAAGGAAAGTGACAACGCCGAGTCAGAAGCTTCCATCTTGATTAATGGTAATACCCAGTCAAACGAGCCTCGCATTTGCCCGCTTTGTGGTATGATGACGAAATTTGTCATGAAATAACATGGTGCTTGTTGCTCGATAGGACTAGTGAAGGCCACTTGTAGCCCCAAGGCATCTGAAGATGAAGAGTCATTGCCATCGGATTCAATCTTGGCCAGATCCGTTCCGGTCGTTGAATACGTGATTTCGGCATCGTCGGAACTTGAGTTAGAGACAATTGAAAACTTGCGACTTGCATCACCTCTATCCACTGATCCGATCTGGGTGTTGTTATTGCTGCCCCTCTTATTCTTTAATGATCGTCGTGCTCGTCTTTCTGTAGCTTTTGTCTCATTACGGAAGACAAGATCGAAGTCATCCTTATATCCTGGACATTGTCGTCGTGATTTTTGACACTGGTTGCAAGTGGGTTTGGTTTCATCACACTATGAGGATGATATTAGCAAACCAAAAGTTCTCCTTGACAGACAACGTGAAGACCACACCTTTATCCTTCGAGTTCTGCACATCTGGCAGCCACGTGAAGGCTTGCCACAGTATACCATCTTGATATACCTTGACTTTTTTTCTTTATTCTTTGGCAAGATGAACCCTTGCTATAACAATAGGTTTAACTGAATACTTTGTTTCCTTCCAGCTCACAATTGATCAACCAATTTCTCAATCAAAGTTTCGAAGACAGGAAATTTGGGGAAATGAACAAGATGATGTGAATATACAGTAAACAATATATTGGACGAGACTCTAAAACCCATGCGATATTGACAAATGGCTGTGCTTTAGATCTGAAACTCATACATGAAGTTACAACTCGGTAACAGCTCCGATGAGACAAGCTAGAACAAGCTTTATTCCTCCGATTACACCTCGGTCACAAGTTTGAGCAGTCGATGAAGAATAAAAGTGCGTGCTAGGGATAAGCATGTAAAACAGAAGGCGTAATCAAATTGACTTGACAGTGGAATAGAGATACCGGTAGCAGTGGAGAAAAAGAGTTGACATATATGATTTAGATGAAAAAAGAAACAAGATGGATTGACATCTGTCAGTCTAGGATGTTTAGATGTTTAATAAGTTCAAGGTTTTGAAGTCGTTGGAAGAGGGCCACTGGAGGTATTGCTTTTGTGATTTGTAAATTGTAGAGTATCCCCGTCACCTACCTAGACGGTTACTAGTTAGTGGGTTTTAGTAAAGGTACCAAGTAGCAAGTAGCAAGTAGCAAGTAGCAAGTAGTATTCCAAACAAAACCATCTAGATTTACCGGTAGATTGTTTCGAAGATCGAAAGATGATGATCAAGTAAAACTGGGGGAGAGGGAAAAAAGCATTGAAAGACAAGCAGGCGAGCAGACACCACCACTTTTTTCTTCCTTACCAGTTGAATCAATCGTGCAGCTGGTCGCCGATGTCAAGGGATATTTGATGCAAACTCTATCCTGTGGTCAAGGGTCCCCCCCCTGAACGATAGACCTCGGAGCGATCCATTCCACCCCTAACCCCTCTTTTGGGGAGACTTCTTTTTATGTTTTGAATAGCAGGGGACTTACTTGATGGAAGGTGGACGTCCACACATTTTATACAGTAGAGCTGCAGAGTATTGGAGTAGAGGAGGATGGTTCGTTAGGTGGAGTACTGGTAAAACCCTCAGCTGTATATAAAATGACAATGAAAATGAAAATGAAAATCAAAATCAAAATGAAAAATGGATATATAAAAAAGGCAATAGATCTAAAAGATTGACCTGGTAGAAACGCATCTACCAATGATCAGTAATCATTCATTCAATCATCTTTGAATGAAATCGGAGAAATTACCTACCGGTCCAAGCCGGTAAGTACACATCATCGATAGCAACTTTCCCCCAACGGTCTTGCCGTTCCCGGAGAATAAGGAAATTGTAGGAAGATTTTATATTATTATACATACAGTGCATACGAAGTACGAAAGCAATATTTGGTATATCGGCAGATAAGATATCTGGCCTAGATTCCTCATAATTCTACCATGTGGGAAGCACAAACGGTTGAAAATGTATGTGATTAAGTAAAGGGGCAGTGGAGCAAGCGGGGGTAGTTTGGTCAAAACGGTAAAACGACCTGCTATCAGTGCTATGATTACTTGGGCGTATTATGAAGCACAGTTCCAGTCAACTATCTTATCGTGCGACGGTTAACAGTCAAAGACAGTCTCACCGTTAAATCATTTGGAGCTATCTCACCTATCTAACCGTGCAGATGGATGTGAAAGTTCAAATGCTAGATATGTGTATGTGTATGTATGGCTCTATTTGCATGTGAGGTTATATCGGTAAATACATATATTTGTATGTATATATGTATATACCTAGGTATGTATATATATATATATGTGCATTCATGATCCGGGGAGTCTCCAACTAATAAATGATCCTCTTACTCGAGTACATAGTAGTATATAAAAGATCGACCATCAAAAACTGTGATTATTTGTTGTGTTCGCGGTGGTGCTTTCTTGGATTAGATGCATGGAAATGAAATGCATAGCATGTGCAGGTATGTAATGTGCAACTAATATCCTGGACCTTCTTCATAGGTATCTCTGCAAATGAAGTGGATCAGGTTATACTGCCGCGAGAGATCTACAGAATCCCCTTTGGCAGCTTTTCTTGGGAGATCTCGGAAAAGGGTCCGGCAATGTCGTAAGAAGTCGTGGAAATATATTGAACTTTAAATCATACGATCTGAAGATTTATGGATATGGATATGGATATGGATATGGATATGGATATGGATATGGATATGGATATGGATATGGATATGGATATGGATATGGATATGGATATGGATATGGGTACGAGTGAGTGTGAACATACCTACAGAGTATGTGTATGACAATATGAAAGTATGTGCGTATCTAGATATGTCTATCAATTGCTACAGAGAGTAAGTACGAACCGCACCAACTGTATATAAAAGTATTTCGCAGTCAGACAATTCCGCAGCTTGACATCTCGACTCCCAAGTCTCGAGACATCGCATGATAAGTGGAATAACGGTCCCGTAACAACGGCATCTACCGCAAGTCATTCCAAGTCATTCCAAGTCATCGGCATTGAATCCAAATCCACTATAACTATAATAGTGAGGCTACATTCATTTCCGCTCTTCGCCAGATCAAGCAAATGTATACCGGCAGTACACTCTCTACATGGGAGAAAAAAGAGGCCAACATTAATCATCCCAATAAATTCTATAATAAATCAATCGATAATAAAAATATGAAAGTATAAAAGGTATTAATATTAAACGGATCCTTGAATAATCTTAAATCATAAAACTATTTTAACATTTAAATTCTCTGAATTGGAATGGAACAATTGAGTTATTGAAGGCCTTTGCCAGTAGTCAATTCCGGCCCGTTGTTCTCCTACGGAAAGACACTCTACAATACATTCACAATACACGTTGGCACCACAGTGACCACACCATCTTCAAGGTTTAAACCTAATCTATCTTGGCATGGCAATGGCAATGGCAATGGCATGCCACCCTCAATCTCAGATTTCCATTTAGATTTCCCGTTATGCAAGATCCCGAGCCGCTCTACCTTACCATTCATACACTCACTTACTCATTCACTCATTCATTGATCCAGCCCGGAACCTCTTTCCATCTCCCCTTCATTCCCGATTTCCCAAGATCAACCCCAAGTCTCTTTACTAACAAGGTTATTTCGATCGATGCATGCTAGCAAAAATACACCCGTTCACCAATCCCATTCTTCACAACCACAATCTCCTCGAGTCCTTCTCCATCTCTTTGCCTCGTCGAAAAAGCATATAACATCCAGTATCCAGATCCACACGCATCTGTCAAATGAAATCAAATAATGCTTCCTAGGTATCTTGAGGTCTACGTACATCCTCCCAGACCCATCCACCTACCCCACCAGAACGCGACTCAAGCGCAACATCCCCCCCTCAAGGATAAAATATACAGAACGACTGGGGTTTCAAACTAACGCCTAATATGTCCCAATTCAATTGTGCAAACAAGATCTCACTGCATCATTTTTGGCGAAGGTAGACGAACCCTGAGATTTCATCTCTCCGGGCCTCCGGAATCGTCTTGGAAGGATGAGGCGTGAGGTAGTAGCCTCAAAGCGATCGATGGTGATGCCGATGATGGAATCAAAGATGGATGGACGATGGCTCGCCCCACTGCTAAGCCATTGGTTTGGAATTTGCTTTGTTTGATATATAAGACATTTTGTGCTAACGGTTGATTCAACTAGACGATGTATGCTATTAGTAGAGCATATTTCTTATTCTTTTGACGGCGAGAGAAGTCTCTAGAACCTCTGCACGACAATGCATGTCTTCAGGTCAGGGGAATATCATCAGCTTCTGGAATGAAAACGCTAATTTCAGCTCCTCCTCATCCTTTCTATGCACAAAGGTATACGCACTCGATCTACTCAATCACTCTTAAAACGGTAACCTAATCAAAGGGCATGCATACCCATAACCTTTTCGGGATTGCTTTGCATGCACGCACCATATGCTTGAAGGATTGACGACCTGAATAGATGGGCTAGGGATTATGTCCGATTTAGATCGTTCACCAGATCTGTCAATTGAGCATACACACATTCTCCCCCAGCAGCTCTCATCTGTTCTCCACCGGTGAACTCACCTCCTCGTTTTCCCCTACCTCGATCTAATCCGTTTCGTCTCATCTCGTCTCACCCCATCTCGACGCCCTCTCCATCACTGTCCCCCCCCTCCATCCCGTTCCCTCTGAAGAAGAACAAGGTATAAAAAGACCCCAGTACCCGGATACTTACCACACCATACATAAACAATACATACATTATTGACGCATCCAAGATGTCATCATCCACGCACCAACCCAAAATCATCCGCATCATGACATTCCCGTTTCTTGACCCCCAATCAAACTTCTTTTCTACACCACTTACATGCGCCGCACCCATTCATTCCATTCTATTCCTGTGCATTTACATACAGCTAATGCTACGTCCTCTACTGTACCACACTGCATATGCGAGATCCAAACTACCATTCCTACAGGTAACGAACCATCCATCTACCTCCCTACCGTCAATCCCCATCTCCATCCCCATCCCCATCCCCATCCCCATCTCCAAACCAATCACCCAACCATCCATCCATCTATCCCTTCGCAAACAGTTCCCAATCCATCCATCCCCTCTCCCTCTCTCCATCGAACTCCCCCCAACCTCCTCCTCTAACCTCCAATCACAATCACAACTACCAAGAAATTCCCCCCTCACCCTTCTCTCACCCCTGTCTTAAATCCGAACACTTACATCTACCGTCGTAACTGTACTACTACTACTACCATACATCATCTAACCCATCTCCATTGTCTATCTCCATATGATGCAATACGACGAGATGATACACATCTCCGACCACGGCGTTTAGAAGAAAAAACAATTTGCTTTTTTCCATCTTCTCCCACCCTCACCCTAATCCTTTAGCTTTGTCTCCCATCTTCCATGTCTAGCTGAAATGCACATATCCCTCATACATAAAATCCATACTCCACAATCTCGCCAGCCATCCAACTAACGTAACATTCCCCTGTTGTGTTGATGATAGGACCCGACTCCTTCGGGTAGGTCTAACTAACTATCTGACATGTATGCATAGGTAGGTACTTCATTCATTAGAGGTCCAGAATTCAGAATTCAGAATTCAAGATGTAAATTCTATGACGCGAATAAACAAACAATACCGCCACAAATTCAATACGCTGTATGTAGAATCTTAGATAAATGTATGGATGGATAGATGGATAAATAGATAGATAGATGTACGAATACCAATATGCTATTTGTGATCTACGAGTACCTAGATAGATGGATACTCAGTATGGACTCTGAGGTATATCTATCTGTCTGTCTATCTATCCACGCAAAGTATTATGCAGATAGATAGACAGATTGATACCATAGCTGTAGCTGTATCTGTAGCTATACCTAATAACCCACCCATTAACCCATCAACGAGCCAGCGCCCTCTAACCCTATCACGACGCACTTTACTAATTTATCTTTTGTAACTTGTAGATTCTCAGCAGACCTCTATTCCACCATTCCTTTCCATTCTGTCATTATCTCCCTTCCTCTCTCCAACCCTGTCCTTCCCTTGCCTCCCTTTTCCATTTCTTTCTTTCTTTTCCGCCCCTTTATCCTCGCGCTCACCAAACATCTAATTATCAAAAAGTCCCGCCACTCCCTCCAAATCATCAATCTCACTCTTAACCTTCCGATTATCCTCAACCGGTCCCCTCATAAAAGCCTCTTGCATTTTACTCCTCTCCTTCCTCACGACACTTGCGCTCTTCGAGATCCTTCCCTGTTCACTAATACTAACCCCCTTCAAATCCTTCAACAAATCCAATATCAGCGCCCGCTGAGTTCTCTGTTGAACACCCTGTACTGTCAACGCTTCAATACATTTATTTACTGCTTTTTCTTGAATACCAGGTAAACTGAGGAGGATTTGCTTGGGGGTATCTGTAACGGGTGCATAGTGAGCTAAAATCGATGCAATAAGAGAAGCGAGATCCTTTTGTAGTTCTACGAAATAGGGCTCATTTAGTGACGAAATGGCAGCTTTTAGTACTTCAGTGCTGATAAATTCTCTGATTGATGAAGCGAGAGAAGAATCGTTGCCCGAGGAAAATTCGGGAACAATGGATCGGAAAACACGGAGGACAACCCCACAACAACGGGTATCTCTCATGCGAATAGCGTGTGTTAAGAAAAGTAGAAGAGATTCTAAAATAGCTTGTGAAGTCAAACAAAACTTTCTCATGCTTGGATATGAATTCGCTTGGCTTTGAATGAATGTCGAGGCTTCTTTGGCTGACCTCGGTGCGGGTGTGCTTCCGATATCTAGCAAAGGGTTAGTATTGATAAGATATGTGAAGATTTTTGGTAATTTACTTGGTCGTGCTGGATCGAGGAATCCAGCAATCATCATGACAGATGTATGTGTCAACTGTCGCAGAATGCTCTCTTCCTTCATTTCCTCGGTCAAAGTGTCTCCATCTGCAGGAACCACTTGCTTATGAGATAATCTCTCCCATTCGGAACTACATTTCGCGTCCATTTGAGCGAAGCAGGAAGCCAATATAGGAGGCACAAAGTGAGATCGAACTTCGACAGGACAATCATCCACCATGAGTCGCACAACATTCAACAAAGCAATAAGTTGATGTGAAGACAAGCAATGGGCATCTGCGAATAAAGCATTTGCAAGTGGTCCAGGGAGCTCGCTAAAGCCATAGAAATCAACATCCAAACGACTCATAGAATAAAGTATCGAGTAACAAGACTCTCTAACAGTACGAATTGAACCTCGTATAGATGATGCAAGACCTTCCATGGTAGATTTGGTACCAGTAACCCTAGCATAGAAGTCACCTTTACTTCCAACCGAAATTCCAGACTGCCAGAAGCGGTCCGTCAGAATTCGACTAACAATTGGTGCCATCTCTGGGGGAAGTTCATTCCAATTCGCAGGATTATGAAAGGCATGTGCATGACTATAAAAATTAGTAAGAACATCGAAAATAAGCAGTTCCACTTTTACCTCAAGTATCTTAGAAGAGTTGGCAATATAATTGGCAGCGCATCTCTCCATAAAGTGCAGGAAACCTTATAGGCAGGTTCTTCTTTCTCAAGCTTCTCGGTCGAGCAGCCTAGGAATGATTTTGTAGTTCTCAATGGCAGTGCCTGCACTCAGATTAGTAATAACCCCATTCGTTCAACAGTATTGAATATACCTTTAATCTCTCTTCCATATCTTTCTGTATCGATTGAGCTTCCGAGTCAAGCTGATAAGTCGACCAATCCTGTATCTCATGAACTCGCCTTGTGACAAGAAAGTCTCTTACGCGATTCAACCCAAGTAGGTCGCAGAACCCAGAGAACCCTTCGACCGCGTGATTCATTTCCGAATTTTGCCAACTTGCTTGCACAGGTGTTAAAAATCCTTGCAGCTTTTGCAAACGAATCTCTGGGTCAATTTTAGAGTTACGGTGGCTGGTAATATTAGTATGATATCTCAGATCTGGCTGTGAGGAACGACATACATAATCGTGAATAAGAAAGTTTGATATGACGTCTGACGTTTTTTATCCAGATTTCTGGTAGAAATGATTTCATCGACCTTTGCTTGGAGTTGATCATAGACGTCCTGCGAGCCTCAATCAGTAAAAACATCTTAATTAATTTAAAGGGACTTACCAATAGTTGATCAGGCATTTTTCCGGCTAGTCTTTGCAACTCATAAGCAGACTCTGCTTGTAGCTCTTTCACGGCTTCCGTATAAGCTGAGGCGTTTGGATACTCCATGGGTTGTGCCATCAAAATGTGTTCTAGCACTTTTAGCATGAAGCCCACTTTCTTATCTAAAGCCGTGGTTGAAAAGGCGACGGCAAGTTGTATAATTCTCTTTTGAATGATTGGATCCTAGTGACGAAGTTAGATAAGATCAAGAAAAGTGTGACTTCAACGGACCTCAAACTTGAGCTCCAGCAATCGTTGACACCAAGTTTCTAAATTGTCTTCTATACTTGTACGCTCTTGTTCCTGCTGATAGTCAGTTGAATGTGTCAATCTTGCTGTGCGTGTAATTACATCTCGTTGAGGGTCAGAGCCATGGCCTGCTCTCCATTTCATATATCCCTTGAGTGCTGCTTCTACCACGGTGAAATTCTTATCAACTCGTAGTACTGCTATCGAGGTTTTGGAATAGTTTTCCACTAAGATTAAGTCAATTATATGCAATTTAAAATGGGCTTGGGGGGAGGCAGGCGATCTACCGGAAAAGGGGGGGCATCCATCATAAAGGTGCTGCAAAGAGTTATCCACTTGGCTTAAAATATGATAGATGGCCTCTGATTGCTTCTGCCGAACGACAAGCTCTATGATTTGAGAGCAATATCGTCGATAGTTTCCTAGAAATGCATGTCTTTCAGGCTGTGTATCGATATCTTCCTGTAGAAATAGGTACTCTGCATCTTCGCAGTCATCTGGCATGTTCTCATATCGAATGAGGCGTGAACTAGAAAGTTCTAGAAGAGGTGCAATTAAAGGTGTTATAAAAGAAGACCCTCCAATGATTGGCGAGCGAAGCAATTTTGTCCAGGTAAGAATAATGGGTATCGAAACAACAAGGCTTTGACTTTGAGCAATAGCAAGAAAAAGATTCAAGAGGTTAGAAAGATCGCAAGATTCGGGTATAGCTGAAATTTTAGATTCTATGAAGACTCCGAGATTTGACATCATCTACATGAGGTTAGTATGAACGGGTTGGCTGTCGAAAGTGTGTCAAACCTCAGAAAACTTTTTAGCAAATAGATACTTTTCATCGTCAATATCATTTGCGTCTACCACAGACCATTGGAATAGATTTCGTAGTAAGCCAACCACTTCGCTGGTATACATCGGGCATACAAGCTCTAAGAATTCTTCATCCGAAAAATGAACACGAGAATAAAGTGCAAATAAAGCTTGAACAGACGCCTACAAAGGATATCAGTTCTGAAAGATAGTTTCACAGATACTGTTTATAAACTTACCAGTTGCACGGGTGTACTGGGCGCAGCGAGACATTTGCACATATATTGCACGCATTGAGCAGTGGAGATGGCTTTTGGTACGGTCCAGGGTACCACGGATTTATAAACAGCCAGTATCTTCACTGCGCAGCTCTGATACTGAGGACTCGAAATGTCCAGTTGAAGGCACTGGCCTAGCAATCCACCGATTCTTACAAGCCAACCTTCTTCTCCATGTCTCAAAACGGTACCTAGCTGTCGATTTGGGAATGCTTCTGATAGTACAACTGCAGGTGTGAAGATTTCGACACAAGCTTTGCTCAGAGCACCCTCGCGTAAGACCGTGACAGCATCTTCGCCATTGAAGACCTCATCGGAGAGGGTCTCGAGAACAAACAGAACAAATTCCTTATAGACCACAGTACCTGGAAGCTCCCATAGACCCACGAGAAGCTTATCCATATCAATCCACTCTGATCCCCAGCTCCTCTTCGCGATCTCTACCCAAAGTTGTGCTGTCTTGTTTCGCAGATATGAGGGGTCCTCTTGAGCCAGATTCTCTGAGAGTTGAATGACCCATTGCCGCAGCGCACTTGCTTGCCCTTCCGAATACGCTGCCCATTTATGTTTTATCGCATGCTCCAAAAGAGACAGTGCATAGTGGCGTACGACCGGTTCTTGGGATTTATCGGATGCTAAGGTAAACCCATGATAAGGAGCTTCGTCTTCGGCTTTGATGTTTTCTAGGAAACTCGAGGCTTGTTGGCGAGACTGATTGGATGAATACGGAGCATGGACAAGTTTCAAAGCTTCGTGAATTTGGGACAATAATGCCGTATTTCCATTGTCATGAGGGCTTAATACCTCGTTGGTAGTTGTGGTGTGCCCATTAGTAGACCCGTTCATGGTGACCGATTACTGTATGGCGGAAGCTAAAAAGTCAAGAGAATCTTTGTAAATTCTTGAGATTTATTTCCCAATGATACCCGTCTTTATAGAAAAGGTCTCAAATTATGTGGTCTAACCTAAATTTTATGTGAGAGTTAGATGTTCAAAGAGCTTGATCGAATTGCTTCGCAAACGTTTAAGTGAAGTTTATGAGAATTACAATCAATAGAAAAGTGAGAGTTTTGTGTCAGCGTAATTAAAGAAGGTACAGGAAGTCGGTATTGAATGAAATCCTCGTGTGCTGCGTTCATTCGAGAATATTGTACAGTAGAGAGAGGATTTGATATCGAAGATCTAAAGTAAGTAAACCAAAGCAATATCTCTTGTACAGTGAATCCAGATGTAGCCTTCTTCCCTAGTTTTCAGCGGTTGCTGCAGCCTTGCGGACCCATCCAATCACATCAATTACATAATCATTACAAAGTCGGTAATGCATCAATATCAAATCTCCGATCCGGGGTTGAATTCTCAACGTCAATTATATTATTACCTTGCCCAGGCCCGTGGTACAAAATGACCAAAGACATTAATATAATGAGGATCTCAAATCAAACTGGAAGAAATACAACGAACACATTGAAAGTTTTATGAGTCGTACGTATCGTGGTTCTATGGTTCAGATTAGCCATACTATTTTCCTAAGCTGCCTTCTCAGATGAACAAATCTTCATTTCTTTCGCGGCTATGAGAATCTAAAAGTTTGGGCCATCAGTTCATGTGACAGTACGGTGGAAACACCAGTTTATTTGGATCCTTAGTAGTTCTGAACTCACTTCCTTTGGCGCTCTGTTCAGTCGTTCTTCTCGCAACTAGTGCCTTGCTGATAACCTTCTCCCTCTGCTGTTCTCGCAACTTTCATGGATACTTTGCCTTCCTAACTTGATTGGTGACGGTGACCTTTGTTGACAAATCCTTTATTCTGAAGTGTCTCTCGGGCAATAATTTAGCTGCATACCCTCCCAATATTGGATGATAATTATCATATCCTATATTCTCCCTTTCTTTCGCTTGAGGTCTGTTGAAATGAATCTGAAATTGAATGAAATATATATATTTTCGTAAGCTAGGTAGGGAGTCCTGCTTATCACTGATTCCATTTATCTTCGTCTGTCTGTTTGCCTGAGGAAACTGAAGCATCGGGGCTACCAAACACTCAAACACTCTCTGCGGGTAGAAAACCACGGAGCAAACATATCACTATTCAAAGATTTATAAACTGGCACACGCTCTTATTCTGATCTCAAACAGTATGTTCTCGCTTCCTGTTGAACATGTTCTTTTGCGACGATGGAGTAAGAAGTAGATTAAAGATCATCCTCTAACAACAAACCTCTGTTTCACAAGTCACTTTCGCGTACCCAGCTCTACTGCTCCTCTGTCTATTTACCATCTCTTTCTGCAGTCTGCACCTAAAATAAAGGATTATTAGAAACAGAGAGACTCGAACTCCCATCACACATGCTCACGGTAGGTCAGAACCACGAAAGCACTCAGAGGTTCCCCACATGCAGTCCGTCCACACTCAGAGGCGAGTATTCTACCATTGAACCATGTTTCCAGTCGTTAAATACTGTTTAATTAGGTGAGGAAGTTATTTGGGCACAAGGCACAAGGTCGGAGAATCAGATTAGAGAAGATTATTCGTCATAAACTGTAGGAAAGATTGAGGATTGCTGTACAATATTACCTTATTATAGAAACGGTGCTACTCATGAAACAATCAAGTTTGTAAGTGCAATATTCTTGTTTGTAAAAGAGCCGATTGAAAAGGATTCGCCCCGAGTTGTTGAGACCACATCTGAGAATTCAATTCTCTGTTACTCCTATCACTACTCCAAAATACAAATTAGAACCGCTGCCTCCACCTATTTTCTGTTCCCACTTCTCGTCCTTCAACTAGAATTATTCATCCTCCATAATTCTAGCACATCAGCTTAAGTCTCATATCTTATTTCCATCAAACCCAGAGGCAAGTATTCCTCCCACGCATTCATTTCTCGCCTAATCCAAAATATTACTAGACTCATCAGTCTCAAAAATCATAATACATGATACATAATGCTAAAGCAGCTGCGCTAAGCGCACTGAGACTCTACAGTGCATCGCCCTTACCTCTATTCTACCTCCTATACCTGCATCTTCGAAACCTCACACATCACATCTCGCATCTCGAATCTCAACCCACCGCAACCAAACCCGAATCTATCCATACTAAGACCTATATGGTGTAAAAACTTACACAAGATCACAACTCTCTTCTCTTCCTATTTCTCTTCCTCCTTTTCTTCATTTCTCTTTTTATAGGAACAATATTGTTTCACACAAACTATCTATATAACTAGATAATTCATATCCCGTATATGGAAGCAAGCGCGAAGAAGACTGATTTTGTTCATAAAGACGATTTTGAAAAAGCTCGAGTAGTCCTACCAAATACTAGGAAGAGAGAGAGAGAGAGAACCAAACAACCCAAGATCAAGTATCCCTTCACTGCCCATCAACTCATGAAGCACTACTAACCTAACAGAAACAAAAGAAAGAAGAACAAAAACGACCTATCTTACAAACAGAGAAACAATATACCAAGAAAATCATCACAGATAACAACGATTACCATATGCATTCCATCCCATCCCATCCCATCTAATCTAATCTAAACACAGCAATTCGATACATCATACAAACACTTAGATAGTAGATACTACCCACAAACAACCTCTCTATTCCCATATTCACAATGAAACACCAAAAACATGTTGATGTAAATGGGGAGACTCAAGAGTGCGATGGGTGGTGGGAATGAGGATGTGGCTTTTGTGAAATTGAAGCGGAGTACGACAAAGGAGAGGAAAATGTAATGACAGGCAAATAGGGGTAGGAGGGAAAGGTGTAAGGGAAGACTGATGTTGGAAATAAAGTACAATAGATTTTGGAGATGGTAGATTTGTAGTGCACTGAACTGTGTATTGTTGAATTTTGAGCATGCGATTTTGTATGTATGGTATGATTTGATTGGTTGTCAGTGAGACTTGCACTTTTTCCTCTGATTTCTTAATTCTGTGTCTGAAGTATTATCGATTCATATTAGTTATTGTGCAATTCTGAGTATCCATTGTTAATGCATCTCAAGAAGATTTCAGTATCCCTAAAACATCACATTCTCATCGTGCCTCGAAAATTCTATTCCTTAATCACATCCCCATTCTTCTCCATTTCACCTACAAGGAATCTCCACTCATCACTACTTACTTTGCTTACACTCAATCGTGCCAGCTTCAACATTTGCATATTATTCAATGCGTTTCCCTTTTCTTCAAACCAAGCTTTAATTTCCTTGAGCGTGATAGGTGTTTTTAGTTTCTGGCGAAATTCGACGTGTACGACACTCCACTTGGGATCATCCGGTGACGATTTAGGATCGTAGTACGGAGCCTTAGGATCATGCGCTGAGACTATTCTTCTCATTAGTATGGTAATTGAAGGTATATGATTGATGAGGATTCATTACGATCCGGAGAATGTTCTTCAACGATCTCCATGATTCCAACAATTGCAGGAACTTTGCATGATGAATGATAAAAGAAGGCCAAATCTCCCTTTTTCATCGCACGAAGATTGTTGCGTGCTAATTTATGTGTAAGTGATGGTATCGTAAAACAGAGGGGCAAGGTGACACACCTGGATATGCTCGTATTCCTTTCCAAACGTTAGTATTAATGTTGACATGTAATACATGTGTAAGGAATAACATACCATCCCAAGGCTCTGGTTCAGTTTTAGCTGCCAAATCATCGATGGAGAATTTAATATCATGACCTTTTTCGATACGTGATTCAGGTTCGGCTTTCATTAGCCAATATTGACGAGTTGATGAGGATTTGGCCGAGAGGATTTCTGTTGTAGTAGATTTGGTGGATTTGGTAGAACTCTAATAATGGACCAGAAATTAAACTCGAAAGCGCAAAGATAGAAAATGAAATTGTCAAAATGATTGAAGAGTATGAGATAAAATCACTACCAGTAGGTATGTAGCATGATTTGTGAAGAGCACGTGCTTGTCCAAAAGGGTCCTTGTGAATCAGAATATAAAGCAGTAAATGCTAACTCGGGATATAATTCATGGGAGACTAGAGCATAAGAACATTGATAACAAGGAAAACAATCAACCTACAACAGTCGTTTTTGGTGCAGTAACTCCTCCATCAACATTTGCTTCTTGTTGAGAATCTCTATTTGCCGTCTCCGTTTTGATCTCCTTCTTGGTATTCTGTGCCGAGGAATACGAAGTTGATGAAGTTGTATTCTTTTCTTTCAAGCTCGCAGTATTGTTTACTTTTTGTCGACTTGATCTCCGAGGCTCTATATGAACTTCATCTCCAACATCTTTGGCCTTTCTCTTGACCATCTTGTACCGTATCTACCGTATGTACCGCGTGTTGTGTTTTATTAATGGTAAACACAATGGATATTTGAAACCTTGTATGTTTATGCAATGGAAAAGAGATAGGTGAATTCCCCTAGCACGAAGTAGATAAGCTAATGATGGTTTGATGGGTCCATGGAAATAATATCACCAAAGCTTTCCAAGCTCCAACGCCTCCAATGCCTCCATATATTTATTTTGATGGAGCAACAAGGATTAAAACCTTCTCGGCGTTTCCCAAACTTCCTTAAGCGAAAGAAATGACGACCAAGAAGCCTCGTGCCTGCCGAAACTAAAATCAAAAGCTAATCCATTTTTATGTTGTGCCCCAGTTACACCACCTGCACTCCTCCCTTTTAATACCACCTGCGAAAGTGTCTAAAATATAGGTCAACACTAGGTGAGCAATGTACGAGGTATCTAGCAGACACTTATTCAGATCTCCTGTGAAGGGGAATGTTTAGACATATGAGAATGAGAGTTAACTGAATAATATTCACCTCGTAGATTATGCAAGAGACATCTTTTCCTTTTCCATGGTGTCACTAGACGTTTGTTCTCGTCCCTCACCTGGACATTCATTAATGTGTGATTTAACGGACATTTATCCATCCATCCATACTGTTCTGGGCTTTTAAAGGCATTAGACCCTGTCTTATGCATGCTTGATAGACCATTGAGGCACTCTTCTCAAATAGACCCCAGCAACATGAACGCCATTCTGTCAAAAGCATCTATCCTTCCACAAAGCTTTCGTGCTTCCACCCAGCAACCTTCAACGAGATATTGAGTCTCCAAAATCACCAACGACGGGTTCGGATGGCCGGCTTCGAGGCAGACATCTAATGAATATGAAGAAAACACGAGGGAAGTTGCAATTTCACGGCACATTACTTGCAGGATAAATAGTCTCAGATGCAGGAATCATGATACGCAGCAATCACCACAAAACATCATACACGATAGCCTCCCTTCATTTTCCCACGCGTAGCATTTGATTGGTCTCATTAATTTCCAATGAATCAATGTGGTGGTGAGGAAGAATAGCGTACCAAGGAGCTATCAGTCAAGGCAATGATAGCAATGCTCTATAAGCTTACTAGGTATTTAGATGACATTTAAAAAGAACCTAGATGCATTGATCGACCTGAGTACAGTACAGATTGTCCCGTCTAATCTTTTGGTTCCCTTTCACCTATTCTCATTAGTGGATGTCAATCGAAGCCACAAGCATACCACAAACATATCATAAAGAAACACACAGGAATTGTCAAACGAATGCCCCGGGAAATAACGAGTCAACGAAACGAGATTCCAAGACGATATTGGCACCTCACGGAAAGAAAGATCTAAGTATCAGATGCCCACCTGTCTCCTGGTAAAATTACCAATCCCATTTCTCACCCATCTCATCCCAAACCCAAGAGGCATAATCTGTAAGGGTATCATTGGTCTGTGTGTTTGTGTGTGTGATATGGTTAGTATCTCCATGATGTGAGGAGAATTGAAATGGGTCTAGAGAAGTAAAAGAAGGAACGAGTACCATACCAGCATATCCTTCAGAGACGGCATTTGTAACCTATCAATCTGATCTTTTCTGGATCGTCAGGTAAGGCAATGAATTATACGCCAAAAGCTTATATCCCGGTGGGAAACGTGATTTCCAAATTGGCCCTGCACCTTTGAACAATTAAATAAAACTCCATTCCCCCTCTTTTTCTTCTGTTCCTGTTTTTTTCTCTCATCCTACTATTCTCTCCTTGGTATCATGATTCTGTCTTCTATTCCATCAGTCTTTTCTTCTTCGTTTTCTTTCTTGTTCCGCGCCATTATTGGGAATTGATTCAATTTCTCCGTCTTGTATCCTCCTTCCTCACACTATCATAAACCTTGTCGAGAAAAAACACAGGGCGGCCTTCCATTTTCCAAATACAACAAACAGGACGAAATGGATTCACAGCATCAAATGACTATGGCATCGTCTCTATATCATGGAACATTGTCCTTTATTTCTGCAACCTTCCCTTTCACTTTCTTCATCTTGGACATGTCAAGTTTTTTTTCCCTTTATGTCACAGATTTTCTTATGGTCCAAATCCGTCAGGTTAAAGCGACCAGGAATTTCACACCGCATCAGGAACAGGCACGACCGGGAACCAATCATACTAGTCCAACACACATACTATCGCTCATTTTTACTATACTTACTCACCCAATTTCATTGACCAAGGAATCTTTAGGACATTGCGAAGATATTAACAGTAATAAGGAAAACCCGAGTCTTGATGAAGGATTCATTCTATGCGATTTTTGATGTGATTCGAATTCCCATTCGAATTCATTGAAGACGATAAAATGATCTTTTCGGATGGAAGGGGTTACAAATTGAGTTGAGTCAAGGATATCACGATATGATTGGCTTAACCATCGTTAGCCGTTTTCTCTTTTTCTCTCTAAAAAAAATGGAGCGACGACCGAGGAAAGGAAAAGGAAAACGAAACGATCTCATACAGCCAGCATCTATCCATCTATCAGCAAAAAAACAGGTGAACGCCGCGACATTCATCCGACAATCTCCTTAACACTCAACAACGCAACCCTCCCCCGGAAGACTTCTCATTAGTTCAAATTCGCATTTTAGAGTATCATTTCACGCTGCCTAGGCATTTCACTTATCTTTGGGTTGCTTATTCGGTCCACCACTTGATTCAACGAACGTGTTACAGCAAGCATTCTCACATTGATTCTTATTTTATTTATTTTTACGATACAGCATAGCATTATTTCGCCAACCATCGGATCCAAACCCCCATTCTCTGTCCGAACCTATTCTAATTCGACCTTATTATTGGAGCCGTGTATTGAGACGGGTATGTTCCGATCTTTTCAACTATCTCTTGATCTTCCCATGTATCTTATCCGTACACATCCGGAGAAGTTGTACGGGTTGCCTTCTTACCGCTTGGTCGCTGCCTTACCTTTTCTCTCCTTACCTTATCTTACCTTACCGGACTCTACCGCGCATTCGCAACTCTCCCTCAAATTTACCACCGCCGTACCTCATTATTATCATTCCTCAAGCTACCTACCTACCTCCACCTCCACCTCCACCTCCAACCCAACAAAAACGTGACCGTGAATCCTTACACTCACAATTGGTCACGCTTTCCCTCTCCTCCAATGTTATATTGCAATCCTTTACGTTGGAACACAATACCCATCTATTCATCGCATCAATCATCAATCAAATTAACACAAATACATATATTATTCTCAGACTCACATTCATCTCCCACCCACGCACCCACCAATTCGTCGACCATTCTGGATCTTCCAATTACCATGGATAATTGACTGACACAACATATTTTGTTCTAGAAAAATCCCAAATTCTTCTTTTTGTATTATAATTCTATTATAATCACTCACCCATTTTCATTATCTCGTCATTGGTTGGTAAGTTAATCATTTCTGAAATTCTAGAAAGTCTTTTTTCGCCTTTGATCTTCATTCAATTGACGCTCCGTTCCGTGGTTCTGATTGAACGAACGAAGCGTGGTTATTTTGGGGCGTTACTTTTTTAGTCACTAATCCTAATCTTACGTTAGCGTACAATTCAGGTGAAGAGAGACTCCGAGACTGTCAAAACAATTTGGGACCTCAACAGCGCGCGTCGATAGGTAAGACCTTGCCTTTCATTCCTCTCATTCCTATCCTTATGTTAGAAAGATGTCACGAGACATATTGTAGTTATTGATGCGCATGTTGATTGAATATCGTGGATGCTGTTGATAATAAAGTTGATGAAGCAATTGTTTCCCCCTTTGCTTCATTTGACCCATCAGCGCGTCGCGACTTCATCGCGCTAGATTCTATCTTTTATTTCTGCATCTGCACCTTCATCTTACTGGAGTTCAATGGATTCAAACTTAACTTTGATGATAACTAACACTTGTGCGCATCTGCAGATGGGTTGCCACTACTATCATCCACAGACATGAGCTCCTGGATGAACGACGCTGCCGTCCAAAATCACAATGGCGCAGGCTTCAATCATATGAACGAATCGAATACCGGAGGAAACATGATGGACCCATCGGGCTTTATGCCCACTTCATCATCCTTTGATCCCAATCAATTCCAGAATCAACAATTACAACAAAGAATGCAAAATGGTGGAATGCGCAATGGGTCGCCAGCCTTCAATAACCCCGTGTATCAAACCAATCCTGTCATTCCATCAAAGAGACCAAGGCCAAGGGAAGACAGTCTAGGTACATCACCCAGGCAAGCTTCTGGCATGCTACCTGGATCTCGCTCACAAACTCCACAACAAGCTGCCTATCCCAATTTTTCACCTAATAATGTCCCCCCACAACATGCGCCTCAACAGACACCATATTCGCATCTACAAAATGGATCGAGTAATGCTAGTCCGTCTCCAATCATGGCTAATCAACTGCGTCCTGGCGGTGTACCACAACGAGTTTCTACAGCTTCTCCTCATCCATTCTCGCCTTCACAATCTGATCATGGAAGCCGAGTCGAGACACCACAAAATAGTACATTTGCCCAGAACACTCCCTATGCACCTGCCTATGGTCAAAATTTTACTCCCCCACCAGGACGAACTTCGGCACCACCGCAAAGTGCGATGTCGACGCCACAAATGCCACCTACGATGTCACAACCTCAAATGTATAATCAACAGGCCCAACCACCGAATCACCAACCGCAGCAAAAGAACGCTTCTTTGGACCAAACCAGGCAAATGTATCAGATGCGACTGCAACAATCACTTCAGCAACAGCAACAACAACAACAACAACAACAACAACAACAACAACAGCAGCAACAGCAACAGCATCAACAACAGGGCAATTTACATGCCGCGCAACGACAGAACATGTCGCCTGGTGTAAATCCATTGTCTCAAGGGCAGATGATGCAAGCACCAAACGGCCAATTTGCTGGCATGCGACCTCAGCAAGCTTCATTGGCCCAAAATCAAAATCAGAACAATTTTCTCAAAAGCTTGGCTGCTTTCATGCAGTCAAAGGGTCTGCCTTTGGAGACGAATCCATTTGTAGGTGATAGACATATCAATATTTATGTTTTGTATGCGGCAGTTACCAAATATGGAGGATACAGAAATGTGACGGCCCAAAATGCATGGGGACAAATTGCGCAAGCTATTCAAATACATCCCTTGAGATATCAAAACGTGCCTCCGCAACTCAAGGCTCTATATGAGAGAAATCTTCTTGCGTTCGAGGAGGCTTTTCAATCCAATATGCAAAGGCAGAGAGCAGCCGCAATGAAGCAGGGTGGTGCTATCGGCGTACCCCAAATGTCGCCCACTAAACAAATGCCTCCATCAAACTCTATGCAAGCATCACATTACATGCAACAGCAGATCGCCCAACAGCAGCATCTCCAGCAGCAACAAACTACCCCCATGAAGCAAATGACACCTCTACATCATCCTCAACAACCTGTCATGAATGGTTTCTCAACTCCACAAGCACCGCCAGTACATCCTTTGGGATCTCAAAGCCATGCTCGGAACAGTCTCTCGAGGAGTGTCGAGGCCACTCCGCCGCAAAATACCGGCATTTATCCAATACCGTCTCCAGCCTCATTACCCAAGTCTGGCAGTATATCATTGGCATCACCTCATCCTAACATGGTGCCGGCATTAGATGAGCAAAATCAAGATGAGCTAATGAACGTAGTCCTTCCTGAGAAGTTGAAGGTCTTCTCGCGGATTCCTGATGAAAATGGGGGCTCCCTCGACTTGGAGGTTCTCCGTGGCGAGGGGACTTCCTTGTTGAAATTAAAGCCAGATTTTCCACCATTGACTGAAATTGGTACCATCGATGTCCATGCCTTAACCATGAGCCTTCAATCCGGACTACACGCCGAAGTACGTTTGGCTTTAGATACTCTGGCCTTGGTGTCCTCCGAACAACGGCTACCGATAGAGTTGATGAAATGCGATGATTTGGTTGAGACACTGGTTGATTGCGCCGAGGATCAGGTTGAATTGTTAGCCGAAAACGCGGCAGAGGTATCAGATATGATGCTCATAAATTCATACGAAGATGTCGTCCGCGGCTGCCAGGCTGAGAAGCATGCCGTACAAGATATTCCGCCTTTTGGATCGGAGGAATATCAGGTCGACCGAGCAGTCGAGAAGCTGATTTGCATAACCAGTATTTTGCGCAACCTTTCATTTCACGAACCAAATCTTTTGTTCCTTGCAGAAGAGTTTGTTATCAAATTCTTCTGCGTGGTAATACGGTATCTGGGAACTCGAAATATGCTACTTAGGACCAACCAGAACACGCTTGAATTCATGAAAGACGGTGTTATTTTACTATCAAACATTGCACATGAGATCAAGTTACCTGGTCGCGAACAAGCGTTATGTTTATTGCATTTCCTATTGGCATTCGCGCCCTGCCCGCCCCCAAATGTAATGGGATCCGATAAAATCACATTTTCGCAGTACGACCCAACTATTCATTATTATATCTATCCTGCTGTTGATAGTCTTGCCAAGCTTCTTGCGCGGGATGAACCAAACCGAACTCATTACAAAACGATCTTTGCCTCCGACGTGTCTTCGTCTCCACCTTTTGACCTTCTGACAAGAACATTTGCTCTGTCTATCTCGGTGATACCTGATCAGCAAAAAGATCCTAAACGGGGAACCTTCCTACCTCTGGTTGAAGCACGAAAGCCAATGTTGATGCAAGGCATACTTGCTGCGGAACTTCTGGCAAACCTTGCACCAGGATACGACAGTGGCATTGCAAAAGCTTGGTTAACTTCAGAGGATGGGTTTGCAAAGAATCTTTCACACCTTGTATTAACATTATGTCACGAAGCGCCACAAGGTCCATCGCATGGCAGAGTTTCTGCCGCACCTAAAACGGCAGAGGAAGAGGCAATGTTACAAATAATTCTTGGTGGAATTGGAATATTACGCCGACTGGCTGAAAAGTCACGAGACCCCGAAGACCCGACCTCTATGATACCCATACCTGGAATGCCAACGACGGAACGAATAATAAAACTACATGAACGCAAACAGCCTAGGCTGAAAGAGGCATTGCGACAATTGTGCACTTTTACAAGTCTTGGCTAATGAGTGGTTGGGTTTTCATCAATGTATTAAGGTTCATAGACGCATGAATTAATAGCGTATGGAGTCGGCGTTCGTAATTTGATATATCTGCCTGCTAAGCGTGGCATTTGCTTGATGTCTGTGATTCTTGTGGTATGGCTGGTATTGGTTTGTGTACAAGGGGTGATGGGTTCTCTTGAAAAGTAAGAGTGTATTGTACATATAGGCATTGAGTGTTTAGAATGATAACCAAAGCATAATATTGCTTTTGAAACAACTGAACCCGTATAAAAAATTTCTCGTCCATGATTGTGTTGCAAGTATCCCATTAAAAATGTCGCTCCTTGAGGAACTCCTTTACTTCCAGTTTGCACGACCCCTGTGATATGGTCAGTAAACTCATGGATCAAACCTGCATAAGGACTACACAACATACCTTGATTATGATATGCTTCGCCAATTGATTGACCCGAATCTCCTTGTCGGAGAATGCCTCTTCTAATTGCTCCTTCAACTTCATGATATCTCCCTCAATCTTTCTGATTTTTGTCTGCTTCAAGTTACCACCTGCTTTGGAAAGTGCATATACTGGCAGTTGTTTGGACGGCGTTCGAGATACATAGTACGGCTGATTCGGGGCTGTCGCAGGTGCAGTTTGTGAGGGGATTGGCGTCGAGGTTGAAATTGCTTCCTTTGTTGGGTCCGAGGAAGCGGGGTTCGTAGATAGTCTAGCAACACCAAGGAAATATCGTAAAGTGGTTGGTCTAGGCAAAGCCATAGGCCTGAGGAATTGTAGTGACATCGTAAGTGATATGAGGTTGTGGAAAGATTAATTTTTGATCAATTATCTTCCCCAAACTTCATTCGAACGTCGCGAACTTCTCAACCACCAAAAAGACGCTAATAATTTAAGCTACCCTCCACTAGCGCGAAATTTTGTAGGCGGGCGCACACAATCATCAAATTCCGACATCTTTATCCTGCGAAAGTGTGAACCCCACCACTATTTCCAACTCACGACAGCACAATAGGATCGCAATCATGGCGGACAATACTCCCACGACTGCGAATGACCTTCTTAATGATGCTGCTCAAGCAGCGGCCAAGAGCCCCGAGGAAATCGCCAAAGAGAACGACCTCCTTCCTAAACTCATCACCCACCTCGACAGACATTTAATCTTCCCTTTGCTACAATTTGTCGGTGACCAAGATGACGAGCCATCGCCAGAAATCACCAAGGCAAAATTCGAATTGTTGAAGAAGACCAACATGACCGATTATGTTGCCAGTCTCCACTGCGAAATCGAGGGTGTGGATGAAGCACCAAAGGAATACGCGAATAAGAGACAAGAAATTCTTCAAAGATTAGAAATTTTCGGACAAGAGAGCGAGAAAATCACAGATTTGTTAGGCAGAGAGGACGTTGTTACTGGACTGAGAAGCGACAAGGTTGCTAACTTGGAGTTCTTGAAGAAGGAGCATGATGTACGTATGGGAATTTTGTGTCACTGAAAATTCAACCTAACAAAGAGACAGGTCACAATTGAGATGGTTAACGTCTTATACGACTTCGGTAACTTCCAATACAGCTGTGGAAACTACGGAGCGGCTGCCGAACTCCTTTACCAATTCAGAGTCCTCTCTACCGACGATGACAAAGTCACTGCAGCAACATGGGGTAAATTGGCTTGTGAGATCTTGACTGGAAACTGGGAATCCGCTATGGAGGAGGTCCAAAAAGTGAAGGAATCGATCGAGACCAAGCTCTTCAACAAACCTCTCGCACAACTTCACCACCGCACCTGGCTCATCCACTGGGCTTTGTTCCCATTCTTCAACCACGAACCCGCTCGTGATGTTATCTGCGACCTCTTCTTCTCCCCAGCATTCATTAACACCATTCAAACCGCCTGCCCATGGATTCTTAGATACTTGACTGCTGCAGTCATTACCAACCGTAACCGTACACGCAACACTGGTCAATATCAGAAACAACTCAAAGATATTATTCGTATTGTTAAGCAAGAGAACTACGAATACTCAGACCCCGTCACCGATTTCATCAAGGCTTTATACCTTGACTTCGATTTTGAGGAAGCACAAAAGAAACTCTCCGAAGCTGAGGAAGTTCTCCGTTCCGATTTCTTCCTCGTCGCCGCCTCTGAAAACTTTGTTGAGGCCGCCAGACATTTGATCAGTGAGAGCTACTGCAAGATTCATCAAAGAATTGATATCAAGGATTTGAGTGCAAGATTGGGCTTGAACCAAGATGATGGTGAAAAATGGATTGTCAACCTCATCAGAGATACCAGAGTTGACGCCAAGATTGATTACAAGGAAGGAACAGTTGTCATGAACCACCCACCAAGCAGTGTATACCAACAAGTAATTGAGAGGACGAAGGGAGGATTCTTCAGAACACAAGTTCTGAGCGCAGCTGTTGCGAAGTAAGGCGAATCTACACTTTAGGGGGTTGGAGAGAGGTTAGGAGCGTGGAAGCTGTTATCTAGGTCTCTCGTAATGGGTAGATGGGATCACGCATACTGAACGATATGTATATGGTCGGTCTGTTACGATCTGGTCTGGTCTGCATGGCTTTAAGCTGGCTGGCGTTTGGATTGGGGAAAACAAATAGCAAAAATGGAATGAGAACGAAATGATATAGTAGATTTCAGTCTTAGCTGTGCCCCTGTTGACAATCGAAATGTATGGGAATGAACGCAAGACATGCTAGAAATAGAAGCATATTGAGGGGCTGGACAGATGTATTGAAAGCAAATGATTATATAAATCGTTTCTTGCACGAATATATCAAATCTCTGGATCTATGTTTTGCTTAACGAACTGTCTGCTGAAATGAACCGTCTCCTTTACATATTCTGTCTCTTTTGCACATTGCATTTGCATACTTTCCTACTCCAACCAATTGGATATGTCCAACGAGTACAACCTTAAGTTATCGAGGTAGTCCTCATCTTCTGTTTCATTCTTGGCATTAGTAGTAGACGTGTACTATTTTTTTGGTTAAGACAGTCTGCTTTTGAACTCAGGGGGATGGAATGGCGGATAGATACTAGATGAGCCATACCCCTCTCTCTGTTGTTTGATCGAGTAGGTGGCAGTTTGTGTGGTTGGTGGTACTGGCAGAATACACAATGCATGCTAGATTCTAGATGATGAACCAAAATAGAACAAAGCAGTGCAAAGGATTTCGATTTTTTGAATTATTGTAGGGTTTCTTGTTCTGCTGAACAAAGCCACCTGTGTTTTTCATTCATTTCAATCCCATTGTAAAGCTCTCTTTATCTCCTAACAAAAGAGAATTGAGTGCAAGGAAATTGAGCGAACAATGGCCTTCTTCCTTTAAAATGCTTCTTGTGCCGCGACATGTTTTCTTCCTTTCCTTTTTATGAAAACCTTCAAAGTTACACATCTCATCTTCTACTTGCATTTACGTTTACATTCACAGTCGATTATATATTATCTACGCTAAACGATTCTCAAAATACACACATCAACATCTATCAACCCCACAATATTCACCTCACACAGCGAATCAACCATCACCTACCAACCATGCCCAAACAAACTCGCACCCCGGGACAACCCCTCCTAGAACGTCCCCACCTCGACTCCCACGTCCAACAAACCCTCAACCGCACCCTCTTCCGCGAACCCACGCTCGCGCGTCGCCAAAACCAAGCACAGGTGCAGCGCAGAGGAACCCTCGTACAGCGAGCCGTTCAAAGACCCCATGTGAGTATCTTCACCGAATCCGATTCTGACATCTTTCCTTTAGTGCACACTCCTTCCTTTACCGTTTCGCCCGAAGACGCATTTGCTGTTCGGGGGAGCGGGGTAGGTTCGCCCGTTTCGCCTTTGACTCCTGAGGTACTATCGCAAGAGCACTCTCCCAAACCATCCCAGGAACAGGTAAACTACACACTCGGAATCGAACCCGCGACTCCCGCCTCGGAACTCGAGCCCTGTGGGGCAGCGATGTATACTCATTGGTATTTTGATCAGCAGGCGGCGAATCACTATGACGAGAAACATGTGAGTATGAGTGATAGGTCTGCGTTTACGATGATGAGTGGAGGGTTGGAGAGGAGGAGGAGGGGAGTGCGGGTGAGTGTTAAGAGGGTGAGGACGTGGATTCGGGGGAAAGCGGAGCAGAAGGAGAGAGAAAGGGTAGAGAGGAGACAGGAGAAGAAAGGGGAGTTGGTGGTCAAAGAGAGGGTTTTGGTGTGTGAGGAGAAAGAGCGATGTGAGAAGGGGAAGGGGGTAAAAGGGAAGTTAGGCGCGGTGTTGAAGAGGGGGACGGATAGGTTGAGGAAACTGGTGCCCGGGGGGAAGAAGGCGATGGGAGAGAAGAAAGAGGAGTGGAGAGTCTTGGATAGGATTACGGGATTTCAGACGATTGAGTAGGGAGGGTGAGTACTCTAGGTAGGTGTTTGATTTCTATATCTTTATTTCTTTCCTTCTCTCATTTTTGGATTGCCATATTCTTTGCGAGATGTTAATTTATTTGTTTTAAAGGTAAGTCATATATAATACACTATACGCATAATTGAGAAATTGTTTTTACTCCTTATCTATAACCCACCGATGTGCTGTGATGAGTGAGATGTTACTTTGATTTTTGTCAGGAGTAAGTATTAGTGAAACCGTTTAGTACACCCAGAACAAACCCTATCAATAAAAACTATATGTTCCAATGGAATGATATCAAAACGAAGCAAGTGTTAACAAAGGGAGACTAACACAGCTAAAAGACATAGGCGGCCTGAACAGTAACCTACGATAAACAGGCCATGAATTCTCTCAAAAACAATCCTCTTTCTCCATAATCACACACGTCGATCATTCATCACCAAACCATGCCGAATTAGAAGTCGAAATATAAACCCAACATCGCGAATACGCTATTCGTCGCCCTCCCAGAAATGTCGACGACGAACGTCCCCCATCAAAAAAAAAAAGCAAAAAAGAAACATACAACAGTGGGGATTCGCTGGTGGTCACCCACCCAACTACTAATCCACCGATCTGAAGCTTGTGTATGGCAGAGCGGACGGGATGCCCAATTCTCTTCAGTCTATGGTCGTATGTGTCAAAACTTTGCTAGACTAAATACATATTGCAATTGTATCGATTCATCCTGATCTCATAAGCGAGGGGTTACACAAACGAGATTAGGTTTGGCTTGATCTTACCCTCACTCAGTCTGGGTATTGCACTTGGAGTGTCTCCCTTGATTTTTGGACTTGATTGTAAGGTATGTAGAACATATTGTTATTCAGATAGAACTAACTGTTGCTTTGTGAGGGGATAGTAAATAGTGAATATCGTGAATGTGAAAAAAAAAGAGAAACGCAGGTGCACTAGCCAATGCTCACTTCCGTCGCAAAGGATATGGATTCCTCATCAACATCCTTTGACCCTCATCCATATGATGATATGCTTCCGCGAACTCAAAAAGTCTACCGGCTAAACAATCTTCGTGAAGTTCTACCGGATCTGCCTCTCTCAGAAGTCTCTTGTAAATTTCCAACAGAATGCAGGTTTCCTCAAAACTCTGGCAATTCATGAAGCCATAGTCCACTTGCAGTGTTTCATTTGGTGGAAACTTAGTGGGATTGTCAATGGCTACGAACTGTCTCAAAGACCAGACTGAAGCTTGTGGTCTGGAGGGGGATAGTGATAGAAACCATTGTAAGAATTTGAATCCTAATCGCATTCTTTGCAGTCCTTTGGAGTCTATGAGTTCAATTAATTTACCAGACTCGTACGCATGCCAGAATTCCGTAAAGGTGGCTATTTGCGGGGTGGGACCATAGAAAATGCGTTGATTGCTTCCTCGAAGGTCATCGAGAAGTTTGTTCCCGAGTAGTAATCGTCTGTAGAGCAACTCAAGCGCGCTTTCTTCTCGCTCGTCATTGCAAGTGCAAAAGCCAAAGCTGTACCAGTTCTTTTGGATTGGGTTTGGATGCGCCGCATGGAGGACCGTCGCTAGAAGTTCATAGCATTGCATCTTGGCCTCGGGTTCTAACTGACTTGGCTGTTTATGCTGATCTTCTTTATCCAAATAAGCCTTGGCTTGGTCGTAAAATGTGGCTAGTATATTCTGGGTTGAATGCTTTTGAGTGAATGGTTTTTCCAAAATATGTAGATTGCCCAGAAACCACGGAAAATACCCCCCTCGATTGGCTTCGTTGATTTGATAGAAGTATTTTTTGATGTTAGCAATAAGGGTGCCCTCAACTTGCCATCTGTGAATATCTTCGACTGGGACATCGCCGAGCCACAACCCCTTATAAAGCCCCAAAAGCTTATAATGGTCCGTAAATGATACCAGACGATTAAAGCCGAAATCTTCAAGAACATCTTCCTCGTCAGGAACAGTATCCCTCACAATGTTCCTGTAAAGATAATCAGCCGAGGTGAGCGGTCGCTTGGCACACGTGAACAAATGCGACCCGTTTGTCTTAGTCTCGCATAATTCACTGCAATAGAAATCTCTATTGCAAATACTGCACGGTCGCGATGTTACTTTGGAGCAGGTATTGCATTCACCAAGCTGGTTCGACTTAGTCAATGCGGCCCCTGACGGGTTTCCCCAGGTAGGCTTCGGGAAAGCGGTTTTACTCTTTCCTACTGATAATCTGCCCGGGTCTCAGCTCTTGCATAACAATTTCAACAGCTGAAAGATTATATTATATCTCGATCATTCTTACCTATTGAATAGCCCAGCAACTCTTTCTTGCTTCATTTTCTTTTTTCTTTGCTCTATTGCCAGGTGCTTACCCGACTTTTCAGCCTTGCGGTCACTGAATATGCTGCTTCCACCAACAACAGACGTCCTTTCAAGTCGTACTGCTTTGTCGAAGTCCGACTTCAATTCTTTCTCAATGTCCTTTTGCACTTGTAACACTGATTTGGCTACTTTATCCGCCTGGCTAGAAGCTAGTCCTGTTGTCTCGGTTACCGTCCAGGGCTTGAATAGTCGTCCATGGCAACCCCTTGTACCAATTCTGCCATATGCTTTGAGGAAATGCGAGCACATGAAATAGCTATACTTGCTGCAGCCAAAATAGGCAAATGATTTATCCATTAATCGCTCATTTCTACTCAAAAAAAATATCATTTGAATCTCAGCATGTATATTAAGTGCCTGTTTTTGCAACTTTCCGTACTCCCGCTCCGCTTTGGCAACAGTCCAGCTTGGCCCGATCACAGTTTCGACTGTTAAGGTGTCGGTCGGAAGATCAAGGAGATTCAAGGTCTCTCTTAGCTTGAGTGCATCCTTGAGCGCCTTTTGCGGTATCCTATCACCGGTCACTGGGATTATGGTAACATTGTTGAAACTTGGGAGCTTAAGAGAAACCTCTTTGAATTTCTCAAGTATGACCCGAAGCCTACCGAGAAAACAAATATCAATCCATAGTTTTCTAGTTTGTTTCGTAGACTTCGGAGATGTTTGGAGAAGCTCCTCGACCACTTTGCTCCTTTGTAAATCATATGCTTTTGTGACAAGCGTCCCATGTCTGCCGATCAACCTCTGGCCCGCCTTTAGCCCAGAAAAGGTCTGATTTTGAAGAACCAAGATTTTGTTACGTGCTGTAGTGAACTTGTCGTTGTTGGCATTGTTAAATACGGTGTTACAACTCTTGAGGCTCAACCTCAGGTTCGGAATATAAGTGTCTTCGAGACGGTCTTCATAATACGCCAACATTTCATTCCAAAGCACCTCCTCGACTATTCGATTCGGCAAGTCTCTTCACAAAAGTTAGATTTGGCTCAAGTTGTATTTGGTGAGCAGGTACCTTTTTCGTGGAACAAGCCACTTAGCCGCTTGCTTAACTTTTCAAAGAAAACATTGTCCACAATCTGAAAGCCTCCATTTCGAGTGATCCAAAGCGTCACATTCTCCAGGCCCTCCATCATACTGGAACACGCAACATGTTTGCCGCCTTTCTTATTAGCAGTCAATTCTGCCAGACAACCCAGGAACTTTGTTTTCAATTGACGATATCCTGAATCTGAAATTTGGTCACAGTAGCTTGTGTCTATACTAATCACATCGCTGTCAGTAGTAGACTCGTTCTTGTCAGACAGCTCCATGCCCAAGGAGACTGGCTCAACTTGTCCATTATTTCGAAGTGCAAGAAGATTTGCGTAGACAGTGAATTCTCGTTTATTAAGTCCTGAGAGATTACAGTCAAAGTCTTGAGTCATGATGCTAGATTTATCGATGATTTTTGTGAATCATCTAACGGAAGGTGCGAAACATAAGTCATGTCATGCATGCATGCGGAGGCGACCATTATCGTACCGTATCACAAAACATACGCCACAATATGTGGCTTCGCCCTGTAAACTCACGATTGCAAAGTCCAACATAACGGTCAGTCTATTAAACCTTGAAGTTGAATGCATATCAGCGTTGGTAGGATAGAAGTAGGAATCAATCTAGTTCGTTCTTGATCTAGGCTCGTAGCTAGTGGGTTCGCGCTTACTAGAGAGGATATGGAATTACACGATCTATCGAAAGGAAATTGTTGACGAAAAGGGTAGGTTTATATATGGGATATAATATTTAAACAAATCTGCCATCTGGGGGAGCATCTCGCTTGCGATCTCGCTATGAGTTTATTAAAACAATTGCCTAGCATGAAATTCTTCAAACTTTTAGAAATTCGTTCTTTCATTAAACTCAATAATAGCATAATGCCAAAAGCAAGAGACTATCGCTGTTGGGGTCGTGTTCCAGACCATCGAATACACTGATCTGGTTTGAGGTAGCCACTTCCTCTTCGAGAAAATATGGATCAATACAAGCTAGATTACTAGTCACGAGGCAAAAAACGGGTAAAATTTGTACTCAAAACGTATGCTATACATTTATATAAACTAAACTTAAACATTAAAACCACAACTTGTATTTATATACGTGAATATTAATATATCGCATCAATCCGCATGCACATGCAAACTATTCGTACAACGCTTGTTGCCACCATGCACATCTGTTGTTTGCAGTGGTATCGGTTTGCACACTCCCCAAGCCAGTAGTTCCAAGAACGAGTGTCGTGGCATTGCTTTGGTATTCTGGGAAGAATGGCACTCCAACCCCATTGGGATCACCTGTCATAGCGAAGTTCATGATGTATCTTTGTAAATCAGCTGCTATGGTAGCGTTTACTGGCAGTCCGTCGTTTGAGGTAGTAGTGTCACCATTGAAGAACGTGTATGCAATGTCTTCGCCGTGAAGTCCGGGTGGAACGGTAAAATAGTAAGAGTGTGTTTCGTTACGGAATGCGGTGTTTAGGTAGCGAGTATTGCACGTGAAAACAATTTCGGCTGTGATCAGGGATGTTCGTTCCAAAACACTCGTGTATGGATAAGAACCATTGTAGACTGGTGGGTAAAGGGTTCCAGTCACGTATGCCAGTGTGGAATTAGATATGGTGGGCAGAGTGGTTGTAAGATCGGTAGCGATATCGGCGTCTGTAGAGAAGAAGGGAGATGTGAAGAATGCACCTTCATTGGAATTGTGCCCTGTCATGATCTTGACGTTCGTATCGAATTTGCCCTCAAGAAGTAATTTGGCCGGTAACTCAGGTACAAAAGTACCGTCAACTGCTGGCCCGAAAGTAAAAGTACCATAAGGAGCCGATCTCGCAATAACGATAGTATTAAGCCCGGCAAGAGTGGCGAAGTCAAGATTTCTCAAATCCGATACGGAGGTGATGTTAGGTCCAATAAGTTCTTGTGCTTGAGTAATGACGTTTTGGAAAGTCGCCTCTTGTTGGGCATCTGAATACACGGGAGGATAGCCAGGACTTTGTAGAATGGCCTGAGAGAAAGGGGCATTGCCATTACTACCACCATATGCTGTAATCTGATGCATGATCGACCCAGCTCCGGCCGATTCGCCGATAACTGTTACTCGATCCGAATCTCCACCAAAGAGGTAAATATATTTTTGTATCCATTCCAAAGCTAATCTCTGATCAAGAAGAGCAGCATTTGCGGCTCCACTTTCCTCGAATGTCGGACCAGAAAGCCATCCCTATACCTGGTCAATTACTTTCCTCCAGATCAATGTATATGAACTTACAAAGAGACCAAGTCTGTAGTTTAGAGCAACATAAATTACACCTTCATCCCCATTCTCTTGACTCCTTGAAATCAATGTGGCCGGGTTCCCTGAACCAAATTTTGATCCGGCGACATAGCCACCTCCATATATCCAAACAACAACGGGGGCGCTACTTTCACCACAAGAATCGTATATAGACTTTGGGGCAATAACATCGAGGAATAAGCAGTCCTCTGAAGTCAACGGTGCTGGCGCGGCGAGTCCCGAGATGGTGAGATTCTTCTCAACTGCCTCTACTTCTGCCTCGACGAATTCCAAGGTAGCTGTATTAGCACCTTGAAAATAGTACGAAGCAACTTCTTCCCAATAAGGTGTTCCCTGCGCACATATAGCACCCTGCTGCCCATCGTTGATGGTTCGGTTTACTTCGGTCGGTTCGATCGGAGCGGCAAATCGAAGATTTCCTATAGGCGGGGCTGCATATCGAATATTTGAGAAGTTGTAGTACTGTCCTGTCTCCTGTAGTTGTATTTAGCATCCACTCCAGAACGTGACCGATTTGAGATTGCATACATTTATCGTAGCCCGGTGAAGTGCATAGTCAAGATCAACGACTGGTAGGGAAGCATTAGTGGGCAAAGCGTAGGCAGTTTGAACTGCACAAGCAGCAATCACAACAGCCTTGATTGCAATCATCTTTATTTTTCAGAAAGGAGGCAATTTGCAATGGAGCAAATGGCATGAAAGAAACTTTGAAGAGGGGAAGGCATCTTGTATATAACGATATCAAGTCAGCGTGCAACGGTACATCTGCTTCGTTACCTCGGTGGCTTATCAACCAACACTTGTTTTGGCGCCCAAAAATATATTAATTATGTTGTTGCAAGTCTGCAAAGGCTTGCCATTAACTCGATATTCGGAAATGAGCATTCAATCGGTGCACTAGCAACCGGCGGGGGTAGCTGGGTACTAGGATAAAGACGGTATGAAGATCTTAGGGGCTGTCATCCAAAGACAGGAGATGGGACTACCTGGTTCCTAGCCACTCATAGCTAAGAGGTCATCGGGGAACAATCCTTTTAGAGATGTGCTTTGAAATTCATTTCAGGGATAAGGACAATTTAGTCCGGGGAGAAAGGAACATTCTATCGAAGATCTCACTCGTATAGAGCTGAGAGTGACATGTCTACGCGTTCATATTACACGCGAGATCTACATTGAGATGAAGTTGCGAAGTCTAAGGGTCGCTAATGCACTCCCGGTTCGTATACACACGGGCACCGAGTGAAGTTTGTACAATTTAGACTGTTGGCCCATTTTATTTTGTGTTTACACGTAAATAAACATGTTAATGGCTTCCCAATATGGATCGCACGCAATTTCGGTAAGAACATCAAGCAAGGATATGAAGGTCACATCAAAAGCTTGTTATCGCTTGTCTCAGGGTCTAGGATTACACCGCATCGTTCTGATGTGATTATATCATTGGACAACGGATGCGGTTCATGAGAGCGAACTGTAGTTTGGCAGCTCAGCCTTACGCTCGAGCCACAACCTCATTCCCGTCTCCTTATTCAACCAAAAACAAATGATTTACCAAGAAGCATTATACACTTATTGATGCGAATCATTGACCCCGCGCATTATGTCTACAATTGCCCAACCTCGAGAAAGCTCCGTTAGTGGGCGTCGTGTTCCTTTACTCACTACACCTACTTCCTCAACACGACCGAGTCTAGACCATTCCCGTTCATCTGAACCATCTCCGAATCGAGGATCCTCAGTCGCGATACCTCGACGCAACCGTGCCGCTCTTCGAGAATATTACAACCTCAAAAAGGGACAAGACGCTCCTACTGACGATGCGGCATCCGAAGTTTCCTCAATTCACTTTGATAGTGAGGTACAAGAAAGCGAAATGGACAAGGACGGATTTGATGGGGAGAAATATGTGAAGGAGGTTCTGGAAAAGCAAACACTGGGAGAGCTATTACGGACCTACAATGGAGTTCTGACCGATATAAGGGCTCTAGACGCGGAGAAAAAGGCACTGGTTTATGATAATTACAGCAAGTTAATTACGGCAACAGAGACAATCAGGAAGATGAGGACAAACATGGACCCATTAAATCCAACGGCCAGTACGCTCGATCCGGCTATCGCAAGTATCTACGAAAGGGCTGAGAAGATCAAGGTTGAGTTGAAGGAAGGCATTCCAGAATCACAAAGGAGACTCATGGAGATGGGGGTAGAGGAAAGGGCGGCATACCAGAAGAAACAAAACATGAGGAAGCTTGTACTCCAAGTATTGGAGACGCCTGAGAAGCTGAGATCATTGGTAGCAGGGGGAAATGGAGACGAAGCCAGATTGGAATGGGATAAAGTCTCAACACTGTTGAGAAGATGGAAAGAGAGGGGTGTAGGGGGGAGTGACGTGCAGGCATGTATAGAAGACGGAGAGGCAGCTTTGAGGGGAGAGCGTCCAAATGAAAAGAGCTGGGTTAACATAAGAGCAAAGAGATCATCATGACAGCGATAGTGTTATCACAGCAGCAACGACAGCACGACAGCATAGTAGTAACATTTTGAGAGTATAACGATACCGTAGTGACAGCGATAGCACGACAGCATACGAACTATTATTGTTTATCAGGAACACCAGCCGACAATATTTCCTATAAACTTTCAAGGACACCCAGTATCTTACCAGTTCACCTCATCCTTGTGAATTATATCAAAGGGATCCCTATCGATTTCACTTACCGCGATATCCGCCTTCCCCTCCATTGCCTCCGCCAATGCAGACTGCATTCGGTCCTTTAGATAGGCTCTTTCAGTGTTGCTATGGAATGCAGTGACAACACATTTACCCTGCTCAACGGCTGCCAAGGCTTCATGGTGGCTCAATTCGCCAGTGAATAATAAGTCAACGTCCAAGCCGTTAAACATGGATCCTCCAGATCCGGCACATATGCCAATGGAAGAAATTTCAATGGATGACTTTTCTCCTCTAGGTATGGATTGTGGAACCGCAACGGAAAGTCCGGATATGCGGTCTCCAATTTGGAGTGAAGATTGCATCCGTGCAACAAGATCTCCTAGCTTCTGAGGTTGCTTGAATCGAACGATTCGGCCATATCCGGCACCTTCGAACCCATCGGGTATATCCTTGATGGAATTAATAATCGAGCGTTCGTGATCAATGGATTCGGTGCCAATACTATTTTATATCAGTCTCATTTCACGAGTAGGATTGGGATTGAAGATTGAGCATACGCTTGATTCTTTTTCAAGGGTCGATTGGTGACTATATCGGCAAGCCAATCATTGAGGCCTTCTGGCGCAGCATCTACAGCTGTATGAGGACTGTAAACACTGATTCCCTCTTGGGCAAGACGGAGCAGAGAATTCTGTTGGGAGTTGGCAAGGGTGACTGCTTTCAAGCCACGAAATATGATAGGATCTTAAAAATGGTTAGAAATATGATACCTTCGCTCTAATAGGCACCAAATATACTTACGATATGTGACAATGATTGAATCCTTCCTGCGGATAGCTTCATCTGCAACCCCCTTTGTGAGATCAACAGTCAGAAGAACCGAGTCTTTAAGATGATTTTCACGATGTGGTGCCTCCAACAGAACTTGAATGTTATGAGTTAAAGATTCTCAGAGATAGGTAATGAAACTCACGCCCCGTGTTATCAAAACTGCTGTCCGCGAGCTTTTCTGGATATCTGCAATGCACCATGAGAAATGGGCTTTTTGTGAGATCTTGATTGATCATAACTTACAACTTTCTCATAGCCGCAACAACAGCTTGAGTGAATGGAGAAGAAGTTGTAGACATGGCTCTTTTTGATATTGCAATGTTCTTGGAAACTATTCTTGAGAACATCACGCTCATCTTGAGTTTATTTTGTCTACAGCCCACATAGCGATGACTTCTTCCAGAGGGTAATGTATATTAAAGCGGCGTCATTTTCACATCATCACAATCGCAGTCCCCGATTTCGCATAATAATAATTTCGAAAAAGTTCTAAGAAAGTGTTTGACATATACCGATATTATATTACCACAGAAATAATGGCAGAAGCTTCAGGCGTATCTGCTGAAGCTCTCAAGGTCAAGATCACAGAGTCTTTAAATGCAAGTCATGTCGAAATTGAAGATATGTCAGGTACGGATACCTTCAACTGCCCCGCAGTATCCCCGCCATGCTGATTGATTCTGGTCTATAGGAGGTTGTGGACAGGCATTCTCTGCCGTGATTGTCTCGCCGCAATTTGAAAAGAAGACTACATTGGCAAGGCATAGGTTGGTGAATGGAGCGCTGAAGGCGGAGATTGCGGCTATCCATGCCTGGACTCCCAAGTGCTATACTCCAGAACAATGGGAGAAGCAGAAAGAAGATGGCAAGGAGGCGGTTGCGCCAGGAAAGAACACTACTGAGGAGGTTGTGGATGGGACAACTGCTTGAGAGGGAGAAGGAATCGGAGTTCTGGCGCAGAATGGACCTATACCACAGCTTCCAGGGTGGTGACGGCGATCGGACGGGGAGAGGAACGGGGCTTACGGGGACAATGGAGCACGGGGAAGAAGAGCTATGGTATACCAAGGAGTCACCAGGAAGGAGAAAATCTGTTTGTGATTGAGCCCTTGTGTAATGGGCAACGTGGGTAGTATTTCATCTTGGCACTGTGGTAAAGCAAAAGGGATCACTGCGGTTGTGATCACGATGCTTCTCTACACCCCGGCCCTGTGAAGATCAGGGACAGTGTCTTCCAAAGCAGGTGTGTTGGACTCCTGAGTCCCTCATTCACACATTCCAGAGTCCTGCACGCTCAGTCATACGAGGCTCAGGAACATTATTCAAGCCTCTAGAAAGCCAAGATAATGAAAAGTCTCGTACAGCAAATCGTTGACGTCTCTTTCCAGTTGCCTGGATAGAACATTCCATCACTAGTAGTCAAGTTTGAACTTTGCTGACACGCTGTGCAACAACACTGAATACTGCAATAGATGATATGAATAAGACTATGTTGTAGAACTATAATACATGAGCTAAAATTCATAGATCTTCAATCTTGAAGGAAACATACAGCATTCCTTGAATATGTGCTCTCTTCAGCATCTGTTCTTGCTTCAACAAAGAGCCTTCGAAGGTTGGGTAAATTTGCCTTAGAGAACGCCTTCATTAGTTTCGCAACTCAATAAAAATAAAAAGGGGGATTAATGAATGTTACCATATTCAGTCTTCCAGGAGTTTATCCAATAATTTGTTTCATATGACTTTATTTGACAGGGGATTCACATCTGGAAGCACGATTGCTGGTCCCCTGTTCTTTCAAGATCTAGCGAGTCCTTTACAAAGCGCACCAGGCTGAAGCTATCTGGTATCAACAATCTGCCCACCACTTTGACCCTATACTTCAATTACAACACAATCCACGAATCTCACGATTCTCCCTTTCTATACAAAACACTCGCGGATTCCCTACTGGAAATTTCAAAGCTCACTTTAATCAGCCCTTTCCACGAACCGTGGCCTTACCGTCAATCGACAACTTAGCCATCGGCGTATGAGGGGCACCCTCAAGGTCGCCATCTGTGTGAGCGATGGCGGTGAATAGGATTAAAGGTGCCTTCGCACCACCCAAGAAGGGAGAAACATACGAGTTGAGAGCTGGTTTAGTATCTCAATATGCTTACGAGCGCAAAGAAGCAATTCAAAAGACCATCATGTCCATGACCCTGGGCAAAGATGTGTCTGCGCTATTCCCAGACGTTTTAAAGAATATTGCTACAGCAGACTTAGACCAGAAGAAGCTGGTGTATTTGTATTTAATGTTTGTCAAGACTACGTCTTGGGATTTGGATGAATGATGTTGCTAATGTTCACCATTAGGAATTATGCCAAATCGCATCCCGACCTTTGTATTCTAGCGGTCAATACTTTCGTACAAGATTCCGAAGATCCAAATCCACTGGTGCGAGCTCTTGCGATTCGGACAATGGGTTGCATTCGAGTAGATAAGATGGTAGATTATATGGAGGAACCACTGCGGAAAACGTTAAGGGATGAATCGCCATACGTACGAAAGACTGCCGCGATCTGTGTTGCGAAATTGTTCGACCTCAATCCTACAATGTGTCTTGAGAACGGCTTCTTAGAAACTCTGCAAGAATTGATTGGAGATCCCAACCCTATGGTTGTGGCCAATTCTGTAACGGCGCTCGTGGAAATCAACGAGACTGCGCCAGAGACAAAGGCTTTACGGATCACATCTGCGACATTAAAGAAAATGCTCATGGCTTTGAACGAATGTACCGAATGGGGAAGAGTAACTATCTTGTCTACTCTGGCGGATTATAAGGCTACGGATATTAAGGAGTCAGAACATATTTGTGAAAGAGTGTCTCCTCAATTTCAACATGTCAACCCAAGTGTTGTCTTGGCTGCCGTCAAAGTTGTTTTCCTCCATATGAAGAATGTCAATGCGGATTTGGGAAAGCAATATCTGAAAAAGATGGCTCCACCTCTTGGTAAGTGAAATATATATGTCAAAGGAGAATAAGGTGTCCTGTTCTGGACATGCAGACGTGATAAAGGCTCTCGGTATTAAGAACCATGATTTTCCAAGGAATTCTGTAGTTCAAAGTATTTGAATTATTTGAATAGAGAAACGGAAAGCTTCTGGTTGTTGGACTGCAGCCCGGACTATTGAACACCTTAAGGGAGGATTGAGCTAATAGATTGCAGTAACTCTTGTTGCTTCGGCACCCGAAGTCCAATATGTTGCTTTGAGGAACATAGATCTTCTCTTGCAAGCGAAGCCAGATATTCTTAGTAAGGAGTTGAGAGTCTTCTTCTGCAAATATAACGATCCGCCTTATGTAAAACTCCAAAAATTGGAGATCATGGTACGGATCGCTAACGACAAAAATGTTGATCAACTGTTATCGGAGCTCAAAGAATACGCTCTTGAAGTTGACATGGATTTTGTTCGAAGAGCCGTTAAGGCTATTGGTCAAGCAGCCATCAAAATTGAGAGCGCAAGCGAAAAATGTGTCAACACATTACTCGACTTGATTGCTACAAAGGTCAACTACGTTGTACAGGAGGCCATTGTCGTTATCAAAGATATCTTTAGAAAATACCCCGGATACGAGGGTATCATTCCAACCTTGTGCAAGTATATCGACGAATTAGATGAGCCAAACGCGCGGGGAGCTTTAATTTGGATTGTTGGCGAGTATGCCGAGAAGATCAGCAATGCAGATGAAATCCTTGCAGGATTTGTTGAAGGTTTCATGGAGGAATTTACTCAAACTCAACTTCAAATTTTGACAGCTGTTGTTAAGTTGTTTTTGAAGAAGCCAGATAACAATCAGGGACTTGTTCAAAAAGTTTTACAAGTATCGACTGCCGAAAATGATAACCCAGATATTAGAGACAGAGCTTATGTATATTGGCGTTTGTTGTCAGGTGATCTTTCAATAGCAAAGGTATTTATGACTGTCATATTCTCTAACCAAGATCAGAACACTAACAACAAATCTAGAACATTATCCTTTCCGATAAGCCACCTATCACCACAACCATGACATCCCTTCCCCCAGCACTCCTCGATCAACTTTTGACAGAACTCAGCACTCTTGCTTCTGTATACCATAAACCTCCTGAGACATTTGTGGGCCAAGGTCGCTACGGCGCCGATGCTATCCAGCACGCCGCTATTCAGGAACAACGTCAAAACGCCGTTGAAAATCCAATCGCAGCCGCTGTCGCCGCAGCCGCAAATGGAGCTCCTGCTCAAAATAACGCTGAGAATCTCCTTGACATTGATTTTGATGGCGCAGCTCCAGCAAGTGCAGATGCACCTCCCAGTGCTGGAACAAGTGGATTAGAAGGATTGGCAGGCACACCTCAAAGAGTAGATAGTCCAGCCGCGGGTGCCAATGCTGGTAGTAGTATGGCAGATATGATGGGCTTATTTGATGCTCCTGCTCCTGCTCCAGCTGCTGGCGGCATGGGAATGGGCGGAATGGGGAATGATATGATGAATGGTTTCGCAGGGCTAGATTTGAGTGGTACTAGCCAACCTCCTAGTGCGCAAACACAGTTACAGCAGGGTGGTGCGAAGAAGACAAACGAGGATTTACTAGGGATGTTTTAAATCTGAGGGATGGGTAATAAGCAATGGGTCGGTGGTGTTGCGAATGAATCTGGAGGGGATAGGTCATTCGATGCAGCCAGTGGTTAGAGATTAGCAAAATTAGTATGTATGTATGTATTCAAGGCAATTTGAAGCAATTCAGCAAATAAGAGTGTGGATGAATGTGACTTGATATACTCTCCGTGTATTGTCAACTTGTTTGAAGCGTAATTGAGTCAACATCCATTGTATATGTGTATCGTAAATGCAGTTTCATGACGAGAGTATGTCATTTTCAACGTCTGATTGAACTGTAAGTAGACAGCTTTGATTGTGTGAAGACACTTATACCTGCAGATTTACAAAGAGCCCACCCGCTGAGTCACGGGATGGGAAATTGTTGGATCTCCGTCTTCATATACGGGTTATCTCATCCTCAGACCACACGGTGATTACATAATTTTTGGCCTTGATTTCGAGGCAAAGGCCTCCCGAAGGTTTATTATCGTAGAATCTAAAACAATTTGATTCCAGCTTTGATGGGAAAATCAACAATTTGTTATTTTTCGATTTTTCAATTAAAGATTATAAATCATTTAACAATTGTATTATTTTAATATAATTTCAATATATATAGATAGATTTTCTTATTATTTTGATATATTTTTTATTATAATAACTTTATTCAATTATATATATATATATCAAAAATATATATTTTTGAAAACTAATATTTTATAGCAATGATTATTCCTCTTCCCTAATCTATTATCTTTATCTATTAATCTATATAATTATATATATTCTAAGAATTCTTTTGATTCTAATAACTTCATTATATTATTTATATTTCTATTAATATTGTTTTTATTAAGAAATAAATGATTGAATATTATTTTTTAATAATAATAATAATATAATAATTCTTTATTTTTATATAATATATTAAGATTGTTTTTAAATGTAAATAAAGTTTATTATATAAATTATAAATAAATTGAAATAAAACTAAAATAAAAATAAAATATATATTCAATTATTAATTTATAAAAAAAAAAATTCTATTATATTTATTTCTATTGATTTCTAAAAACTTTTATTATTTTCTACTAGTTTTTATTTAATTTATTATTGAATTATATTATATTCTATAAATATCTATTAATTTATAAAATCTTTTGTAAACTCCTATTATTTCCTACAAACTTCTATTATCTCCTAAAATCTTTTATTATATCTTAGGAACTCCTACTATTATACCTCTAAAACAGAGAAAAGATAATAAATGTTCTAAATAGACTAAAGTTAGAAAGCTAAAGAA